AAGTAGTTCTTTTCGAAGAGGTTGGAGCTTTAATTTTTCAGAAACATCTCGTCAAGTAAAACTATCCATCGAACATCAATGATGCGAGCATTCAGAAAAATCGGTAGCCGTAAAATCTACAATTGAAATTCTATGCATCCTCACTAAAGTATTCATGAAGAAATTTCCTCAATTATAATACATAATATTTTGGAGTAATTGAAAGCTGCACCCTGCGACGTTATTTCCACCCCTGTTAACTGGAATCGAACTGAATCCAAAAAGAAGGAGAAACTTCTCTTCTTGTATGACTCATTATTACGCTTTCCGCCGCAGACTGTAGATCCAGCCTGTATCATTGCTAGAAATTTGTTTTTCTTCTCATACGTAATAAATATGTTTTTGTGTGCTAATAATAATGATTGTGCTTCTTATAGTTAGATGGATTACCAATTTAATAGGTAAGAACTTTATTTTATTTATCCGCTCGTCTCGAATAAACTGCGTTACAATAGTAAACAAATGAACCACGCCAACCTTCAACATTTGATTATGAGACTGATCGCAGTTTTACTTCAACTAAACGATAAAACATATCGAAATTAGTAATTAAGAATAAAAAATACTAACAGAAAGGATACTCTGCCATAAATTACCACTCATAATCCGCAAACGAAAAGACAAGCCTGTCTTGAAAAGCGAAATAAAACTAATATAATTGTGTACTGCGCATTCTAAAAACAGAAGAAGAAATGGCTACTTGCTGGGAAAATAAACATTCAATTATAAAACTAAACAATAACCACTATCAACTGCGGAAATACAAACTTGAAATGATTCTGAAGAAAAAAAATTCATGGGAGTTACTCGCGAATGAAACACATAAAAGAAAACAACGCCGAGTGGATACAAAGAGATGAACAAACACAAGCTACCATAAGATTACTCATAGAAGGCAACCCAATCGTACACATAAGAAATAAAACAACAGCTAAAAAGATATGGAAAGAATTAAAGACAACTCATGAAAGAAAAAATATGTCCAGTAAACGTTACCATCTCAGAAAACTATATAAAGGCAGAAAACGAAGAGAAGCTCAAAGGACACATCGGGACAGGAACAGGCAAAAACGGACCAGAACTTCGTCGATGGCTTTTACAGGTATTGCTCCGTTACACTACCGTACCCACTAAGTGTTCGGTTAGCTCGAGATCGTGGACGAACTGCAAGGGATTGGTGAAGAAATAAAGGATAGTCCATATTGCAGAACTCTTACTAAGCGGCTTACCAAAAAGCTACGAAAAACTTATCACAGCTTTCGAAACACGACCAGAAGAAGAACTGACGTTGGAATACGTAAAAACGAAACTCATTGAGCACTGCTTAAGAAGAAAAGGCACGCAAACAGAAGAAACAACTTCTTTCAAAACCGATTTTAAAACTAAGTGCAAGCATTTCGATCAACGAAGATGCAATTATTGCAAAAAATTTAAACACTTAAAAAAACGCAGATTCTTAAATAACAGCAAAGAAAAAGACAAAAACGAAAATAACTCCTTTTTCAAAAATGAAAAGAAAGCGAATAAATTAAATTGTGGAAATAAGGGAAAACGAAAGTTGCTGTAAACGAGGATACACACGAAGATTAAAAACAAAAATAAGAAAATTGAAAAGAGTGGAGAATTACACGTTCGAAGTCACCAGAGAAAGAAAATTTCAAAACTCAAACTGGTCAGTTGATTCGAGAGCCACTTGTCATATGACCAATAACAACTGTCATATGACCAAAACTTTTTCCCGAAATTAGGAAAATAGCATAGATCTTTGGAAAGCAAACTAGGACATAGAAATTACGTAGCAATCAAGAAGCTAAATGAAGACCTGGCCACCGGAATAAAGATAAGCCGAGAAACTAGAGAGGAAATGAATGCGAATATTGTATTAGGAGCAAAATATCTGAATTGCCATATTCCAAGCTAACCAAGCTGCAGTTGGGAAATAATAAACAAGAGTGATAACACTTTTTAAACACATTTAAAGAGCTATCTGGTTGCACGTGCATATTTGCTCTTGTAATAAATGTTCCCTCTGTACGAGATAAACTACTGCGTTTTCTTATTAGATAAGTTTAAAATTTTATGAAATATTCGGGGTTAGGTGATTGAATGGTGTATTAACAAGCTTATTTATACGATCAGCATCATGAAATTTGCAATTTTAACAAATGCTTGGGCATGATCAAAAAGCAGTTATGTAATGAATGCAAAGAAGTACGGATTAAATGCAAGAATTCTGTTTAGAACTATAACATGAAACTGCAGAACAGTACACATTTATATGTCCTACAGTCACCATTTCACTAAATACTCTTCAATCGTTTTCTAATACATTAGTCATGAAATGATCACCATATAACTACTTCTAGTAAGTTGCTTTTTCAAAAGCTGCATCGTAAGAAGATAAAAAAGACATATGAAATGCATTGAGTATATTTAATCATAAGGAAATATATGGAAAAGAGCTAGATTCTACTAATTGGTAGACACATGTTTATTACTAGTGAATCTTTTTCTTCTAGTGATCTTCTCGCCACTTTATTTCACGCGGGCTTTCAAACAGTTGCTGTCCGCCCGCCTTTAAGGAAAGAGGTTTAGTCCTCTTGATATTGAAGACGTATTGTAGTTTTCCCGCAGTTTGCGTACTACATACGTAAAAAAATCTAAAGCCAATTTTAGTGTTGTTAGTCTGTATAAAAGATTCGAATTTAACTCTTATTTAAATTTAGTTTAGTTGTAGTTCCTAATTTTTTTATATTCAGACCCAACTGAGTGGTTTTTTGTATCCCGAAGTGCGGGAGCGCCTGTGCATTGTGGAGAATAAATGGTAATTAAACCCTTTCTTTTCTTGTCATCTCTTCTACAGTTTAACAGAACATAAGTTTCCAGTAAACTCACTGTTCTACTCAGGACCCTTACATGTTTCCAAAAGAGATATATCAATCCTGATAACTTATAGGGAAATAAATTAGAGATGTGTATTTAGTTTTGAAATAACACTTCAATTTCAACATTCTGAAATGCTAATTTGCTTGTTTTTCTATTAACATAAGTGCCAATAAAATTCTACAAGTTTGTTTCATTACTCCTGTGGCTGTTGTAAACAATACAGTACAATTTCTTAAACGCAATATAATACATTTTTAAATTTTAGACCCTCCTTAATCGATCTGCATTTAGAAAAACTTCCTTTCACAACAATTAATATTTACAGCAATTGTCAGAAAATTTAGTAATAGTATTATAATGTTCAAGATACTAATTAGCAACAAAAATCACAGCAACGTACAGAAATTTGCAATAAGATTAAATAAAATCTTCGGCAATAGGCGTGCTATTTCGATAATAGCACTGACATTTTGACTCCTGCAGCTGCATTGACGTTTGCTTAGTCTTCGAAACTAGTACAGTAATGCAAATTTGTGCATATTGCTCTCATTTTCAATGCTATTTAAATCTTTATTTTTTTTTCAGCGTAAATGCGTTCTAAAAATTATATTATAGAATAAATTGCAAAAGTTAAAAGCGATCGTCCTTCCACCTCTCTATTTCGTCTTTCCAAGCAATAATAGAAATAAAAATCTGCATTATTTCTCTCATTCAATGAGAAATTCTTCTTTATTGTGATCATAATTTAATCTACATTCGTATTTTTCGTTCAAAAGTTTCGATGCAGCAAGGAAGATATAGCAAAAACATGAAACTGTTGAAACCTTCTTGTGATTTCTTTGAATACTCTGTTGAGTTTATAAACAATTCCTTCTCAATTCAATTTCGTATGATAATTCCAGCATGTTGTGACTGATGCATGCATGTTCTAAGCGAATATGAACCAGTTTCTCGGAGTACAAAAATATAGTTTGTTCAAACTGAAGATCTCATTTTAGTTCAAAAAGAATCATTATTATTAAGCTGACAGCTTTCAAGCGCGTTTTATTAAAACTGTACTAAGTTTCTGTCTCGAGGTGGCGATGCGTCTCGAGTGTGGCGATGCATTCTGTCTCCAGTTGCCATTAAGATGCCGCTGTGGAATATAGAAAATAATTCTTTCTTTTCTTTTTTTCATAATTGCGAATCTATAAGAATCCAAAATATATAACTTTTCTTCCTCTTTCTCACAGTAATTTACTATGCTTAAGAACTCTCTTTTTGGTAACTCTTGAATGTATCGCCAAGCAATCGCAGAAATGTTTTCGGTCTCAGTGTTACGCTTTTACAAGCATAAATAAAAACGTAGCATGAAAGAATTCCAGCAAAGTGGAAATGTGTTTATAGCGTTTATTTTAATTAACGCGTGTAACCAATTCTTTAATAAAAACTTTGCAGTCAATATAAACGATGGTGGACTCACTCTAGCAAAGAGGGTGCCTTCTGGTGAGTACCCAGAGAGACTTCAGTAAAGGTCACGTGATAGGTGATGAATCGGTTACTTTGTATTAGGCTCTTGCTCCATAATATTCTTAGAATTAAATTTGATGTGCGTGTGTAACTTAAACCTTTTAATAAATTATTGTTACACTATAAAGGACTCATTTATGAACCCATCCTTCATGACCTTCCCCATATATGCTATTTCTTACGTTGAATAATCTTTCTTGCGCTTCTATTGTTTCGTCTAATCTACCATAAAATTGAAATTAAGATTTAGTCAGTTTACATAACAAAACAGAAGTTAAGTCAGCTTAAATAACACGATAGAAAAGAGTAGTTGTAAACTCCAAACCAGTAAATAATTTAGTGGCTATTGAAAGCCAAGACGGGAGGAAAAATCGTCCAGCAGTATAGTGAGGTTACTCGAGTAACCTCACTATACTGCTGGACTCGAGTAACCTCACTATACACGATCGTGTGGGTTTAGTGTAATTAAAGTGCAACTTCATAAGCTTACACTTTAGCTCCCTCAATTTGATATGTATAGTTCTTTCCTATAAAAGTATTTCATCTCAAGAACAGAATACAAAGCATTTTTTTACCCAGAATTTATTTTTGTATTTTAACACATATATGATAATACAGACGTTACATCATATTCGAAGATTGTTATATTATAAGCATGTTTTACATATGATATAAAAATACTACAGTTTTAAGGTAAACCAGATGTTCGAAGACAATCTCAGAATTTTATTTCCCAATAACGGGCTTTAAATTATTAAGCATATCAAAATAATTACTTTAATATAGATATAAGGTACTATGTCGTCATCATCGTAGACGCTAAGCTTTTTACCGTACAGGACAATCATCTCTGCTTCTATTAAATTCTGCCTGCCGGTGCTTGCTGAAATTCTAAAAATTTTGCCGCCTCTGGCACAATCGCATCGGCACTGGTTTACATAATGTATATATATATGCAAGATCTGCCCAAAACGAAACCGAACTTTAAAATTAGAGAGTTAACGCGTCAACAAGCAACCCCGCTGTGTAGCATCAACCTTGATTTTGGACAAGCTCTTTCCTCAAAAACACCATTTCATTTTGTAGCTGTTTAATGAGCGGCAGAATGAACCGGTATTTTGTGAGTTTGAAGATTATTTACATTTCAAAAACGAAAGATCTCGCAGTGCAGCGATTTTGTGTAAAATTGTTAAAAACCGTTTACTAAAGCATGTCAGATGTTGCAACGTCTTGGAAAGAATTATTTCAGTCAGTCTACGGAAAGGATAATTTCAGTTGGTCTGAGTGCTATGTCCCAATGTCAATGTATCAGATCGGGCAGAACACCAACTGAAGACGAACCGAAAACTGGGTGCCATTTCCAAGTCCACACACGACTTCATGTCGAAGGAGTGGTTTAATTCCTCTAAGTCATCGTTTAACTGTCCGTGAGTTTGCTGAAGATCTAGGCAGCAAAAGCTAATGTCACACAATTTCGACTGAATATCTACAGGCGCGTCAAAATGCAGAAAGATTTCTGCATTGTCTTGATAGAAATAAAAAGTTAACCTGTCGCAGTTATTGAGGAGTTGATAGATCGTTTAAATGCGCATCAAAATATGTCATCACAGGTGATGAAATACAGGTTTACAGATATGATACTGAAATAAAAAGAAAGTCGCCGCAGTGGGTACAAAGATCATCGCCAAGGTCAAAAATGCACGTCACAGTTGATAGAATGCGAATGTGATGTTGACCGCCTTTCTAGTTTGACTAAAAATTGTTTATCACCAGTTCGTTAAACGAAGCTAAATAATCAAAGCACACTTTTAATTGGATGTTATGAGAGATTTAAAATAACATTGCAACGGAAGAGGTTAGGTTATTTAATTACGGCAAAGCCTCGAGGGCTATCTGCCTAAGGGGAGGGATGCCTTCGTGGAGGACTTTGTATGGGAAACTAGCTCGTATGCACGTTACTGTTACACGGACTGCTATCCTGGGCCTTATTACTTTGCAGATTTAATTCCTGCCATTCTTTTTTTTTTTTTTTTCTCTGGGCGCGTGTGTGTTTGCAGAGCTGAAATCCACCATGAAAGGTCGCTGGTTATCAAAGATCAAAAGAAAACTGCATTTTCAAGACTTGCATTGTGATCCCACAAAATAATTTTCAGGAAGCATTCCAAAAACGGAATGTATGTTGGGAGCAGTGTGTAAATAGAAGAGGAGAATATTTGGAAAGAGACTAATCTGATTAAAAGGTGCCCTTATCAGTTAACTGATTTTTTTCAAAAGCTCGGTTTCTTCTTGGACAGACATTTTATGTGTGTATATATATGTATATATGGAATAACCATGAAGGTAACATAACTAATTTGTTCAGAATTGTAGAAGAATTTTAGCCAAACATTGAAAAAAAATCAGCACAAAATCTTAATGCTTTAATGTGTCAATATTTTTGAGGCTATCGCAGTATTACTTGTAGTTAGTAAACTTTTCAAATTAATAAATCACTTTTTAATATATAAAGTTGTGACACACATTTACAGCTGATGTTATCATATACAATGAAAAAAAAAATTTTTTTTCCCCATCAAACAGAAATCTGTTTTGTTTTACATGAGACAGACTGAAAAAGACTGGATTTCGTTAGTTTAAAAGTTAGTAAGATGACTAGGAAATGTATCTTTACTTTCATCTTAATGCTTATGCAATTGCATTTGATTTTAAAGAATGTGCATAACTTAAATATGAGAACTCAAGGAAATGAACGTACATTGGATATAAAAATATACTGATGGAAAGCCTGTAAACGAAAGCAAATTATGCGAAATTTAAGGATTAACACGATTATCAATCAATATTAAACACAATAAATCACGGTATGCAGTTAATTTAAAGGCAATAAAGATTGCTATATTTTAACTTCTCTCTTAAATGGAATCAAGGAAATGTAATACGATTCTGAAATGTTGAACAGTTGATTAAATACTTTTTTACATGTTGTTTTGAAATAAGAATTAAAATTTCGTAAACCAAAAGTACCATAAATATTCATGGCTCTTGTATGATGTTTAAAAATATCTAGTAGAAAAATATTACACCAAAAAATTATTTTTATGAATTTATAATTTATTTATATTGTTGGACATGTATTAAGAGTTACATGGCCAAAGACTCTCGATTGAGCTATGGGTTGAGGTTTATCGTTTAATTTAAGAGATCGAATACAACCAGTGAACTGTTCTAGAGTTTCGACACCTTTCTTTGATAACGATGATTCAGGTAGTCCTCCAATATACAACGGATCCTTGGTATCTGTTGATGAAACACCACCGACTCCTATTCCTGGTTCGCCGAAAATATCATCCAGGCCTACAGTAACAATATTGCCAGTTTTGACTACGCGTACTGTATGCCAGTTACCATCACAAGGGTAATATTCAGTTGGCGGAATATATTTTGCAGTTATTGGACCAGCGCCATTATCAACACTGAACACTAAGGCTCCATCAACCATCTGTAAGATCAGGTAATCAGATCTGCCATGAACAGCCAGTAAAATTCCAGATAAATTACGAGGCTTAATATCCATTTCAATTGTAATCTTTGCCCCCACGTGGAATTTGTCATCTGTAAAAGAAAAAAAAAAGAATAAGGACAATTTATTAAAATATGACTTCACGGCTTTTTAATAATATTTTATAAAATTATTAAAATCATAATGGGAATAATAAACTGTACTGCACTGAAAACGTACACAGAACAAGATATCCACCATCACTTGAAATAAATGTGCCCTCTTCAACTTTGTCTGAACAGCCAGTCACATTCTGCGACAAACTGGGTTTTTGATTAGTGATAAGCTCCCCTTGAGCCTCTACATTTCTTATACATCCTGGGAATGAAAAGGTTACACCCTGAAAAGGAGATACAAAAAAATTATTTTCCTTTGAATTGGTCAAAACAATAAAAGACTGTAATAAACATAACAATAATTTTTTTAAGAATTATTGATGCAATCATTTTTTTTAAAGTGTACTTTCTTTTTTGATTAGTTTATCTACATATCAGTGTAGTAAAATTTAGTATATTCAAGCCACCCCTTAGGCGACGAGGGAGATAAATTGACATAAAACGACATTGAAGCATAAAATAACATTGTATGGCATCAATGATAATATCGTACATGTGCTGTTTTGATATGACGACTTGACTGATTTATAAGTAGTCGCGATCTACCAAAAATTCAAGTCAATTTCTACATTTTAGTGAATTACTGAATTAGCATTATTGTTGTTGATGCATTGCAGTGATATTCTTGTTAGCTTTATTTATTCCATTGCTATGTTTTAACTACTTTTCGTAGAGTTGTATTACTGAAAATGACAATATTCGCCAACATATTTTTTATTAAATTATAATTTGAAATCAGCACATCACTGCATACACTCAGCAATTTTTTTTACTACTTTTAGTCAAAATAAGCAGAGTTAACAGCAGGGCTGTTCCAAGGCCATTGGCTGCCCGCATACTTTCCTAGGATTGCCCCCCCCCAAATTAAAAAAAAAAGCTGAATGATTAATAAAATTTTTATTTCATACTCACTAAGTACTTACATATGAAAAATTATATAAAAAGTACTTACATATGACAAGTACGTACAATGAATTTAATATATTTAGTGGTCTCGCGAGAGTCCCTGTTGCCCCTGACTGTCGCCGCCCGCGTATTTTTACGCGTTGCACCCCTATTAGGAACGGCCCTGGTTGGCAGTAACTGTGAGTTATATTGAAAATACTGAGTTCGAAAAAGTACCTTTTTGAAATGCAATATTAACGTATTTCTTTTCTAGAATTATGGATAATTATTACTGCTCTGTGATATGCAAATATTGTAGCATAGTGCAGGGCTTAATTTCTAAAATTAGACGTGCCGGAGACCTATGCAAGACCATCGGGAAAGAGAAATAAGAGTAAATAAATAAAGAAAATGACATTAACATCATTAATAATTAAGAAAATTAAATAGATCATTATTACCAGATTAATTCATAATGATTAATATTTGTATTGTTATTTAATTAATAATTATTGTTCATATATAATAATTAATTAATTAATTATTAGTCGTTAAAATAATTAAAGTAATTAAATGATTAAAATTAAATGTACAGAGATAAATTAAAATTTAATAAGCGAATTTAATATAATTTTATTGCTAAAAATAAAAGTTTCGAGATTAGATTTCTACTAAAATTGTTGTTCAGATACAGAAAAGTGCCGGAGCCTTCTTATTTAGGGCTCCAGTGCGCTCCGGCTAGAATTGTGATTTATTCCAAAAACTAAAAACTACCAGACTGCAGTGGGCTCCGGCACAATTTAAGCTCTGGTGTAGTGAAATAAATATTAAATAATGAATTCTGTATCAAGAAAGAATTTAACATCAACTATGAACGAAGAAAGAACAACTTCATGCCATTTGAAAATTCTAACATGAAATGTCTTTTGTAAAATACGGTATGCGAGAAAGAAATTTGAATACTACAGTTGATTCATTTTCAAACAAGCTTTTTTCAAAAACTTCATTTCAAAGTCTCAGTCAATAATTACTCCACACCTTGCCAAAATTCTAAAACAGTGTAATAGCCCTGTCACAGATCACAGAATGATAAAAATAAGCCTAAATTCATTATTTAATTCTGTAAAAATTAATAAGGACAACAGTTCTCTTAATCTCTCTTTTCTTGAAAAGCACATCCATAAACAGTAATAAATTATAAGTTTGAGCCAGTTATTGAAAAGTTCATTAAGCAAACTGACAAAATTTTGAACTCTGCGATTTTTAATCAACTATTGTCACCCAGTCCGATAAATAAAAATATCAATTTAATAGAAAAATAAAGCAGTTTCATTTATTTCAAGTAAGTTCAACAACAAATGCGACTCGCTCTTTAAACGTTTCACACATTTCAATCTTAATAACAATTGAAATAACTGTTTAAATTTATTGTAAATTAATAATCATACAGTTAAACTTTTAAATTTGCAGAATTATTAGAATTTAGAATTATTAGTATTTGCTGGGGCATAAGGAGCACTTTTTTTCTTTGAAAATAGATCTGAAAAACGGGGTGCGCTTACACGCCGATACTGCGTCTTATAACGTCGTTTGTGAATGGGTCAAAGCTTCATGGGATGCTGTGAAAAACAGACAGTGGTTAAATCATTTAAGAAGTGTGGCATTAGCAATGCAATGGTACAGAGGATAATTTGTTGAATGAGGATTCAGATGCTGATTTAGAAGAGATTTCAAGTGACTCCTTATTTAGCCTTGGCGATGAGTGTCTGGGTTTTGTTGAAGGAGATTAAAAAGTGTTCTTTCCCAAATACATTGGATATTTGCAGAAAGTATTACTTTGTATTTGTATTATTTTTTATTTAAAATACCGTAAATTCATTATAATGATCGGTAATAAAGTTTTATCCTTCAAAAATGTGTACAAAAACGGGGGTGCGTCTTATAGGCCGGTGAGTCTTATACTCCGGCAAATATGGTATATATTAAAAACCAGACACAGGCCGTTATAACAATAAAATACTAACCGAAAAAGGGAAGTACTGCCGTAAATTAAATCAGTTACTAAAAGTATATTTAAAATGATGGCAACTTATCAGGGATTTTGCATAAAAATTTTAAGTCAGTTTTTCCCATAGGTGAAGTCAGTTTTTTCCCAATTGTGACCTATTCACAGAGATACACCTAACCTTAAATCATTTAACTAATTCATAACCTTTAAAATTCTCGATTATCAGATACACTTTGCTTTTCTCACCGTAGGCTGTAACTATACGTTTCCATAATGTCATTCAGATATGAGGTATACCTGTGACAAAATGTATTCCCGATTTTTTTGTGTCTTTTATGTTGCTTGTATAGCAGATACCTGTTTTAATAATAACCTCTCCAAAGTAGTAAGTCCAGAAACAGTACGTTTTGTCTTTTATTTATTACTTTGACGATTTTACACACTCTGTGCGTTTTGAATTATTATGCATATAAAGTTATCTTAAAAAATAAATTAGTGGTTCATATTAATACAGCGCCGCAGCTTAGAGGTATAAAACCTTTGCTTGCTTTTAAGTAAGCCGTATTTAAGGCGGTAGAGACCAGCATGCGGTTCGACCCATCTTCCCCACCGCCTACCTGAATTTTCTCCTAGTGCTATAAACGGTACCAGATGCGTGATGATCCTAACTGCTACACAGGAAAAGTGACTGTTCTCTTCTTCACCTTCCACAATCTCCTACGAGGGATACATTTGATGTAAAATTCCTTCTCAGGCTGCGTAAGGAATTTAAATTTTCCGTGAGGTACAGCCTCAGAATAACACTGCAGTATCGCAGTATGCGGTTCGCGAGCTGAAGTTTGGCCACGCCTGCCATAGATCGCTGGCCGGTGCAGCTGCGGTTTGCGGTAGTGGAAGCTTTCGTAGAACAGACTCTGCTATAGACTCGTTATATTGCAGTGGAACAAGGGAGATCGGGGAGCCGTAGACAAAACAGCTGAAGGATACAATTTGGTTTCAAATTGTAACGGCGCTATGGCACGCACAAGTATGGCTCTAATTCAACACTATTCCCGAAGACCTGTTGAGACGCGTCATGGAAACCAAAGAATTTTAATTGGGAGAAGAAGTAAAGCTTCAACGCCACAGCAATGCCACGGAGAAAAATTCATTCTAAAATGGGTAAAGCCTCAACAAACTTTACAGGCGTGAAGACAGACCTTGAAATTCATCCACGACTGTGATCCAAAAACCGCCGGTAATATCTGAGAGCAAAGAAATCAAGAACATTTGGAAGTACCTCAGTCTGAAGTTTCTTATGTAATGCAGATTATCTGCCTCATTTTTAAGAACCAATGGATACCCAAAATTTCTAAAATCCGAACTTCATCAAATTCCTTAAATTTTAAGGACAATCCCAAAAATATCCTCTGAATAGAACAAAATAACATCTAACAGAAGCAATTTCAAATTAACTGTTATCTTAAAACCTAAACATTACTCCGAAACAATTAAAACACTAACCCCAATAAAAATATTTTCGAATTCTTTTGCACAATGAAGGAGCTCGAAAACATCTTCGAAAGCACTAACATTTAACTAACTAACATTTCTTATTAATAACTTGCTGTAATTCTACCTATGCCTTAGTTTGCGTATAATTCTGACCCTCTGTCGGCTGAGAGGTAAGAATCGGTTCCTTCGCCCTTCATCTAAAAACCAAGCAGTCAACGACGCGGTTAGTAATTGGGAGGATGACCTCTGAAAAGGGTTAGCTACGTTGCGCGGTTTTTTTAAATTATTATTATTAATAATAATAAATGTTACATCTATGAGTTTTATTTACGGAAATATATTATCTTTGGCATTTAAAATGAAAGCGTAATTTAATACAGTATAACATTAGAATATTAATATAATAGTAACCATTTATTAAATATTTAAGTGAAAAAATGATTAATTGTAAACTGGACACTTTTTCTGTAAAATTAAAAAAAAAAAAAAAAAAAAAAAAAAAATCAAACGCAAAGTGCATTGCAGAATAAAGATTTTAAATATAAATAAGAGCAAAAGCTAATTCTCAAATAGCAGATTTATGCTTCGTACTTCACTAACATTTCAAGGAATTTCGCCAGCACCCTGCGTGTTTGCTTCACCGCACGCTGGCTTCGATTCGAAAGTCGCTTGAGGCTAGTCAAGCTGGTTTACATTATGTCTACGAGAGCTTGCCTTCTTCTGCCCTTCACATTCTTTGTGGAAGCTTTCCTGCCTCGCCTCAAAGCCATCATTAGAAAAGACTGTACCACAGATGCTCATTGATGAGTATTACCGTGGAACAATGAAGATCGCAAGAACTGTGGACAAGACAGTAGGAGAATGTAATTTGGTTCCAACAAAATGGCGCAACAACAAGCGCAAGTTGGCCTTATTCCGACACTATTCAACAAGACATGTTGGTATGCGTCATGGAAGCTGTCCCAACTCTCCAAAAACAGTGCATCCAGCAGAAGAGCATTTTAGAAAATACTGTTTCCATTGCTGTTTCACAGTCACATAAAGTATTACAAGTACTCATTGTCTTTCTATTATTATTTAAATTTGGTTCAATATGCATCACACTATTAATTAGTTCTTAGTATCTAGCCTTCCGTTATTCTGTAAGAAGAGTAAGACAGTCTTAAGGAGACAAAACACTTAACTTTATTTACTTAATTTGCTTCTTGAATTTATCTTAGGTCTGCTTACTACATGGAGAGAAATACTAAGCTATAATTAATAATGTGGAAAATGAGACACACACTGCAAAAACATGAATAACAACTGAAAGAAATTATTACGATGCAGACAAGTAGGAACAGCAGTGAAATACTATGGTAAAATATAATAATTAAAAGAAATTATTAAAGCAAAGGAGCGGGACCAGACTTACTCTTAAATTATTTTTTGCTTCTCTAGCTACTTCTTCTGACAAACCTCCTATATAAAATGGTGATTTGACATTGACTGAGCTAGCTGCACCTAGTGAATTTCCTCTAACTTCCTCTTCATCATCAATCACAAGTCTTCCTTCTACACCCTGGCGCGAAAATACAACTCTGTGCCACGTGCCATCATTATATTGATTTTGTGAAGATATAACAGCCGTTCCCGTACCGCAGTTGAAAACATAAATAATCTAGAAAAAAAAATAAATAGCAAACTTCAACGATGAACAAGTATTCACAGCTAAAAAATATTTACTAGCCCTCTGGGCGGCCAGGGTTTTCGCTAAGAAAGCACAAATTTCCCAAAACTACTATGAGAACAAATTATTTTTTTGATTTTAATGCAAAAACTCTCCTGGTATTTCATACCCGGATTTGTTTTCTTTTGATATATTGCCTTAATTTCGTTGACATATTTTAATACGCACGTATATATACGTTCCTACAGATATCACAATAAATATTCTAGGCCGTATATATACGGCCTTGCCGCTTAGAGGGCTAGGATGCATGATTAGAATAGTTATTTGTATAAAAAGATACAAAAAAATTCAAATTACTAACTAACATATTAATCACTAAACATATTAATAAATTTTTTGTTTAATTTTTCTTTGGATATCCAGAAATTATTTAGATTTCTAGTTACACAAAATTTTACACAAAAAGAAAGTAAAAATTATTCTTTGTTAATTAATTATTATTAAAAGAAATAAAAAATGCACATCCTACATCCACTTTACGAAACAAAAAAGATATAGGATAAATTCAAATAAAAATTTAATTTGGATTGGATGTTGATACTTTCGAAACTAACGTTTAATTTCGATGAACCCACACAAATGAACAATGTATTCTTTTCAACGTTGGATAACTTACTTTGCCACCTTGTAGAACTAATCCAACAAAATCTATATGATTGCTGCCAGCAACATAGAATAAAACGCCGTGTTTTCGTTTGGTGCGGAACTCTAAAGCGAATGTGCTGTCATCAAGAATGCTTCCCATGAATGAACCAGGCTTTGAAAATTCTTGTCTACTAGCTGGCGCGTTTCCAAAACGAATACCATCGCCAGGCTTCACACTGGTATCAATTCTCGGCTCCAGTGGAAGTGCACATTGTCCAACTGGCGTAGGTTCTGGGACATCTGGATATTCTGTGGTGTATTCCACATCCACTGAAGGAACGGTTGCTTCTGAAAATTAGTTTGAATTAAGCTTCTAAAGTTGTTATCACATTAATTTATGACTCAGATCAAAAACAGATTACGATTCTTTCAGTTATTTAAGGATGAGTTTATGAATATAAAACTGACGTTAAATTGCAATACCTCATGTATTAAACTGGTCCATTAATATTTTTGCAACCTGCTATACATTAAATTACACACTTACGCTCGCTCGTTAATAATAAACTGCAATATACCCCATGTTCTTAAAAAGTCTATATGTGGCCTTTATATTTGCAACCGTTGGTCGTTGACACATACTTTCTATAATAGGAATGTTTCAAATAAACAAAGTATTTATGTTTAGTCATATTTATTTGAATAAATTTGTAAAAATTAAGAAATCTAACATTTTATACGGTCATCAGGTCCATACAGTAATATTTAGTACAAATTTGTATTCATTCTGAAAAATAAAACGCTGAATATTTGGTTGTGGTACAAAAATAGATGAGTAAAATATTTAATTTTAAAGTTTGAGATCGGGTCACCTGAAATTCACGGATCGTACGCAAACTGAGCCGAGAACTCTTCAAACTTATACTAACTAAAAATGAATTATCAGTTCAAGCTGCCGTAAAAAGTTTCAAATAATATATTTTTTTTTTTTTCAAAAAGGAGATCTTATTCATCGAATAACGTCAAGCATCAGCACTGGCACATTGCTGATTCGTACATTATTTGCACAAATTAAAAATAAAAATGATTTCTAGCACAATTTTTTTGGTATGACTATTACATCATAATCCCGCAGTAATGAAACTACAAGTGAATATTGCTATTATATTTTTAAGCATTTGAAAACTTATAAATTATTTGTGCAAATACGTTTTGGCATGCCAAATGTAACAAAATTATAAATGAAAGGCTAATTTACTTATTGATAAATCACAAAACAATATCATTGGATAACATTAAAGTGAAAAAAATTTCAGCCAAAATTATTCTTATTTAATTTTTGGTCGATCAACTAAGGAAGCCCAGTCCTAGCACTGAAAATCTTTTTTGAATGCAAAACTTTGAAATTAGATATTTTGGTGAATTTTCGTCGCACAGGAATCAAACGTTTTGCATTTTATTTTTTTAGATTGAGGTCAAGCTTTTACCAAAATGAACTATATGTAATACGCTACCGGATAACACGCGGTGTTTTGTAGTTCTCTCAAAATCGACTTAAATTTTAAAATGCCGTAATATGAATATTGGTATCATTTAAATATTTTTGCAACTGGACCGATGATAGCAAACATAAATGCCAGATACGAACTTTTCAGGACATGCTGTCTATATCAGATATAGACAGCATGTCCTGAAAGTAGAATAGCAAATAAAAACTGTATGTGAAAAAAATGCAATATAAAATTTATATATAATACTTTACTATCAAAACTATTATTACTTCTCTGATATCATTCATATAATCTAAAGACTTACTATTCTTTAAAAAGAAAAATGCTATTCTTCCTGAAATTAGACAATATTTAATTTTAGAATCGTATGCTTTGTGCTTTTCTAAGAAATTAGGTAAGACAAGCGCATTATTATTATTAGCCCAAAGGGGCTTTCTCCCTAAAGGAATATGGTTTTCGTTTTGCGATTTTGCGTTGGTTCACTATAAATGTCCGTTTCACTTTTCAAACTGTTGCCACCAAATGTTAGAGTTCTGCATTATATTTGAAGAAATTAAATAATAAAAAATCTGCATAAATGTATATATATTTCTCGCATTGTGATAAAACAACGGTACATAGAGCCATCGAATTTTGAATGACGTAATCCTACTGCGAATATGGGCATCTGGAAGCCCAAATTTGAAATTTGGAATTTGTTTTAATATCGATTTCATATTTTGTAAAACTTTTACAAATTTTTGATTAACAAACTCAAGGATTTCAGAGCGAGCAATGTCAACGTTGTAAAGAAAAAAACATTTTTATCTCCAGCGCGCGAGACTGTGTCTCGAAATTCTAACATATGCTCAATTTAAAACTATTTTGCGATATTGCCCTTGAACTGAATTTTATGGTTTAAGTGCGACAAACGTGATATTTAATAAATAAAGGTAACAGACAAATTGTTAAAAAAACACCCCTTTGGACGTAATTTAAAATCTGAAACCTTTCAGATTTTCTTTTTTTATTATTACTATTATTATTATCATTTAAAATTCAGCTTTATCTTAAAACCGTTTAAAACATCGTAGCATCCCTTTCTCAGTGAAAGTCAAAATCAAGAAAAAGTACAATTTAAGTACATTAAGATGCTTTTATTAGAGGAAAAATGTTCTTACTGTCCGGTGGAACATAGTCCGGAGCTGATGGCAGTTCCGAGATAGATGGAGGCGTTGGTTCTAAGGGATCTGCAAGTGGACAGCTAGCTAACGATACACCTTTCCTGTCCTGTGTATCAGCAAAATTCATAAATTTATTATTCACAGTTGTATCCCCAATACATCCAATAAAAGGTGAATATGATGACAATACTTCAGCAGTAATTGTATAATCATCAGGCACTCCTCCAAAATACATAGGAGTAGTTGTCGAAATGATGGCATCAACAGGGACTTCAACTTCAACAGAGTTAATGTCATCAATATCTAATCTCAGTTGTCTCACAGCTTTTGTTGCTGAAACATAATGCCACTCTCCATCATTGTATTTAACGTTCGGATTTGTTCTTATTTCACCTCCTGGGTTACTGCTCATAACAAGAACTCCATTATGTAATGCAATTAATAAATAATTTGATTGGTCTTCATTTGCAGTATAAAATATTAAACCATCTTCTTCAACAGTTTTGAATTTGAATGTCAGTTGAGCTAATTTTTCGAAATTATCTGATGGCATTGCTACATACCCAGTCGATACATTGCTGAAGGATACTGTTCTAGCAATCTGAAAGAAGATGAGTATAAATTATTTAATTTACCTTTAATAGGTATATTACACAACATGCACATATATATATATATATATATATATGTATGTACAATGAAGAAGCAAAACATTCTGGCCACCAGATTTTATGAGAGCAAACGCAGGTAAACGTAGATTTACTCTCTCTAAATAATCTTTAAATATTAAACATAAAATTCAAAAGAGAGTTGTTTAAAATCACAATTACTGTTGCTCTTAAGATGAAGAAGTAAATTTGACAAAGCTTAAGTTGTATAACAGGAGTTAAGCAGTTCCAAGATGTAAACATTTTCTTGATAAGGTATGTGTGATCAGCTTTTGGTTGATAGTGGTATGTAATGGTAATGGTCAAACGAAGAAACACTGTAAACCAGAAAACTGTGAGATAAGATAAGATATGGACTTCCTGACTCCGGAAATTGAGCCGCACTGTGAGTTTCTTTGCCCCTTACAACATGGCACGGAAGTTCAACCTTTGCTCTCGCACCTCGGAGAAAAGGACGCATCGCTTAAAGCGACACTGGTAGTCAATTTGCTACCTGCCAGTCGCTCGGGTTGCCCGTTGCAGTAGGATATTATCCAGCAAATCCGAGGCCGCCACCCCCGGGCTACTAGAGCCACACCGCTCTTGGACTCGCCAGACCACCAGGCCGGCCAGTGAGTGACTTTCCAGGGCCTCCAGAACTACTAGGTTAATACATTTTATACCTCCGTGGCCGAGACTACCTAGGTACAGATCTTAGCCAGTAGCTTCGCAGACTCAGTGGATACTGTCGGATAACCAAGGCTTGTAAATTTGAGTTCAAAAGGCTGTGTCATAGCAGATAGTAAATCAAACATTTTTGAAAATACACTGGCCTATTTGCACACTCTTCCAGTTACTTGTGTTTTCTTTGATTAACATCAAAAGTGCCATTTGAGCTTAGAGCTTTTTAACATCAAAAGTGCCACTGGAGAAAGAAAAAAAACCTAGATCTTAAATGACTGAAATAAGACTGCCTACTCCAGTAAAGCTCCTTTTGTGTTGTTTTCTGTGGACAAATGGCCTCAGTATATTTCACTTACCTGAGAAAGAGTTCTTACCAGAATGCAATTTAAGACAAAATTAAGCTTATGAAAAAGAATGCACATGGAGTTTTTCTGCACATAAACTGAATACAGGAAGCCACGAATTCAATCATCCATATGCAGAAAAGTATTTGAAACCAGTTACCTGCATGCCACTGTAGCCGAGGAATTCCATGACCATGTTTGTCATCTGGAATCTCATTTTGTCAGTAGAGTATTTTAATATGTCATACCACCATGCTGTTCAAGGATAGTTCCCAAAAACATGATGACGATTTGTAGATACTGTTTGGCCTCCAAATTCCTTTAGATATCAATCTAGTGGTATGTGTAGCAGATATGACAGAAATGCACACTTAATCTGAGTCTTAACCCTGATCACTTAACACTGTAATATAATATTTAAAAGAATCTGCTGGTAATGTATTAATATTATAAACCATAAAATATTTTTAATAATATTGCAGCATCTATGTCTTATTGCACACAAGTTGCTCTTGCAGTAAATGTAGTTCAAACTCTATATTAGGGAGGTGGTCATGAAATAGTTTTGTTCTTCAGTGTCTCTCAAAATTGCATTTGTAAATTACTGAAAATAAGTCGTTAATATTTAGCATATGGAAATACATAATTATGTTATGGTTCATACCATCACAGGACAGCCATTTACAACACCCAAAGCTTTGTTATTTTTGGTCAGATCTATCAATTCTGCACCAATCTGCATGTCCATAATGCAGCCTTCAAATCCAGAGGTTGTAACTTCCCTAAAACATCAAACATATTAAACATTAATTTAAAGCACTTTTAATCAAATTCAGCAAATGACTTCATGAAAATAAATTTACTCTAAAATATTGATTTTGCATTTGTAATATAAAACGACAAAGTATTTTTTTAGAATTTTCCATTTTTTCAGATTCACAATACACTTTAATTTTTAAATACATTTTATAAATACATTGTTTAACAGTTTCAAACTAAGCATGGTGGGGTGACTAAATTGTTTTCTTTTCTTTAATATATTAAATATTGGCATCTTGGGTACTCTATCAATCTCAATAGTGAGCTTTAATGTATTATCAATTTTTGATTTACGCAACTTTGGTACATCAAGTCAAGACCTTGGGTATAAGACCAAAAGTTCTTTATGTCTCCTTATAAAGTCATTGGAAACCTTTTTTCCCTTTACGTACACTTTAGCACCCTATTTTCCTCAATTCTGAACTTCATTTTATCAAAATATTTGCAACTATTATGGCTGTCCCTCCATCTGAGCTTGTTTGTGTGTTGTACGTATAAACATGCATTCTTGTAAAATAACTTAGAAAAGGGTGGAATAATAAAGTGAACAGATGTTTGCGCTCACAATGTACAATAATTTATAATACATTCACCACAGATTGCATTGCGTTAATTAATAAATTACATTTGTCCGCACCACAGATTGCATTGTGTTAATTAATAAATTACATTTGTCCATTTAATGTGTCAAAAACTGAAAAAACTTCGCATGTTTTGATACAATACGTATGAACACCCGACAAATATTTTACACAGTGCAGATCCTCATAGAGATTTTGGACTGTTTTTCAAGCGAATAATTTTTTTAATAACCAGGCTTATCTGATACAAGGCATAATATTAAATCTAGTATGTTATGATATTCATTTTTATAAAGGTATAAAGAGAAAATAAAGTTTTTTATAAAGTTCTTTCCCTCAGCCCCCATTTGTAATCTTTAATCCTTTCTCTACCAGTTTATTTTTTATACATGATTAATATTTTGTGTTATACAATACGTTCCAATTTTATGAAGCACAGATTTTTTAACTTAAGAGTAATTTCTCAGGGTTCGTGAAATAAAGATGTTCCAATGTTGTTTTTAATGGGATACATATTATACATATCTCAGTGAGTCAAAAATTAAATGAGACTTACATGACCCATTTTTGTAAAAAGGATAATTTCAGTAAGAGGGTTTTTTTTTTTTTTTTTTTTTTTTTTTTTTTTTTCTAAAGTAGTATTATTCGAAAGATCGATCAACTGCTGTTTTTCTCTGACTGATAATCTGATAGCAGAGAAATAGTCAAAGAAACCAGTTTTTCTTTTCTCCAGATTTTAGGAAGCTTTCTCAAAAGTTACTTTAATTTTTTCTAGTAAGTGTTCAGGCATTTCCTCACTCCTTTTTGTTTTTTAGATTTCCAAAGAAAGCTTGTTTTGTTATGCAGAAATGTAGAGTTTTAAATACTTCACACTGAGATTTTTAATTCATGAATTCCAGAAGTTTAATTTTTCAAGTTTTTCAAATTTGCATGAAACATTGAATATCATTAATAAATTATTTCAAAGAGCCAAATTTTGATCATTTGTTTGGAGAAAAAAATTCAATAAATATGCAACAGCATAATGATAATCACAGTCATATTGTTCAGAAGAAGGTTGGAAAGGATGATCACCAAAAAACAAAATCTGAACACCATATCTAAGTTCAAATAGGTTATAGGATTAGACGCGAAAGTTACAGCCGACAACATCACGGCAAAAACATCGCGAACGAAGATGTCGCGGAGAAAACAATGCAAGGCGAAAACGCCGTGATATAAAACATCGTGGTTCTAAAACATCGTGGTCTAAAACATCGTGGTATCATGGTCGAAAATAAAGCAATTCAAAACCATCGTCGTCGAAAATATCGTGTAAAAAGTAAGGTACCTAAAACTCATCGCATGAAAATAACATCGCACACATGCGTTTCGAAATCCCATACTGACAAATTCTGTAACTCACTTTCGTCATTACTAAAAAATCGACATTCAAAAAATTGATTGTATGCTGTACATGAAAATGTTAAAGACACCTTAAGAAAAGTTTTTAAACGGAAAATTTTCCCTGAAATAATATCAAATTAACAAATGTGAAAGAAAATAATTTGATCATTAACTAAGCAATTTTTCTAGAGATAACCTCAAGCAGTTATTTATCTTCTTTTTCCTCAGAACGCTCAAACTCTATTTTTCATAAAAAATTATCAGTAAAACTTTATTAAAAAAGGTTAATTTATTAATGACTTTCGTTAAATAATTATGCAAATTTAAAATCAAGTCCCATAACTTGCATTAATTTTCTACTCATTTTCAATTTTTAATGCTTAAGTTTCCTTCTTATTTTTTCGGCAAAAATTTGTTAGTTCGTTTAAAAATATTAAATATAGAAGTAAAAGAATCCCTCTTTCCTTCTTGTGCTCCCAAATCATCATACGAACATGCATTTACAAATTTTAAAACCTGAAAACGCTTGTGTGCGATGTTATCGTCATGCGATGATCTGCAGATTCTTTATTTTTACCACGATATTTTCGACGACGATGTTTTTAAACTGCTAAGATTTTTAACCGCTTTATTTTCGACTGCGATATTTTGTACCACGATGTTTTAGAACTGCGATGTTTTTTCTTTGCTTTCTTTTCTCCCACGATGTTTTGCACCCCGACGTTTTCGCCTTGCGTTGTTCTTTCCGCGATGTTTTTAGCGGACACCCACCTTACTTCCGTATGAAAAGACAACGTATAAAGATTTCATTTAGTGTTTTGAAATTCTCATATTTGTAAATTCCCATATTTGTTTATTTTACAACAAGTATAATAACTTAATCGAGTTGTATGTATAAAAATAACAAATTTTATCATCTTCATTAGGAATGAATTCTGGTTCATACGGAGATTTCTAAGATATTAGGCTTTGCTTAATCATATGACAGTAACTCCAGCTCATCACTTTTCCGGCAGCACTAGCTAAACAACAAAATAATATCTTAACACAGATTTCCTCTCATCAGTGAACAGTTCGCATGAATTAAACAAATTATGCCCTTTGCCATTTTCTTTGAAGTAATAATCAATGGCATTGTCCTTACTTCTACTTCTTTTTAAGAGAAGACTGCAAAACAAAGAGTTTGCTTCGGCCATGGTGCGTCCTCTTAAGGAAGAGGTAACGTTTGTGACATACAAAGAGTGAACTAAGTAACACATGTGTTTTCTTAAATTGAATAGCAAAGAATTTATTACTTTTAATACTACCAATCAGCCCTTAAGTGCACTAGGACATATTGTAAATTCTTCAGGATGCTACATTGTTTGATGGAGGGAGAGAATTTATTTTTCTTTCTTGTCCTCGAAGTGTAAATAGAACAATGGCAAGCAGAACAGATGTACGAGTAAAACAAAATTCTCAACTGCAGCATGCCTCTTATCATATCTAGCATTATGATAATTTGTATGATAGAAATCCTCAAGCGCATTTCTTTTGTCTTATATACGACATTATATAAGACAAAGACATTATATGAGACAAATTGTCTCATATATTGTCTTATATATGACAGCATGGAGTCATACTCTGATGTGTCACTAAGCAATGAAAGAAGCTATATTCTTTGCTTGTACAGCTAGCATGCTATGATGGTATACGCCACAATAGTAAAGAAGGTTTCATACTACAGCTGAACAGTACTTTACACGTGGGATTAAGACACTTCTCATCTCATTTATACGAAAATCCATATTTTGTGTATTTTCTCATATACATGCTCTAAAAACTGACTTTACCCTTCCATTGTTTTATACTGAAGTGTTAGACGTGTTTCTAGAAATTTTCCATGATTGATTTATATTCAGAACATATTTCTCAATCATCGTCAGTTTTCATTTCATAACTAATAACTAACGAACGGAAGGCTCAGGTGCTGGGCACTTCAGCAGGCTCCTAGGCTGGGACAGCCACATCCTGTGCAGAATTCATTGTAAATAGGCGTATCTTTCCGGCATAACATGTTAGAGAATATGATTGAGGAAGAATGAATTTTTCCTCAAGAGAATTCAGTGGTCGTTGTATCATGGCATAGGTAAAGATAAGCAATTCCGAACGATAGTCAATTCATGAGCCTTGCGCATAGTCAGAACGTATAGTCAGAACGTCCATCAAGAGAGATAAGCGTAACAGTTACTGCTTCGACATCCGGCTCTCAAATGAGTGAGAAACAGATAGCAGGGCAGGTCCATGGCTGGATGGTAGGAGCTACTGGTCATGTGATCCAATGGGTGTCCTGGAAAGAGAGTGCATTTTCTTGCTCGACAGGCATTGGTGGGGGCAAATTTTAAAGTTTAAACTTGGTTGAAATCCTGAATACATTTATTTGATATAATAAAAAGAAATTTATCAAGTTACAATACAATAATGAGAAGTAAAGGGATCCTGGACTGAAATAAGTTGGCCTAATTGTGATGCGTTCTGAATAAGTATTAAAATAAGATATATTGTAACATACAAGGTGTTGGTGTAACGAATTAGTGATTCATATTCTGAAATACAGATGGCGACACATGAGTGTGAGCTTTTAAGGGTTGCATATGAACGGTGAAGATTTGCAAACGTAAAACAAACATAGAAATACAGAAAAGCAGTACTTAAAACAGTTGATAAAATTAAATTAAGTGCCGGAGAACTGCTCCGTTTTTTTTTTTTTCTTCACTGGTATAATCATAATTTAATCTTGGAATAGAGCTGTTGTTGAAGAATTTCCTTGCTATTTTGGCTATGTGTATACTAATGCTTTCAATATTTAACTCGTTCTGAATAGCCTCGTTCCTGAAGAACAAAGGACTATTGGATATAATCCTCAGCATAACATTTTGGCTTTGCTGAATTTTCAGCATGTGAGTTAACGAACGGAACTGACAGTTTAAAACTTATCAAAGGAAAGATGAGAGAAAACATGGAAGAAAAATCAGAAAACATTATTCATAGGAAAAGACTAGGATATCTGTTTTAGTTAAGGTAAAGAAGTTGAACCATTTGCATGATTATGAATAACATCCAGAAACTTTTGAGTTCAGAAAAAATACGATTCTTAAACTTCCGTTTTCTGCTATTTTTATCACACAGGAGAAAATTTATGCTTAATGGTTAATTAAGTAATAAGGTTAATGGTAATTAGTTATGGAGTTACAATGTTTTAATTTCGAAGAAAAATGTTTTCAAAGGTATCTGACGAAGTGATAAATTTCTCAAGGAATATTGCAGAATAGGAAGTGCCTCTTAGAACTCGAAATATGAAGAAAGCAAATTATTGCCACCTAAATACTTTATGGCGGTTTAACCGTAACTGAACTTTAAAACAAGTGTAACAATGAAATATTTATTACAAAGTGCATCTGAAAAATGAACAGTAGATGTGTAAAAATTGTAAGAACTATGAAAAATAAATTAACGGTTATTCCTAAGTAAATATTGTACATAAACTTATGCATTCTCACTTTGATCCTTAATCTATAACTTACGTATAAGAATGTCTGCCCTTATAACCTCCGACAAATATCTGGTTTGTAAAAGATAACACACTTTCTGAGCCAGGTGACTGCCCACTATCAACTTCAACTTGATCCACCTATAACAAATGAGATGTCTCAGAAAAGTACTGAACAAAATATATAAAAGAGGCATTCATGTAATAAAAAATAGAAATAAAACTTTGGTTCATCTTTAATTACAATTTATTTCACAGTCTGTATATTTACTATTCAATGAAATCAAAATAAGAAAATATTCTAAAGAGTCAACTAAGCCCTTTGTAGACTCTTACATGAATGAAAACTTTTTACAGTCTTTTTAAAGCTCTACTTTTCAAAGCTCTTTTAAAGCTCTCCAAGAAAATGAAGTTACCATGCAAGACAATTTTGAATTATTTTGTTAAGCAATCAGGCCTTGTCTGCTTTTCTATCTGCATCTGTTTATTTTAAACTTCTCACTCCAGAAGAACAAATGGGGAATGAAATGGAAACACTTTAGAAACTGAAGTTATCACGCAAGAGTTTTTTTTTTTTTTTAATTATTATTATTATTATTATTATTATTATTATTTTGCGAACTAGCTAAACCCAATTAGTTTGCTTTCATGTCTGCCTCTGTTCATTTTTAACCTCTCGCTCCAGAAGGGCATATACGGAAAATGAAATGAAAAGACTTTAGGAAGGCATGAATACAGTTATTTAGCTTGAGTTTATGAATTTATTCACAACTTTAGGAGCATTAGGTATCTCCTTAAATTCTTTCTAAACCCTAAATATAAAGTAAACTGTCAGTGCTTAGATTTGCAGCTGCTCTGGAAGAAACAAGAGCCACACGGAAGTTGATTTGCTGAGGGGGGGCCAGTTGATTTAAATCAAATTTGTATAACCTATCACTTTTACTCTATTTATGTAGGTCTACTACCGACTAGCTGTTGGTTCACGTTCACTGCATACACGTATAAGCAGGAAACCATACTTAAAACTTTTATTAGTAACTAGTTACTTAACAAAACTAACGAAATTACACAGAAAATAATTGAAAATTGAAACTTAGATTCTTGTCTGGTGTAAATTCTTACAAAGCAACAGTTGGATTCAAAATCGATAATTTACAAAAGCTGCTTTACTGCGGAGGCACAATTTACTACGCCATCTATTACCACAATCAAACTTGTAAAATATTAATTTAAAATCTCACTTACAAAACGGACCCCTAAATTTTCTTACAATATCTTACTGACGCTACTAAGTCTGACTCTTTATGCCACAGTCGAGCACCTACCATCTGCTCTAGAGATGGACAAAACCGCAGATCAAGAGGATCGAATCAAAACGGTTCGCTTACTGAAATGAATCGGTTCTATTTTATAATCCACTACTCACTAACAGTAACCTTCACGAAGAAGTCCGGAATGACGGGTGAACCATGAGCGGTTAGCGAGCATGGTGGGAAGAGCAGAATGAATCAAACGGGTAGTGGAATCAGAAAAACCGACTCATTCAAACACTAACTTCCTGAACTGATTTCTTTCAGCTGCAGATTTCAGATTCCCTAATACCTCCTTCGAGGCCCTGTGGCTAGCGTGTTGCACAGCAGTGCCACAGGTCCAGAGTTCCATCTCTGGGCTGGGCAAAGATGACTCAGCCTTTCATCCCTTGAAAGAGTCTGTAAAATGAGTACTAAGTTCGCTTGGGACCTAAACATCGGAGGTCCTGCAACAAGCTGACGATTTGCCCAGGGTACTATCTGGCTACGAGAACGTTCCGCCACACTGTCTGGCTAGTGGTGGTCGCTATAGCAGCAGGGCTAGTATATTTCAAATAGGGGCGAACCAACAGTTGCTTTATCGTTATATTGTTTTTGGCGACTGTTGGCTGAGGGGAAAACAGTTTATCATTCAAAACTCCCCTACGGAAAATGGGTCAAGGCTCGTTCCTAAGGCAACCGACAGCTGTAGACTAACTGGCTAGAGCTTTTCTTATGATAGAGAGACTGTATATGCTCATCCACTCCGGGCCTCACGGTCAAGAAACCAGACATCATGGTACAACAGACCATGGCTCACTAACGGCTGTTGCGCCATTAAGATTTTAGTTTATTACCTCTTTTCTTCACAGAATTAAAAAATTTTGAAAAGGTTGGAAAATTATAATAATTGAACTCACTTATAACATTGGAGGACAAACATTCTTTACACCTCTAAAACTGAAATCGAACTTTTCTGTCACACTTTCAACAACAGTCCCGTTTTTTCGCCAGTCAGGCGTAAACGTGCCCATTAAAGTGAATTATTTCGTGAATTAATATCAGATGTCTGTTTCTCTCTCGCTTCCAACAAGATCCCACCGTAAACTGTAAAAGAGTTACAACTTCCCTTTCAGAAATTGGAGTAAATTTACCCAGTAAAGTGAATCACTGCCAGATTGGATCATCTAAATCTAATCCACTCACGCAAAATGGAAATCGCTCAGCAACTCATTTAAGAATTACTATACCGTATCGTATGAGTTGCTTTCTTAAACTACTTTAAACCTACTCCGAAACTGAGTAATGTGTTTCAGAAACGAGAAATGAAGGAACAGATCAATTTAAAGATTTTACCTTTCATGCTCCTAAAGTGAATAATTTGGTTCAGGAAAAGAGAACTGAACGAACAGAGCAATTTTAGAATATGATTTGATCTTATTGATGTTTCAGTAATGTCTCTGTGATGTTATGAATAATTAAATGAAATCGTCTACAGTCATGCTACAAGTTACAATATTTTTCAATTTAAAATTTTCGAAATCGAATGAGGTTAACAACTTTAATAAATTTAAGCTGTTGGTTATAAGCTCGTGAGCTTAATCCTAATTGAATCACTTAACTATTATGTTTTAATGACAAAACTTCACAAAGGGTAGACTTAAGTAAGGATTGAGAATTAGCGAAAATCACACAGACCTCATAACTGTTGTTCTTGACAGCATGACTGCAAAAGGTATTTGGAAAAGCTTTGAATCCTAAATCAGACGTGTCTGTTTGTGATCCCGTCACATACAGCCTGGCTTTCAGAGAGAGACTCTTAAAAAATCTGTCTTAAATAGTGTCTTTTTAGGAGGGGGCACTTAAATCTATCGATTCAAAATTCATCTAGAGCAGTGATTGTCAAACTTATGAAGCTTCTGACCTGCTATACCATTTTTAAAACCTGCTGTGAGCTACCTAAAAGAACTACCAACTCCTTTTTAAAAAAATCTTATATTTGTGTATTATAAACTTACATTTCTAGTAAATTTGAAATCAATTTTAATTGAACTGTATACAACGAAAATAAACTGAAATTGAATTTTAAATAGGAAAGAAATTGAAGTGCAGTTAGTAACAAATAACAAATGTAATAACAGACTTTTTTATCAGACTGATTAACATTAATGAAGAGGGTGGAACTCTATTTTTTTTTATTTGTTTGTTCGTCATCAACAACTTTTTAATGTTGGGAGAGTAGATAGTGACTCCATTCGAATACAGTTGTCCAAGTGTTCATCAGTGAGTCTATTTCTGTACTTATTTTTAATAAATTTTATACTGGAAAAAGAAACCTCTGACAGATATATATAGAGCTCAATATTATTGCCTTCACTCTGACAAAAACCTGGATTAAAACTGGGTATTTTTTTTAAGGAGCAAGAGGTTAAATATTTTCATAGCTTGAAGAAAGCGATTTTACAGATAAATGACTTTGAAAAATCAGTCAGTTCCAATTCCACTGTGTCTTCTTGTCAGAGTCAGCTCAATGGAGGAATCAAGATTAGGCAATCGAAGATGGTGTTGGTGTTGGTGTATTTAATTATGGCAAAGCACACTAGGGCTATCTGCCTAAGAGGAGGGATGCCTTCCGTGGAGGACTTTCTAAGGGAAACTGGCTCGTATACACTCAATCGAAGATGTCCCCGAACCGAAGATAGTTAATGCGATCTACCGAATATGTCTCCGAGCTACTAGTAGCTCGCGATCGATGGTTTGGCGAAGACTGACTAGAGAATGGTAAAGGAAAAAGAGACAGAAAGCCAATGACTTTTCAACCCCTGGGGTTATTACCTGTCAAAAAGTGGGACGGCGCTTTCATAAGTTCTGTATAAATTAAATCCCTAGTTAATTAAAATTAATAATGTTAATCTCTTTTAGAGAACAATTATATTCAAGCCAAATGCTGTTGCTGCACACTGAACTTTAAAAATGCTCAATTCCTTTTATGCTTTTAATTTTTGTGAAATAATTGAGCATTTTGTGAAATAATTGAGCAATCTCATTAGTAATTTTAAAAGAGGTTCATTTACCTTTAGAACAGCTTCTTTTTCAACTCTGGTTGCCTCCAGCGAGTGCCATTTACCATCATTGTACGCTTCTGGCGATCGCAAGACAGCTGTTCCACTTCCTAAATTATACTTCAGAACTATGTGACCCTCTTCCATTTGAAGGGCTAAGAATTTATTCTGTTAACAAAATTATAATTAGTATCATATCGCTTGAATCACATAGTTTATTTAAATTTACATAGTGCTGAAAGAGCAATACTACTAGCATTATTATAGTTCATATCATTATCATAACAGTATACAACGCAGCAACAACAAAAGTACAAATGTAACAAAACAACAAATGTAAACTACATTTATACTAGTACGATTTATTTTTGCTTTTGTTTGCATTTCTTTTCTTGTTTAAGGTGCCAGGCGAATCTCCATTTGTTTATGCGTTTGCATTAACTTTTCATAATTGGTTTAAGTTTATTTTATAGTAATAAATATAAAATAGACTAGTCCATATATAAATTTTGGGTATTCATGTATACCTATGTACACTGTGCCAATAAATAAATAAAATTTTTAAAAATGGTACAGTTCTAAATCTCCCGTTCTACTGGGCCGACTGAGGAAATTCAAATTGCGTTTTCCATGTCTCGAAAGCGCGACTTAGGATATATATTAGATTTATATATAGCATTGCTCTAACATAGGTATTTTGACAAAAAATCGGACTTTTTCTGAAATGACATGCCAATTTGTTTCCATATTTCAATTCTATGACTCAAATTATGCCTAGATATTAAATTTTGCAATTTGTGGTGCGAAATTTAAGGAGAAATTCAAAACTTTATCTTGGCGTATTTTTTTCAGTTTGCAACAAGAATAATTCACTTGGCGAACTTCTTAATTTATAGCAACCTATTTTCCTTTCCTTTTTACATTGTCTACAAGTGGAAAATAAATCATCGTTCACACTTTCAAATAACTTTAACAGAGTTCGTAAACCACATTTTCGTTATTATCGCTTATAATAAATACGCCAAATTTCAAAAGGCGCCAAAATGTAAATTCACGTATATCTTAGGCAATTTTGATTAAGAAACTCTAATGTTTTGCAGGTATGCTTAGAACTACATTTTACTTTAAGATGATAGCAAAACTTTATAGGTTATAATTCAAATTTTTTTTCGAAAAAATTATGAAAATTATTTAAAAATACAAATTTTAAAAATAAATCATAAAAAAAGTCGAATTTTATTTGGAATGAAACTAAACTTCGAAATATGAAAGGAGGAATCAAATAAGTTTAATAAACAAAGAGATATTAATAAATATATATCAAATTCAATTAACATTGAGGAGCTAAAACTTTGAGAGCTAATTTTTTAAAATCTACACATGCGATTTTTTCAATACTTGGCAGTTTGGCATAATTTGAGTAGTAGAATCGAAATATGGAAAAAAAATTATTAGCATGTCATTTCAGAAATGGCTGGTTTAGTGTCAAAATACCTGTATTAGAACAACGCTATATATAAATCTAATACATATACTAAGTCGCGCTTTCGTGATATGAAGAACGCAAGTTGAATTTCGTCAATCGACCCACTAGAACGGGACTGATATAGAACTGCCCCCCTCCGTTTTTTTCCACAGTATACTTAACCGAGGCTCAAATTGTTACATTTAACTTATCCAGCCATAATTAATCAAATTCCAAGAACATGAAGTTTCAAATAAGAATTACAATAATAAGTAAAACAAACATTCAGCGCTTAATATCTAAACTTAGAAATGCCGGAGCCCTATGGAAAACCGTCAGCAAAGAGGAACAGAAGTAAATAAATAAATAAATAAAATGACTATTAAAATCATTAATAATTTTAAAATTAAATAATTAATTATTACCAAATTAATCAATAACTATTTAATTAACATTAAGATTTAATATTAATCAGTTATTATTTAATCAATAATTATTATTTAATTAAATATTAATTAATTAATATTATTAAAATAGTTAAATAATTACAGATTAAAATAATTAAAATTAAATAAAAATATTTTACTGAAGTCGTTGTCCAGTTGCATAAAAGAAGTGCCGGAGCCTTCTTATTTACGGCTCCGGTGAACTCCGCCTAGAATTATGATTTATTCCATAAACTGAGAAGTATTGGAGCCGGGCTCCGGCGCAATTTAAGTTCTGCAAACATTCAAAAAAAATTAACTGATAACTATTACTATTATAAAAATCACTTCATTTTGCAAATAATAGGATATCACTTTTTCACTAAAAATTAAAAAAAAAAAAACACTAACATTTTTCCCTATCAAGAAGAGCAATCCCTCTTTTGCGTATGTTTTAAACTGCATTTTAATAATTGTTTCTGTCCCGAATTGGTGCTTCTTTCTGGGCAAAATAACGTATCCAGCTCCACTAAAACGAAGTCCATTTGAAGGCTGTAATATAACAAGCTGATCTCTATCTGCACATCCTTCGAAATTATTTTCGGCGTATACAAAATCCCAGAGTCCAACTGGAGTTCCACCAAACTCTACATCCTCTATACATCCTTCAAAGTGAAAGTGCTTTACGCTGTCTGGTAGCTGTTAAAAAATACAGAAATTACAAATTCATGCATTATTTTCTGCATATTGAAAGAATATCGTAATGGAATTATAAATATAAAAACATTTGCTTCAATTTAATTCACAAGAAAACTAAATCTTATCACATAATTTTAGTGGAATTAAATTTAAGCTTTTACATGTGAGTAAGAGACAGCAATTATTTACTTCGAGGGGGCGGGAGGGGAAACTTAATTTGAAAATCGAATTCTAACATTTAGTGCCCATTAATTTGAATTAACTTTTAACAGAATATAATTACCTACTCTTCCATATGCCTGTTTTTTATATTTTAAACTAGCGGAAGTACACGATGCCAGTTAATTTAGATTGAGAATAATGCATCTAACAACAGAGCGAACGATACCGCTGGAATCCTTCTCTAATAAGGATGCAAAAATTACTCATGCATTTTTCAGTCTGATGCGATATGGAACCCACATTAAAAAAAAAAAAAAAAAAAAAAAAAAAAAAAAAAAAAAAAAAATTCGATAGAAAAATAAGCTAAATCTCTCATTATATCAACAACAAATGGTAGGCAATTTTTAATGATTTTCGTCTTTCTAATCAAATGGTCGTAAAAGTTCAAGTTCTATCCAATATTTCACCTATATTCACTTTTATTCGATTAAATGTGGCCAAAAATATTAATCATAATTGACCAGAAATCAATAACGCGAAAAAACACACAAGCACACAAACAAACATTCTTTATATGTATAGATCTTGTAAAACTTACAAATTTTTTATTAACAAACTCTACGATTTGAAAGCGAGCAGTAGCAACAGTTTTCGAAATAAAGCATTTTTATCTCCAACGCGCAAGATTGTTGCCTTTCGGAAAAATGAGTGCGAAAATGAGCGCTTTTAGAGTTTTTAATTAATATTTCGGCTGATTAAAATCGTCCGAAGATGGGAATAGTCGAAATGGCTTCCCACGAATTTTTGGAATCCGGAATATTGTATTTAATGTTTGGCAATGCTATTTTTATTTCATCGTAAATCTTAGAAGAAATTTTTTATTAGCAAACTCTAGGATTTGAAAGCGAGCAGTGGCAACAACTTTCGAAACGAAGCAGATTTTAATCTTCACCTTACGAGACTGTTGCCACTCGGCAAAATGAGGGCGAAAATTATTGTATTTCGAGTTTTAAATTAATATCTCCGATTTTATCTACTTTTTTTTTTTTTTTTTTTTTTTTTTTTTTTTTTGAAAATAGTGTACGTCGACCTTTTCCAGGGTTCAGAAAAGAATTGTAGAAAGTTTGGTGACGATAGCTGTAGTAATGACTGAGTTATTAGAGGACAAACACACAGATTTTCTTCTTTATATACACTGCTCGACATTGAAAAGGCAACACCAAGAAGGAGTGGTCAGAAAGTGATGAAATTTGGAAAAAAGACAGAGACAGCAAGCAGCAATAAGTGATCATTTCAAAATTATAGTCAGAACACAGAGCGGGAATGGCGTCGGCTCAGTAGGATGTAGGACCACCGCGGACAGCGATGCACGAAGAAACACGTCTAGGCATAGAGTCAATAACAGTGCGGATGGTATCCTGAGGGATGGCTCTCCATTCCCTTTCAATCATTTGCCACAGACAGTTCGTCTTCTGAACGAGGCAGGGGCACAGTCTGCAAACGGCGTCCAATCACATCCCACACATGCTCCATTGGTGACAGGTCAGGAGAGTACGGTGGCCAGGGAAGCATCTGTATACCTTGCACAGCAGGTTGGCAGATGCGAGCACTGTGTGGTCGGGCGTTATCCTGCTGAAAAATTGCATTAGGCAGTCCATTAAGGTAGGGGATTGCCACCGGCCGCAGTACATTATCCAAGTATTCGTTGGACCGTCATAGTGCTTTGAATACGAAATAGAGGTGACCTGGAATCGTAGGGCAGTAGCGAACCAAAACCATTATGCCACGTTGTCGCTGGCGCAGTGGAGGCATTCCGACAGTTACTGCCCGATTAGATTCTGTCCTCCACGTTGACGCACACACGTATGCGGGCGACCGTCACTGGATAAACAGAAGCATGACTCATCTGAGAACACGACTGCTTCGCCATTCTGTCATCCAAAGCGCTCCAGTCCGGCACCATTCTAAACGTTGGCATTCCATGCTGTGGGGGTCAATCGACAGTCTTCTTAATGGACGTTGTGAGTGCAGGCCACATTCAACCAATCGATGGAAAATGTTTCTGGTCGACACGGGAACATCCATGGTATCTTGCACATGCGAATAGTAAATCGTGGACTTGAGGGTAGACCGCCGCGGGGAGCTTGTCGGCGGATGCGTCGATCCACGCGTGCTGACGTCACTCTGGCTGCACCTGCACCCCTCCTTCTTCCCATATTTCCTTGTTCCAACCATGTTCGCCATGGCCGATGCACCGTGCTCGCATCCATGTGGGTATGAGCTGCGATTTGACGTAAGAACCAACCCGCCCTTCTCAGTTCGATCACCATACCCCTCGTAAAATCGTGTATCTGCTGGAAGTGCCTTAGTTGACGGCGGCCTGGCATTCTCTCCTATTACACGTATCCTCCGGGACAAAAACCAACTTTCTTCGACAATTCGACTGGCAGAAATAACGACACGAATATTGCCCATTCTGCACGTTCTTTCTTTTACATCTTACTTCACGTGCGTCGGAGAGCTGCGCATTTCACATTATTCGTATAACTCAGTGACATGCGTCTACTCTAAAATTTGCATAAATTTCTGACCACTCCTTCTTGGTGTTGCATTTTTAATGTCGAGCAGTGTATATACATAGATAGTGAACTTGTGAATGAATGGCGGAGTGCAGCAACTTTTTATGAGCTTTTATTTAACTCATGGTATTTGCAGCTATGGTCAAAACTTTATCATCAGTTTTAAAAATTTTTTCTGGTAAGCTATCAAGCTCAAATTTGACTGTTTGTGAGTGACAATATAAGGTGCAGACATCACTTTTTCAAAATTCGATAAGTTTTTAAAAATTTAATATTGAAACGATTTTCTGCACATATCTTCGTTTAACTTACAAACTCGGTCTCACAGGGGAATGGTGTTTCATTTGTCTAACTAGTATAGTGCCATTATATATTCGGTTATATTGTAAGGACCCTAAGTTTTACTAACGTTTATTTTGTTTTAAATCTTTACTATCACTTCTTATTTTCTACTTCCGGCCAGAATTAAAAGAACTTATTTATGCAAATTTGTCTTGCTAACGACAAGTACTTAAGTTGTGGTTTTTTGCCAAGCAAGAGAGAGGAAAGAGTTATTGCAAGCCGCTTGCCATAGTAGTTTTACTCGGTTGATGGTTGCCTTCAAGGCCAGAGGTTTAGTCCTCGTGATAATTTTAAACGTATCGTAGTTTTAGCAGCTCTCTGTACTACATACGGATTTTGTTAAATAACGGCCAATCTTAAAGCTAGGCACTTGTATATTAATCCAAAGTTAGTTTTAGTTAGAGTTTTAGTTAGTAGTTTTATATTCTTACGTTCAGACCACAAGTGGTTGGTCTCTGTATTCCGAAGTTCCGGAAATCTCTGTAAAGATAAAGGGTTTCGTATACCCTTCCTGTGTGTATTGTCTACTTCACAATTTATTAAACATAGCTTGAGTAAGCTCCCTGTTCCGAGTCAGGAAAGTTCATGTTTCCAAAGCAAGTGAAGAGGAATACAAGTCCTGATAATATATATGTATAAAAGTGAACCTGGTTAGTATTACTTGTAAGTTACGATGCAGACTCATTATTCAGATCATTTTTATGCTTTTGATCTGACGACTCTACCTCAATCAGAGCAAAAGGATAAAAACAATCCAATTCGGAATTCGGCTGATAAAGACATAAAATGACAAACCTGAAAGGAAAATTCAGAAAACTTCAAGACAAGCAAAAGTCATATTTCCAGTATAACTTTAGCCATTAAAATAATAATAATAATAATAATAAAGTAGAATCTTAAAATAAATACTACTTCCAAACTTGAAGAAATCATTAACAGACCAAGATAAAGAAACTTACTGAATTTTTAAATTGTATCTATATCATTGTATGGAAAGGGGAGCATAAGCACTATTTTCATTTTGAAAAGAATTTTAACATTTAAAAAATTACTTTCCTTACATACACTTTATTAGTACTACAGGAATTAAACTTCAACCTTTTCAAACAGGAAGTAATAAAAGTTTTGAAACATGCTTCTTTGTGTTAAATGAGCTCTATTTCTGAAACTAATAGCGATGCATTTTGTCATTCTATCATATCAACACTTCCTTTTATTCATTTATTAAGTTAAAAATTTTTCTTTCTATAGCACAATAATTTTTCTTCTCTTCAGACTTATTAATTTCGGAAGTATAACTGCTTGCTTGCTTATTAATTTTAAACAAAATATCACATTCAATGTTTATTTCTTTCAAATTAAGCTTTCTAATTTAGTTATTGATTTTAGTCAGGATCTCTTAATCTTTAATCTTAATTTTGTTGTACTGCCTCATTACTAATTTGCTGCACGGTTCACCATAAAAATAATTACTGGGCAAATCTCAATAATTTCTTTCTATACATCTTGATGTTTATAGTTTTTCTGCAGACAAAACTACATCGGAAACTGGAAACTTTAAGCAGCTGTCCCCTTATTTATATTCCTGGATTACCTAACACATTACATTACATACAGCAGTTACATGAAATATTAATCGCAGCAAAATATTATCATATTTGCATGATATTGTATGTATTAATATTAAAAGTTATAAAGAATGAAGCATTATTGCAAAATTAATGTGTCATATATTGTACTATATTAATTTTGCCTCTTTAAAGCAGAAATTCACAGAGATAGTAGAAAATAAAATAGCATCATAACAGTGGGTTATATTACCGAAAGTTTTTCTGAAATTCCCCCAATGAAGAATTTTGAAACTTTCTTGTCTAAGTTGAAAACACTGTATGTGCCTGGTAAAAATCCTTCCACAACTGCATCCTTCTCACCTTCAGTTCTAACAGTGAGAGAACATGTTTTTCCAGTTCTAAAATTAAAAAAAAAAAAAAAAAAAAAAAAGTTTAATTTTGTATTTTGTATAGCTGTGTAAAATATAACATAATCAGTATCAAAACTGATTTCTAAAAACTTCATAAAAAATAACACAAAAAGTACATACCAACGTTTTTAAAAACTCAGATTACAGTTTCAATTCATTTTATTTCATCAAAATTAAATGAATTAAGTAAATAAAATAAAATAGCTCACGGATCAAAAATTAAATTACTAAGTATTTAATATTTCAATTTGCAGAATGACTGAACTATATTACAACTTTCAGCCTGGTTGCGCAAAAAGGAGATGAATAAGGAAAGATAAAATTCTGGAAAGTCAGTCCTGGATCCTCGAAATCGTGTTTTCCAAAATATTACCAAGGCTTGATAGACTTCAACAGCAAAATTAAGAGAATTTTCAAATTATTTTTACAAAAAATATTGAACCAAAGGTAATAGTTATGCCGCCAAAGAATTATGCAAATATTCAGAGTTGAATACGTAAGCATACACGTGCGTGTTAGCAAAGCTGTGATTGTGGATGGAGTTCAAGAGGCATTTTAGGCGATTTGGGTGCCCGTACTCTTTCACGACATTCGCCATGTCTCTCTCAAGAGTTCGTTAAATTTCATAAGGTATCAGGTAAAACTAGTAGCCACGAAGATATGGATGACGGAATGAGATGGACAATTGTTAGGTGACTGGAGAATGGCCAATAACAAACGCAGATGGCTACAGAGTTCAATGTAACGCCTAGTATCGACTGCTTATTACTAGACACAGTTTCAGGGCATTTGATTCATATCGAAAGACCTGGGCAAAGTTGACCAATGGTTGTTCTGGAGCAAAAAGTCCAGAACAACGAATGAGGATCGTTATTTGGTATTTTCAGCCCATCGATACAGGAGAGCTACAGCTTCGCAGCTCTCACGTGAGCTGTATATTGCTACTGGAACCCAAGTTTCACGGTCTACAGTTGCCCGAAGACCTCATGAGATAGGGTTGTATGCTAGAAGACATACTATTTGCATATCCGCTCGCTCTAACACACACGACTAACACGTCGTGTGTTTATCTGAGCTATCTGAGTGTGGGTTTATCTGAGCTAACGAACACAACTAACGCAGTCGACCCATCTTCAAAAACCAGTTTTTCCCCATAGAGCAGCAAGTTGAAAAATCTGAACTGCAGACACAGCGGAGCTAGTCGACGCAGGAAACTGACTCCGTTAGCTCAGATAAATTGCCCGAAGACCTCATGAGATAGGGTTGTATGCTAGAAGACATACTATTTGCATATCCGCTCGCTCTAACACACACGCGAGCGCTTTTAGCATAGTGCAGATAACATGCGCTTTGCTACAGACTTCGGTGGGGCGCCGAACGGTTTACAGATGAGTAGAGATACAACCAGGACACTGATTCTAGGAATACCTGTATCTGGAGAAGGCCTGGAACACAATATCATCCCTTTCTCATTAGAGGTAAGCATCGTTACTGTAGTGGAGGTGTAATGGTTTAAGTAGGTATTATGTTGGATGGCGGCACACCTCTGCATGTGTTTGAAAAAAGGCTCCTAAACCGCTATGAAGTGTAGACTGTGAGTCTCTCTGACTGCGATGAGGATATCTTAAGGGCCGTTCCCACTGGGGTTTATCTGAGCTAACGAACACAACTGACGCAGTCGACCCATCTCCAAAAACCAGTTTTTCCCCATAGAGCAGCAAGTTGAAAAATCTGAACTGCAGGCACAGCGGAGCTAGTCGACACAGGGAACTGACTCCGTTAGCTCAGATAAATCCCAGTGGGAACGGCGATTTAGAGCCCTACGTTCGACTTTTCAGGAGCGCAACTGGTCTTCGGTTCTTGTTGATGGACGTCAACGCTCGACGTTGACGGACATAGGGTCAGCCGGTCAACAATTACCTGGAAAGAGAGGATATTCGCTGCATAGATTGGCCAGCCAGATCGGCTGACCTTAACCCTATACAGCATGTCTGGAAGGTTCCTGAGAGGGAAATATCATCTCGTCATCCCCCTCCGAGAACCATCCTAGAGTTAAAAACTGCAGGCCTGGGAGTGACTGCCACACGGACTTTTCAACTGCCTTCTGTGTAGCATGTTGTCATGCTACGTGACCTGTCTGGCTGTGAGAGGGGACCGTATACTATATTAGGCTCATTTTCAATTCGATATCCCAACGTGGATTTTGGACATCCCTGCATTGAGGTTTGTTGATAATCATGGGTACATAAAACGACTTTTGATTGGAACATCTCTTTCTCTGTTATAAATGTATATTCATATCAAATTTCATTGAAATCTGTCTATTAGTTTTTCAGGAATTCGTCATAATGTGCAGTTTCTCTTAATTTTGCACAAGAGTGTATAATGTTATTACTGAGGTGACTCGCCAGTACCCAGATTTATGGACGAAATGCTGTTATGACGGATAATAATTGCCCCTTTGACTGCTATTATCTGAGATTATTAAAGCAAAGAGCATCGTTAAATTATTAGTTTATGATAATTATAAAAAGAATAAATATTTCAGATTGAAAGCAGAAAAATCATATGAAATTAAATATACCTTTCAATAATGGCTTGATGCCACTTTCCATCAGAAACATAAGTATCATGCTTAATTTCTGATGCTGAGGAACCCAAGTCCATCACTAACACAAGTCGTCCACCTCTAATTTCTAACGCAAGATAGTCATCCTGAAATAAATATTGAAGCGGCGTAAAAATCGATGAAGTTATTTATTTCCTAATTTTAAGCTAAAAGTATGCTTTAATATCTTTACTACATACTGCGAAGAAATTTTGGAGGAAAAAAAAAGACAGCCACGCCTACTCAGTATTTATTTTATTTTCCTTTACTTTTTAACTACTTCAATTATTTATTAAACATCAATATAGAAGAAGATGAACGTAATTAAATGCGACTATTAGTAAACTCTCTTTATGTGTGTAGTCTGACTGATTTTAAATACAGAGAGAAGTTAAAAAATATCCTTTTTTTGAATTTACAGGTTTTTCTTTATTTCTTTTATTACTGTTTTTTACTCAGAAAATATTTCTGTGTGCATTAGAGTCAATTTTGTTATGCTTCTATAGAAACAGAAATTATTTTTGATAGATATGAAAAGAAAGATGAGGTATAATGAAAGAGATCAAGTTTCTGACTGTAGCATTATTTAAAATTGTGCTGGTAGAAATATTAAACTTTTAATTAATTAAAGTACTCCGAAATAAATTAAAAAGGGAATTTATATACGAAAACAAATGGATAAAAGAAAAGGGAAAAAATCACATATGCTGCTGGGCAGTTTAAAATTGAAAATTTCAATGTCTGTTCAAATTTCAAGTTACAGTTTTTGAAAAAAATTAATTAAACAACAAATTAATATTATTAATATTGATTATATACGTTTCAGAAAAAATATTAGAATTAATTTATGTATCATAACTGTTTTGAACGTTTCTTACAAAACAAAAAGACGTAAAGAAAAATACTACTTAGATTTTATGATTTTTCCTGAAATATTTCCGATCACATAAGGCTTTCAGATAAAAGCTTGCAAGTTATCTTTATATTCACTCATTGAACAGTAACGGGTTTAATTTTAGATATATGTTTATTGAAATTCAATAAGAAAAATATTAAAAAAAAAGAAATGTTTTGATAACCATTTTAAGAGTTTATTTGCATTTTTTCGATAAATCCTTTTACACAAAGTCCTAAAGCTTACACAGATGTGGACTAAATTATTTAATATTTTTACAGAATGTTTATTACTATGTACTTTATAAAAACAAGGATAGGATTTGCAAAATTTTGGAAAAACAAAAAATTATTGGAAATGAGAATGTAATTGAAATCGTATTTTTTTAAAAGTTTTTGTATATAAACATGCTTTTTATTTTCCCTCACAAACTAATTCATTAATTGCAAGATTATGATGGACATTCCAATAAATGCAATAAAAAAGTGGAGTAGAAACATTAAAAATTGTAGAAGAGAGAGATATTTATATCGTTAAATTTTTCTTAAAAAAAAAAAAAGAAAAAAAAAAAAAAATTAATTTGAGAAAAATTATCGGCATTTTTTTCAGCTTAAAATTATTGCATCTGACAAAGCCATTTAATAATGTGGGATGGCATCGTTCATTATAATCGGATGACGCGACAAGCTGCGAGAATAAATCTTTTACTTTTCCGATGATAGAAGTCAGACCGCCATTAAGACGATGATGCGACTGAAAGATGTTTACACGTAAAAGACGGTCGATTCTCTTCATCTGTAAATATCATCTATGTAAATTCATCCTTCTACACATGTAATCATTTTGTAGTTCGTAGCAACTATTCATGTTTCCATTAAATATTCAAGTTATTTGTAAATTGGACTAGTTTATTAGCCCCTACACAGCCACAAAAGAAGTAAGTTTACAGACATCATATCCCTAGAATTCCTTTTTGTATCTTAATACATTAAAAAGACTAGAAAGTCTTTTTAATGTATTAAGATACACAAAGAGAGAGAAAACTACTTACCGTTAAAACATGTTTCATTTGCGCATGTGCTCCTTTCTCATTTCCAATGAAAGCTAGCAAACCGTAGCGTTCTATTGTGTTAAAGTACAATGACAGATGTGTATAAGTCGCCGCTTTTTCCATTCCTTCTGGATTACGAAGTTGCAAAGTAGTATTTTCAAAGAACTGAACTCCTAATTTTATCTGAAAATACACATTCAAATAAATTAAAATAGAAAAAATACATAAAATTAAAAAAAAATCTGAAAGCTTTCAAATTTTACATCACCCTCAAAGGGGTTTCTTTTTAACACTTTGTGTGTTACCCTTATTTATTAAATACCATGTTCTTTGAGTTTAAACCGCAAAATTCAGTTCAAAAGCAATATGGCGGGAAAAAAAAAAAAAAACCTTAATTGAGCATATCTTTGAAATTTCGGTTCTTACGCGCTGGAGATAAAAATGTTTTCTTTCTTTTTTACTTTCTTTCTTTCTTTCTTTCTTTCTTTTTTTTTTTTTTTTTTTTTTTTTGTACAGTGTTGCCATTGCTCGCTTTGAAATCCTTGAGTTTGTTAATCAAAAATTCGTTAAAGTTTTACAAAATATGAAATCGATAATAAAATAAATTCCAAATTAAAAACTTGGGCTTCCATATTCGGGTGGAAATATACGTTATTCAAAATTCGATGGCTTTAAATACTATACGATTTAGGCTTTATCACGATGCGAGAAACAGAAACATACATACATTTATGCCGATTCTTCATTTTTTAATTTTTTAAATATAATACAGGGCTGTAATATTTGGTGACAACAGTGAACCGACATTTATCGTGAACCAGCACAAAATGCCGAAACGAAATTAATAGCCCTTCTGGGCTAAAAATAGTTGACAAAATAATGTAAGAAACTTTATAAAATGCTTCAAATACGCTTTATTAAAACCATGCAAAAATCTCTTTTTGTCCAGATTTCAGAACTGGACAAAAAGAGATGCATGGTATGAAGAAACTGTGCTTTGTTTGGTATGAAGAAACTGCTTCTAATAAATTGTTTAGTAAAATGATCTTTCTAACAACTTAATTATCCAAGAAAAAAGAAAAGTTTTGTATATTAACTATCACATTAAATTTTGAATTAATATATAAATACTGTCTAATCTAAGGCATTTAAACAAATGAGTCAACAGTTTCCAAAATAACAGCTCTGAATTTTTGAAAGATTTACCTCATATAATTATTTATTTTTAAATCATCATTTTTTTTTTCAGATTTTAAATTACGTCCAAAAGGGCGTTTTTTTTAACGTTTTATGTGTTACCTTTATTTATTAAGTATCATGTTCATCGCACTTAATCCATAAAATTCAGTTCAAGAGCAATATCGCAAAATAATTTTAAATCGAGCATGTCTAGAATTTATGATACAGAGTCTCCCGCGCTGGAGATAAAAATGTTTTTTCTTTACAACATTGCCATTGCTCGCTTTGAAATCCTTGAGCTTTGTTAATCAAAAATTTGTTACAGTTTTACAAAATATGAAATCGATATTACAACAAATTCCAAATTTGGGCTTCTACATGTCCATATTCGCAGTAGGATTATGTCATTCAAAATTCGATGGCTTTAGGTACCGTTGTTTTTATCACCATGCAAAGAACATAAAACATTTACGCAGCTTCTTCATTATTTAATTTCTTTAATACAGGGCGATAGTATTTGGTGGCAACAGCTTGAAAAGTGAAACGAACATTCAGTGTGATTCGACGCAAAATTGCAAAAATATTTATGCAGTGTAATATGCAGTATGATGGAAAACTTACTCGATTTGCTTGATTTCTTGCTACGGCAACTTTCTGTCTTAATTTGGCTAGTTTTTCTGAAACATCAGTTCCAATTATTCTCATTGCTGATTCTCTTTTGCTAGCTTTGTCCATCAGCTTATTCGTATCAACCACAATAGGAGCAATGCGGTCAACTAAAGGTAAAATCAGTAATATCAGAAACATATATCAGAAGTTATATCAGAAACATATATCAGAAGTTATATCAGAAACATATATCAGAAGTTATATCAGAAACATATATCAGAAGTTATATCAGAAACAAATGAGAGCTCTTCTAATTGGATGAGCTCTCTTTGTTGAGAGAGCAACAGAGGGTGATGTGATGAGAGCTCTCTCTCTCTGTTGTTACATTCTAGTTTTTATTGAAAGCACCTTTGGTGCTTTCAATACAAACTAGGGCACTCCGCGAAATTGAGAAGAAAAATAAAAGGCAAGGAATTTTTTCATTTCTTTTCGGACATATTGATGTTCAACGATACTTAAAAACAACTATCTTTTAAAAAATATCTCCTCTTATGACCTCTAGGACAGCAATCGTCAACCCTTAGAATTTCACGGATCACTACATATGTAATTTTATATTTGGCGGAACACTAATATGAATTAAAAAAACACCTTAAAAACAACATATTAGTAAGCAAAAACAATATTCAACTTTCCAATACATGTAATATATGTAATTTTCATTTGTTAATATAATTTTCGAAACATTTGGTGTTCAGCGGCATGCCTTTATGGAAATTCAGTCTACGCCCCTGATTATGAGTAACAATTAAAACAATATTATCATTAATTAACTCACTGATGCACATATTTCGTTCACATTGAAAAATTATATGACAAGTACAAAAATCTTACCTTCTTGAACAGAAAGCATCACATTTCCATATCACTGAAAAGGAACTTCACGAAAAGCAAGAACAAACCAGCGAACGCAAAGTAATATCAATCAGCTGAAAGTGTTATGCCGCGAATTTTTAATTATTGTAAACATAATAATCATCGCTTACTTGGCAATGACGCCATCGATCATAGACAAAACAAAAGCGGAAACTTCCAGTGATTCAATTATAAACAAAAATACAGATGGTTCTCATAAAAATCCATCAACTTGCCTATTGACATGGAGAAAAACTGTGTTGTTAACAACTACAATAGGATATATTTGTAATTCAAAAGGAGAGAGAATTCCAGTTCGCGCTATTATCGAAAACGGCAGCATATTATGGATGCCAACTCTCACTTTCAAATGTCGCTAGATACACCTGCAAAAGTAACCAAAAAGTCGCTAAATTCATTGAAGGAATTTCGCTAAAAGTAATAGCTAAACTTAAAAAAACTATAATCCATATTCCATAATAGGATTTGCTACTCGTCATTTTTTAAACTGAATCTTCATTCTTCATAAAAATATAAATATTGTACCAGTTTTTCTGCGGTTAATCAAAAAGTTTTCCCGAACCACCAATGATCCGTGGACCACCGGTTGCCGACCGCTGCTCTAGCACACTCGTTCAAATTCCTCTTCATAATAACATAATTCTCCCCTTCTTGATTGCATCTGAGGACCGCATAATACTTGGCTCAAAATACCCAGATATGTGAGAGGGACTCTAAGATCAAAATGGACAAATTATCTTTCAGTATTGGGAAATTATGCTATAACTCGGTGGAGAAATCCCAATAGGTCTCTGTATGTATATGCACCCCCCGGGGTTGACTCAGGCGAAGGCCTAAGAAGTACTGGTTAGGATCTGTAACTAGGCATAAAACAGATAGAGGGCATAATAACAGACTTCACAGAAGGCCTGAGGGCTCTCAGGATAGAGTAAGGCTCGGCAGGGACCGTACTGGTACTGTCTTGTCTGCCCTTACTCTGTGGAGTCGCAACATGGAGATTGATCCAAGGGCGGGGCAGTATTAATCCTGTTTGGCACCCTTGAGGTTGCATTAGGTCAGGAGCCGTCTCGTTCCAACAGCGTTGTATGTATATACACAATAATATGTATCCAGTGCTTTCGAACTTTTCGAACCTTACCACTATTAGAATATCTTCCTTTAGACAATCCTTTAAAAGTAGAGATCTTTTGAGAAATGCTATAGTTGGACACCTACCTAACTAAGCCATCCCTTGTAATGACACATAAACTCTGAAGACATATTATGATCGATCTTTTGAAGAGTAAGAATTAATAAAAAAAAAAAATAAAATATACATCAGAAATAAAGAAATTGAGCATACCATAGCTATGAGCAGCTTTGATCGCATGATTAGCTTCTTCAATATCTTTTGGGACCTGTTCGGCTCTTTCCTGATCAGCAGGGAGCTTGCTGACTATTTCCTGTATTCTTTTCCGAGCTTTCTCAGCTCTTTGATCGGCAATTGCTGAGTCATTCGCTGCATGCTCAGCGAGTACCCACAAAGAATCTTCAAAAAATATTAGGAGATTGTTAAGCAAGTGAAGTTTTCATGACACATGAGTACAGTATGAGTTATAATAAAGCAGCTGTTAAAACTACATTTAGCTTTACTTGTGTGATTTTGAAAGTAAGTTGTACCACTAGTAAAGAGGCAAAAATGAAAACCCTAATATAGATTAGTTGAAAAAAACAGGGAGTAATTTAATTTAAATGGAAACTGAAAATAAATAAATAACTATTCAAAATAAAATAACTAATTTTCATACTGTAAATCAGGAAAATCCATTCCTATACCCGGGAACATAATGAAAATCTCTAAACTGTTTTCATGTGCCCACGTGTGCAAGTCCATAACGGTTAGGTTTATTTGGAATTTTTTACAAAATTGCACATCAGTAATTTTTATAAAATTTTTCAGTAACCGAAGCTAAGGATCTTGGACTTTCAAAGCGGCATTTTTGAACAACCCAGTTAAAAATGAGAGCTTACGGTACAGTAATACTTATTTGTTATTAATACAAAGCATTTTCAGTTAATATCTTTTTTTTCAAATAATACATGATCCAGCTTGCCTTCATACACAAAAGAATTGACTCATTTTTACACATGCTGTTTTCATCAGCAACGTTAGTTTTTAATACATACAGAAATTTCAGTTTTAAGTATTTTTCATTTGCATTATAAATGAAATAATATGGAAATGTAATTCATACGAATGTACTACAAGATTTATTTTAATAATTCAGTGAAATTTTGAAGTACACTTTTTGGTACTTAATTTTCAGAGATTTTTTTTTTTTCTTTTTTTTTTCAAGCACAACTTTTAATTCATATAATCCATCAATGGTCGTCGTTACTTATCCCTAGACCAGAGATTTCATTTCATGTTTAAATACAAATTGCCTCGCAGTTTATCAGCCAGACCGGGAAACTAAATTCAAGAAAAAGTAAAACTGGCTGCAGTTTATCAGCCAGTTTTACTTTTTCTTCAAAGTCAGTTACAGACTTGTTTTGACAAAGATATTTATAAAAAGCTTAGAAGTTGTTGAGACTGATTTATGAGAATGAAAACTTAGATAAACAGACAAAAAGGAAAGATCACATTTTCCCTAAATTCTTTGTTACTAAATACTTTGTTATTGAGTAATTTAAATATATGTTTAAGGCTATAAACAATGCACAGAACTCTCTCAAATGATATCTTATGTAGCATTTTCAAACACATACTTTTAGCTCAATCTGATGTTAATCGAAACTTCACCAAGATTTTAGAGAAATGGTTAAGTCTTATGTCCTAAATTTACTCAACGCTCCACGGGTATTTTTCATGAACCCATGAAAGTTCCTGATTTTTAAAGTGTTTCCCAACAAGTAGCGTTAACTCGGTATACTCTCAAGTAGCGTTATTCTTGCTTCAGAAAATTAGTTTTGATATCCTTTAAAAATAAGAAAGAATTATCAGTATCTTCTGCGACAACGTTAATCACAACATCGGAAATTATTTCTAATTAATGACTGATTTCTTATTAATTAAAAATAAAAAGTTTTCAAGCACTTCCATTATTATTCAGGAGGTTCTTGATCTAAAATTCCTGTGTTTTATATATTTTATAGCACTTATAGCTCATCGATAACTAACTCCCTGGTTATTCTAACCATTTTAATGTTAAGAAAATTGTATGCGCCTGGTGCCAGCAGTTTCCAGTCCCACTTCATGTTTCATGGCTTATGGTGCTTCAGAAACATATTCAAAAGATATATTTTTCTAGAATTAGCACTGAAGAATACTACAGTCTGTCTTTCATAAGAAAAGCTCTCGCCAGTTAGTCTGCAGCTGTCTGTTTCCACAGAAACGAGCCTTGACCCCATTTTCCGTAGGGCTGTCTTGAATGATAAACTGTTTTCCCCTCAGCCAACAGTCGCCAAAAACAAAATAACAATAAAGCAACCATTGGTTCGTCCCTATTTGAAATACACTAGTCTTGTTGCTATAGCGACCGCCACCCGCCAGACACTGTGGGGGGTCTGTTCTTCTCATAGACAGACAGTACATTAGGTTTATTTTATCAACTCTAGGTAAACAGAAAGTTAAGGACCATTATGAATTATTTAATTTTATATCAGGGTGCAGTTTTTAAATTGATTTAAAATTCTAAGCTTTTCTACCCACTTTTTTGTTTTGTTTTGTTTTGTTTCTTTCTAATATAAAATTTATGGAAATTTAGAAAATGATCATTATGAAATTCCAAATGATCAAAATACGATGGATATCTTTCTTCTTAAGACGAGGATGAGTCATAGTTTTAATTTATTTATTACATATACGAGGAAAAAATTTTGAAACAAAAATATAAAACATAGTAGCATTTTGTATAGTTTACAACACTATAAAAATAACTTAATTTCTTTTTATATAAACTGTAGCAAAAGTAATTTTTTTCCCCTGAAAACGCTCTGAAATTCATGTGTTTCCGTTCACATTTGAAAAAGAAAAATACATGTTACAGATTTTTTGCTCATGAGAGAAGTTTCAATTAAGAAAGTAAATCCATTTACAAGTCCCAGATGGCTGTGAGATTTAACATTTACATTTATTCACCCCTTCGTCTGATGACTTTTATTAGTTCTGCATCACTGATTAATTAGTAAGGAATTCATTTATGAAAGTGAAAATAATAAATACTGGGCAAAATTTACAAGACCACAATTGTGTTGTAAATAAGATAGAATTAAAGTGATGGAATTTCAGAGGGAGGGTAACTAAATTCTAGCCCATGCAGCAATGAAAGTGCAAACCAGAAATGCATGTTTTACTATAATAATAATAATAAATAAATAAATAAATAAAACAAAAATTTTGAAACTAACGTAATGGTAACTTTTCCAACTCCTTTTTAATATTATCCAGTCCTCTTGATGTTTTCCCATTTTGTTTGGCAACAAGAGCTACTCCTTCCTTTGCATCCTCAAGCTGAGGTTCCAGTTCCTTAACTTTTTCCTCTAATTTGGTGGCAGAATCTAAGTACTCCTTTGTTAGATCTTTAGAATCACTTGTTTTATCCAAAACACCTTCTGACTACGGAGGGAAAAAAAAAAGCTCATAAAGCAAATGAGTTAAATTTTCTATTAACAAAAACTTCTGCATAAACAAATCATGTAGTTAAAAAATACACATAACAGATAACATAAATAAAAGAAGGTTTCTAAAATTCACAAAAAATATGAATTTCCAGTAACCCTAGCAAAATTCGATGTGACAACTAATGTAAATATGTTCATTTCTGCAGACACGTTTCTAAGCATACTATCTCAGAAAAGGGACATTAGCTAATTTACCAACACGATGCAGTCTTATATAGGATTATCGGCAACTCGAATTCATTCGTAGAAACAAATATGGCAGCTCACATTCTTGTTAAAATGGCGCCACTTGGGAATAGGAAAGATAATTTTGATATCCAAGATTCAAGAAAAAAGACCATTGCTGAAATGGAAAACTGGATTTATACAGAATGGAATTTTTGCTGAGAGTCGTCTAATAAGAAAAAAGAGTTAATGAAAACTAGAAAGTTAAAAAAGAAGATGAATATTATAAATAATGTTGATATAAATCAGATGCTGACTAATTATGGGCATTTCCCGGCTTATGTTAATCGGTTCCATCTACAGAATAATGATAAATGCTTAATGTGTGATAAGTTTGGGGAACTTCGTCGATGAATGTACGCTTATCCGGAGTGCAAGAGAGAAAAATAGAAAGACTGTTAAGGAAGATTTTAAAAGGAACTATTCAAATTTGAAAGATTTTGCAGAGACAACAATGAAGATTATGAATAGACAAAATTTGAATTCGGCACTGAGAATTCGGCACTTTTGAACTTTATATGTTTTTTCATATATATATATATATAAATATAAGAAAAAACATATATATATGAGAAGAAGATAAATTGTAGTTAGCTCGCCAAAAAGTTACCAGGAGCTGTGGCTCCAAGAAAAAGTTCAAAACAGTATTTTTTAAAAAACAATGACATTGAAGGGTGAAAAATTAGGCTACACGCGAAATGAAATGTATAATATAAAACACAGCAAAATACCCATCGATGTGATAGGTGAAAAGTTAAAACATATAAAACCTATGGATGGAAGAAGTTAAAACTAATAAAACAAATAAAAAAATATGAAAAAACATAAAAAATTATAAAGCGGAAAATGGTAAATTAGCTCAATTCGATGTCCAACCTGGCTTTTCAAGGAAAATTTCTAGTTAAACGTCCAACCAAGCTAACTCCATAACGCGTTTCGCCGAAACAGACAATTGAAACTTTTGTGTTACGAAAATTTTTTATAATTAGATGAATTGTCCTAAAAAATTTTTTTAGTCTCAATTCTCTGTTCCAATTTCCCGACGCGTCCGCACAAAACGACACATTAAGGTGTAAAAAATGTAAATGCAACTCCGATGTACAGCTGGCTAGTCCTATTTTTTGATCATATGGCCGGCTTGTGCCGGCTGAGAGGATCGGGGCTGTGCCCTTATGATAATAATGATGATGAATTAGCAGCTCATGAGTGATAATGTATTCAGTCAGTTTATTGCAAACTATCAAAGGACACTCTCAACAAGAACGAAAGGAAAATTTGAATACAAACAAAACATTGCAGCTATGACCACTACCAGCATTCAGCATGTCATACCAGATTATGTAGGCTGAACAAAAGATTATGTAGGTAATACAAAAGTCAAGCTAATTTACTAATTAATTGCCAGGAGCCACCCAAAATCCACAAGTTATTGGATTGTTCCTTTGAAGTCTTCATTTCCTATACAGTATTCAACATAATCCAGCGCAGTCTTTACTGCCAGCGAAGAATTTCTATCACTGCTTTTTTTCTTCTTAATGATTTGCAGTGTTTAAATGTATCATAATAATAATACACATGTTCACACATTCCAAGAAATCAAGGAAATGGATGGTCTTGTCATCTTAAAAAGAATAGTCATCATGAGCATCTGTGCTCATTACTGGCTCTTGAACGTTTTAAGGCCTTGGAAAAAAGGGATAGGACTAGTTTCTTTATGATTCTTCGTCTGTGGTTTAGAAAAGTATGCCTACGTTTTCTAACACGTTACAAAAAAATACAAAAGCGCTTCTTCATTCGCTTTAAATGTTTATAACAAATGAAAGTAAATAACTGTCATTTATCCTTCATATTGGATTTCAGTTGTTGGGGTACCCGTTTTGCTCACACTGTACGAATTAAATTGTGTCCTGGTTAATGTTGCATTTTTAATAAAATTCAAAGTAGCTGTAAATTACGAAAATATAAAATATCGGAACAGACGGTGCACTAAGACCTTTCAAAGATTCTTCCTCTCCTCCCATTCTTCTGCTCAGAAAGAGAGGTAAACTGCCAAAAGTTACTTTGCATTCTCAAAATAATCAAGAACTTGTGGTTCCGGACAGTGCTTCAAAGAAACGTCCCCTTGCCCAGGAAACCAAAAAAACTGAGACTACAGACAATATTACAAGAGCTCCCAAATCTTCCAGTTCTGCCTCCTTGCCGGGATGTCGGCGGAGAAAGAGGGGGAGGTTGTTTTTATCGTTTAATATAAACTTTGCTGCTAATATAAATTGCTGGACTAACTGTAAACACAAGGGTGCCCTCTGGTGAGTAGCCAGAGAAGGATTTCAGTAAAAGCCAAGTGTTTAAACCGATAGGTTGTTTCAGACTCTTGCTCTGTAATTTTCTTTAAAGTTAAATGTATTGTCCGTGTGTAACTTAAACCTGTTAATAAATAATTGTTACATATAAAGGACTGTTTTATAACCCCATCCACACAACCCCTTATAATATGAATTTAAAGAATGGTAGTAACTCATATTTTAAAATATATGCAAGCAGAAAAGAAAAGGATATATTATACCTTGATTTCAGCTTGGTCAGAAGCTCTAAGGGCTGCTTCAGCAGCTAAATATGCTTGATTTATAGCATCTCCTATATTTCCATAAGCATTGGCAGCTTTAACTGCAGCATCAGCACTATCTCTAGTATCTGCTAATGACCTAAAATATAATTATAGTATGAAGTAAAATAATTTATGTTGTAAAATCATGTAACAAGCACGATTTTTTTAACTCATTAAATCTCCAACTAAAAATAAACCACATGATTTTTTTCTTTTTTCCCCTGTATTGGAAAGGTGAATGAATGAGCTACATAAAAACTAAAAAATTAGACTATGCATATTTTTTAAGTTGTTTATACAAAATAGAAACTCTACAATCCATATTGTAGAATAAGACAAGAAGAAAAAAATTACTCAGCATTCATATTCATAAACGTCATATTTTGAATGTAACTAACATATAGAGCCGTAGCTAAGGTTTTCAGTGACCAGAGACAACTGAAGATTTCGCGCCCGCCTGTTTGGCAAGCATGGAAAATATTTCATTCTAAAATTTCGTACCGGAAGCTGAGCCCAGGGCAGATGTTCTCCCTTGCTGGACATATGCACAGAGTTACATACAGTGTTAAATGTTACTAAAAACACAACATCATTTTATCTTGGATAAATTTTTAAAAAATTCTTAAAAATCCTAAATTAAGAGTATATGGTAAGACTAAGTCTTTCTGTAGGTAAAAAAATGCAAATACCCATTTGTCTAAATTTTTTAAAAAATCAGCAAAACATAAAATATTTTAAAATTTCACATAATATTTGTAATCGAAAAGCAGATTTACATATATTTAAAAAATTTATAAGCATAAGATTTATTTTTGTGAAAAGTAATTTAATTACACACACAAAGAAATTTAATAATACTAATTAAATAATAATCTGTTACTAACTGGTCCAAAATATTTGCTTGCTCCACCAAAGCAGCAGCGTGTGCTGATGCTTTTTCAACTAACGGTTCGTTATTCTTTATGTGATCCGTATTCTCGTTTATAAGATCTTGCAAATCAGTTCTCCTTACACCTAGTTTATCTGTATCCGCATCTAAACGCTATGAGAAAAAAGATAAATTTAATTATTCAGTAAAATAAATTACATAATAGAGACTAATTTTTATTATTATTCAGTTGATTATGGAAGAAACAATAAAGTTTCTTCTGAAAGTACTGTCTTTTATTATAAATTTTGGCTTTACTATGAATTGTATTACATTTTCTTCTACAGGCAGAACTGAATGTTAGATGGAAACTGTATGAAAGGATGAGGAAAACATTTTAGTTCTGCATATAATTTTGGCTGCATTGAAACGTGAACATTATAACGAATTTCTTTTTAGAATTGATTTCAAAATTTTAAATTAGCAATTGTAGAAATTGGCTGTGCTGCCACTGTATACGTATACTACACAATACACATATGCATATGTGTATGTACAGGTGCGGTAAGATGGCTTCCCCGCAAAACAGTTTTAGGGTTGCCACAAAAACGGCTAGGGAAGGCAGGGTTGCCACATTTGGCGAGAAATCGCCCATTTCGCGACAAAATTGGCGATATACCATGGACGGATGGAGAACCTTCTGGAACGAATTCTTACCGGTTTAGCCCAGAATGTTCTCAAACACAAGCCGAAAGCTATATAAGCCCTGCTGGTCCGCAGTCAGTTAGTGTCTGCGTCTCTCATCGAGTGTGTGTGCTTCGTCTAGCGAGCTGATAGTCAATCATTGAGCGAGTGTCTCGAAGTCTAGCGCCGAGTTGGTCGTCGAGTGTGTCTCAGAGAGTGTGCCTCGTCTAGCGAGCTGTGCGGAGTCGATCGAGTTGACAGCCGGGCAACGAGTGCCGAGTGGGTCGTCGAGTGCATCGAAGGATTTTCTTAGTGTATCGCGGTTAGTGCATCGTCGAGAGAGCGTGCTGAGCTCCGTGAACGACTGAACCGAAGAGTCGAGAGCTGTGCTCGTGTGTCGTCGAGTGCATCGCGAGTTGTAGCGTGGAGAGTCTAGAGAGTACGTGGAGTTTCGAGAACGACCAAGCAGAGTCAGGAGCTGTACTCTGATGCTTTGCAGGAAGCTGTCTCCACCGTCATTGCCTGACAGTGTGAAGGCTGTGTCACTGATTGTTCCAGCGTGTTTATAGTAGTTCATCGACGACTGTAAAACGTGTGTTTTGGAGCTGTCCTGACAATACTGACTAATAAAGTGTCTTTCGATACTTCATCAAGTGTCGTCGTTTTTCACTCTAAATCCACACAAACCCCGTACGAACGTGAAGGAAGAAAAAAACGTAACAGTTGGTGTCAGAAGAAAAGAAAAACGCAACAATATGTTACAATATCTTGAAGTCTTATAGCCATTCTCGACTATTCAGCTTTACTGTATTGATATTTAATATTTTATTTCATTTTTGGCACAACTCTATTGCAAATATAGGTACCACCGACCTATTAATATATAAAACTAGAAATACAAAATGTATAAGCATATTTTTTTCTTTTATTTTGCATTCGTGATAGAAACATCGAGGCTGTACACATAGAAAGTTGGCATCATTATCTCTCTTCATTCTATTTTTGTAACAATGATATTTTTAATTTAGATTTTCATGACTTGCTAATTTTGTAAATAAATTAGGTAGAAGCCTATTCAAGGATTAAAAATAATAAATAGAAAAAGCTCAAAAAAGTAGACAGAAATTTTCTTATATCAGACTTTCACATACATGTGTAAATCTCTCATTAGAAAAGCTTTACCTTAATTTAAAGATATATAAGTATATGCAGAACATTTTATGATTAAGAATAATAATATGGTGCAATTTTCAGTTTATTAACAGAAGTAAAAAATTTCTTTTTGATCTTCATGTTACTCTTGTCTGTAAAATCTAAAAACGTACCTTGTAATCTTTTCCAGCGCTATCGAGGGAGGCCTCAGAGAGTTTTAAAATATCGGAGGCATTTTGAAGTACCTCATAAGTATCTTTTGATCCTTGTTCAATGCTACCTATCAATTCCTATCATGAAAAAAAAAGCAAAATTATTATTAAATATCAATTACAATGCAAATAAATTACTGCAAACCTATATTTAGAATTCTGAATTGTTTAATAAAAAGAGTGAAACTTAACACATGATTATGTTTCTATTTTTAAAAATAAGCAAACATAATTGAAAACTAGACAAAATGAAAAAAGAAAAGGGAATCCTAATTGCACATAAATTAGATGAGTTAAACACATGTAAGCATATAAAAATTCCTCTCAGTATTTTGTGTAATTCCCTCGGTATAATAGAATACAGTTTAGCCTTTCAAAATGCAGTCGTTGCTGTTTTGATCAAGTCTTCCCTATTTCTGATTCATCAGTATTAGTATTTCAATACGCCAGTATATTCTTATGGCTTAGCGCCGTTTCAGCTTATTTCTACCGCAGTCTTGGTACAGTACAGCTCCTATTATCCGAACTCCGACTATCCGAATCGCTTTCAGAATTTAAGAAAATCAACGATTTCAGACATTCAAAGGAGCAAACCTACGATTTTAAACTTCGTGTCATTGCTTGAAAGAAGGTGGAAATTCTTCAAGAAAATCAATGAAGGCAGCAACAAATAAAAATTCAGAAGACGTCGTTTTCAAATGGTTTTCGCAGCAACGTTCTATGGGAAACCCAATTTCGTGCCGATTCATTGTGAAAAAGCTAAATTCTTAGCTCAAAAGTCTGGTTGTTCATCCTTTAAAGCAAGCAACGGCTGACTAAGAAATTTTAAGCGCAGCACAGCAGAACGGATGGTGTGTGATTCTTCAAATCCTTGGTTTCAAATTCTAAATGATGATGAACTTATTGAAAGTGCGAGAGAAGAAAGTGTAGATCTTCTTATACCCGAGTGTGACTACATGCACTTCTCATTGCCAAGCGGATGGGCGACTTGGCTGCCCAAAAATGGTTGAAGACAGTCAAATAGCTTACTTTGACCGAGGTGTTCAGCAAGTATTTACTTTCAATACTTGTAAGGACTGTACAGTACACTATAAAACATGTACGCAAAAAGTGTTGCCTTTTCATTTTAATTAATTTAAACCTCTTTTTCTTTAAAAATAACTTTTTCTCCCATTTTTAACATACAAGACATACAGTAATTAGTCAAAGTGTACATATACCCTTTCTTCGGGAAAAAATCCAATTATCCGAATTTTTCATTATCCGAATAGGGTTCGGTCCCAATTGATTCGGATAATTGGAGTTCTACTGTAGTTTTATTCCCAGCTCGGCCTCACCTGGAAGGATTCAATAAATTTATTCTCATCTGAGCCAATCTTGAAATATCGCTTCGTTTCACTTACAGCTAAGTCTGCGTTTTTGCACTCCGTTTTATGTGTAAAATAAGATCGAAATAAAGCCTTTAACGGCCTAACAAATTTTTAATGAGATTTATTGTTTTAGGATATGATTGTGTGTGGAAACAATACAACACAACTATTTTGGCATTAGGTTTATTTTGTACTAGCAGCTTTGCTGCCAGCCTTCGTCTGGCTTTTAAATGTATCTGAAAAATGGCTGAAGGAAACGCCTACGCAATTCTTAAATTTAACCAAACGTTAAATTTAAAAACTGCGTAGAATGTTACTCTGCAGAAAAACTTCATAAAAAAAAGTTATTACGTATAACAAAATTACAATGAAATAAGCAATATCCCTTAATATAAATATTAATTATCCTAATAAATAAAATTAGCCAACTTCCCTTTGCAAAATCTTAAGAATTCAAATGGTATAAAGGAGGTTAAGAACTTTGTTTCCTAAAAAAAATCACTCGAAACTTTTCAATATCTTAAAAACAGTGAAATGAGCAATAACAAAAAACAAAAAAAAAAACAAAAAACAAAAAATTCTGAAAAGCAAAGTATAATTAATGATATTTTATCTTATATTTTCAAGAGAAAAAAATTACAATGAAATAAGCTATATCCCTTAATACAAATATTAATTATCCTAATAAAAAATTAGCCAACTTTCAGTTGAAGAAACAAAATCATGCAAAACTTTTGAATATCTTACAAATAGTGAAATAAGCAAAAAAATAACATGAAAGCAACTCAAAAAAACATAAAATTCTGCGCAGAATTTTACTCTGCAGAACAACTTTATCAAAAAAATCAAAAAAATGCATTATATATGTGTAAAAATGACAATGAAATATGCCAATCTCTTAAAAACAGTGATATAAGAAATACGATGAAAAATTGTTGCCAAACCCACATTTCTAAAAGAATGAAACTATTCAAAATGAAGCGATTTCATCAAAAATCCATCAACAACAATAAGACAGGAAAACTGTTGCCAAAATCACATTTTCAAAGATGTGAGATGTGAGAAGTGTACTCGGAAGCTTCATTAAAAGAATTTTTGTTTAAATACAAAATATTATCATTTTTCCAAAATTCTTTTTGTAAAAGCAGTCACAAGGATGAAAGTTTAACGTGTCCAAAAATCAAAGAAAAATAAACTGTACATTTTTAAAAATAAACTTTTTTAGAAAAATCCCATTGAAAAAGTGTTAAGTTCCTTTGTTAAATAAATTCGTATTTAATCGATTTATTGAAACACAAAAAATTTATTTTAAGTTCGTAAAATAGCTAAGTGCCTACGTTTCATGACGATGTGAAATTGGAGTATGTAAATTAAATTTCCCTTTCCTATAGCCCATTATGTCTCAAAATGACGCGATTTCGTCACAAAACATAAAATAAAAAAAATTCGAATTCGAATTTCGAAAAAATCGCTTCGAGGTGCACTGGCTCTTGTCTAGATGTACCAAATTTCATAAGCCGTCGGCGTATTAGCTTACCCGCAAAGCGCGTACGAAAAACACACGCACACAGACAGACTCTTTCTTTTATTATATGTAGAGATTATTTTAGTAGAAATTTTTAACCTTGCTTTAGGAATTTGCAAGAGATGACACGAGAAGACATCTGTTATCGTCTCATACACCTTTAAAAGCCTTAAGATCTTCAAATATGTAACTGTTGCAGAATTGGTATATTTTATTTATTTTAAAAGAAAATACTTCCAACTTTTTACAGCCGACTATATTATATAGCTGCTTTGGGAACTACAGTAATCAGAAAGTTTGTGTTGCCAAACAAATATTTTTATAATTTAATCTACTTTGTGAAAAAATTTTTATGCGTTCACGTCATGTTTCCACCTTGCGCGCACAGTTTAAAACATTTTTTTGCATAATTTAATTCTATATGTAATATATAGCTTTTTATAACATTTGTAAACTACTGTGAACCAAAAATCCTAAGAACTTCATGTTAAATTTTTATTTTATTTGGGGTTGAGTTTATAAAATGTATTTTATTAAAAAAATCTGTAATGTTTTCGGGCATAAATTTTTTTAATGTTAAAATATTCATCACATTTTCGGTCCACTTAGAAGATAATGCCCATTTAAAGAATTCCATCAAATTTCAAGTATGTATCTTAAGCCATTTTAAAAATACCATGCGCGCAAGGTGGAAAAATAACGTGAACGCATAATAAATTTTGTCACAGAGCAGATTAAATTATCAAAATATTTGTAGCAACACAAAATTTATGGTTAATAGTTCCCAAAGCAGCTATATTATGTAGTCAGCTGTAAAAAGTTGGAAGTAATTGGTTTTAAAATATATAAAATATCCGAATTCTTGCAACAGTCACATATTCGAAGATCTTAAGGGTTTTAAAGTGTATGAGTCACCTCAAACAGTTATAGCTACAATTTTTTTTTTTTTTATCGTACTTCGTTGAATACAGCAAAGCATATAAAACCTATATAGCCTAAGAAGAGCAGTGCTTTAACAGAAGATTTCCTGAAAAAAACTGGATCGTATTAAAGTTACATTTCGAGAAATCCAAGAAATTATCCATGTAGCCAGCCTGTTTGCTGGGATTCAAACCGGAATCGAATTGCCAGTGTTCAGCAATCTTCGTTATTCAGTTACTGGTGGACACTTATCGCTGAAAATATAGACGATTAATTGAGTGAATTTTATAAACGGGCAAATATCGCAGAGAATGAAAAACTGAATAATCGTCTTCTTTGTCTTCATAAGTACGAATTTAAAGCAATTTCGAATCATAAAAAGGGAAATTTTTAACAGGAATTATTCAAGATAGTTTTCGTACTTCAATTCGCCTTATTTTCAAATATTTTACTTCCGTACTTGCACAATCTGCGGTGTAAATGGATAGGTAAAGACTGTTGGCTCAGAGTGTTAAGTACGCGGGTTTTGGTATCGTATGCTTGTCTTTATATCAAATTTTATTGATGGACGTTTATTTTAAAAATTATCAATTAAATAATAAATTAAGAATAAATTTAAAAATACACTCAAATAGAAATAAATGATAAATTATTTACCTCAACTGGAACTCGCTGCGTTTCGTCAGTCAAACTTTGAGTGTCATCAGCTACTATGAAAATATTCTGACTGTTGTTACTAATATCATCAAGCAAAGACATTATATGCGCAAGTTTGTCATTTTCTTCCTCAAATTTCAGTTTGTTTTCAAGAACAGGGATCTCAAATGATTTCACATTTTCAAACACTAAAAAAAGAAAAATAAATAAGTAACTAAATAAACTTGAAAGGTTTCAGATTTTAAATTACGTCGAATTTTTTTTTTTTTTTTAAATAGGGATGAGCGCCAAACTTGGCGAAAGCTTTTTATCTGGTGCGATTTTGATTTGGTTGTGGTTTCCGACGGTATGTTTTCTTGTGGCAAACCTAGAGCTTTATTTCGGTAATTATAAGAGTGCGAATTTTAGTGTAACCTGCACATTTTTTTTAAATTTAATTTTGAAATACTGTGCTTGTTTTTAAAAGCTTTACTGTTTAACATTATATATATATATATATATATATGTTTAATATTATATTTAGATAAACGTTTGCAGAAGGTTAAAGTGTTGTTGATGGGAGAACATTGGATTTCAGATGACGTGAAGTTATGAATGTTATTTACTTAATTTTATTTAGTTAATTGATATTATTATTATTATTATTATTTTAATTTTGTTTCTTGCATGTGGCAATCAAAAGATGTGGAATATTTAAAGTTTTCAACGAAAGTTGTTTAGTGTGTTGAATTCCACGACGTTGTTTTATCATAATCAATTTCAATTTCATTCATGTTTGCACATAATAATCGCTGTTCACCCCTGAAACAAAAATTTGCTATTATGCTTACGTTTAAAACTCATTTCGCAGTGTTCTTATCTCATAAGTGTATATATTTATTTACTCAATAATTATTTACAAGAATTGTTCATTCTATTATTTTGTGATGAATTATATTGATAAGACTATGTTTTTACTTGCAAAGCTCTTGGGCTCATCTAGTATTTTATCATCTCATTTTGCTATTCTATTTACACAAAATAACGATGTTTTACTACCGCAAAACTTAAAACTTACTATTCTGTTTACGTTTAAAAATCGCATCTTAGTGCTTTCATTGCCGCCATAAAAATTCGCTAAATTTTGAAGGCCAAAATAATTTGGCGCCAACTTACCCCGCTTATGGAATATTAGCCACATTTTGATTTATTAAATATCATTTCAAACCATAAAATTCAGTTCAAGAGCAATATTGCAAAATAATTTTAAAATCTTTAGAATTTACAATACACAGTCTCGCGCGCTGGAGATAAAAATGATTTTCTGTACAACGTTGCCATTGCTCGCTTTGAAATCCCTGAGTTTCGCAATCAAAAATTCGTTAAAATTTTACAAAATATAAAATCGACAAAAAACAAATTCCAAATTTCAAATCTGGTCTTCCAGATTCGGGTGGAAACGTTCAATATTCAAAATTTGATGGCTGTAAGTACCGTTGTTTTATCACAATGCGAGAAACATACATACATGTAGGTAGATTCTTTCATTATTTAATTTCTTTAAATATAACACAAGGCGATAATACTTGGTGGAAAAAAATTTGAAAAGTGAAACAACACTTGTGGTGAATCAATGAAAAATGCCAAAACGAAATTAATACTCCTTCTGGGCAAATTGCCCCTTTGGACTTGAAAAAAAAATTCTTAAAATGCTATTTTTATTACAATTGAGTTAAATTAGGTGAATAGCATCACAAAATACCAACCAGTACGTTAAAAAAGTTATAAATTTAGTTAAACTTCATAATCTAAGCACGCTTTAATATCTTCAAGTATGATAATTACAAAAAAAAAATTTATTTACCCATTACCTTAGAACAATCAGATTCCTGCTTTGACAATTTTTATGTAATTTAATTATAAGCTGTGTATAAATGATTTGGGAATTTTTCAATACTTATGCTTCGAATATCACATTTTTCAAAACTGAAAATTCTGTTGCACTTCTAGACATCAAGAATGTTTTTCAATTATTACTATCATCTTTTCACAGTATTTCAAGGATTGTTTTTACGTAAAACAAGAGTCATGCTCATCGGAAATATTATAGAGAAAATTAGCTCCCTTCCTCAATAAAAAAGTTGAATTTTACTGCTAGATTTTTTTCCTGATTATTTGAATTCCAAGCGCAGTCTCGTTACGTAGGTTCTATTGGCAAATGTGAAGTTGCTTGTCTTCGTAATATTGTAAAGGCTTGTAAACAGTTGTGTGATTTACCCCTTAGAAATCATATTTTTGTCTCGGTGTGATTTCAGAAGAAGAGGTTGACTGCATAGGAGTTTTCATGATTTCCGCCATATGTTACGTAAATGCTAACTAAACATATGACTACAACAATTTAATATCTTTATTTGTGGAAGATACGTTTCTTATATGCTACTTTGGATGAGCTTAAATCTTGATTTATACAAAAACAAAACATGAGATACTGTAAAAAAGTTCGTAGTATGTAAATTTAAAAAATTTTCAGTCATTGTCTTATTTAATATTTATTATAATATTTGTCTTATTATAATATTTGTGCCATGGCTTTTACAAAAGTTTATCAAACTGAGGAAATTAATTTATTCATACTTAATACATCAATGAAGCTATTTACTATAAATAATGTCTATAGAATTAATACTTACGTTCTTCACAAAGGTCATACTCTTCCACTGTATCATTTTGGGGTGCATCAAAATTTCTTTCTTTCATCTCATCCAAAATACTTTCAGCTTCAGAAACGAGTTTATCTACATTGGGTCCCAATGATCCTCCAAGACCTTCAGAAAGCTTCCCCAGTTCATCAACAATTTCTGAAATTTAAATATTTCATTTAAATAAAATAAGAATTATCGCTCAGTAACAAAACAGCAACATTCATAGCATTAAAAATAATTCGCCGCCCAGACGATATAGTGGTTAGGGAAGCCTGGCTGCGATACCGAAGTACCCGAGTTCGAATCCCGGAGAAGGCATGGATATAAAAATTGTCTGTACCCTCATAGGAGGCAATGGTGGTCCAATAAAGACCAGATAATAACCTATTAAGATAATAACCAATAAAGATAATAACCTATTAAATGCCTCCAAAATAAAGAGACCTCCACGTCTGATCTTAGAAGTGGCCGATGCCGGGATAGGCAAGTCCCGCCTTTAGAGGGGGGGGGAGAACTTTAAAAATAATAGGTTTACAAACAGAAACTTAATACTCAGTAGCTATTAAAATCTTATGAATAAGGGGGGGGGACTTAACTTGCTTTCATGCAACTGTAACTAAAATTCAGATACATTGAATTATTGCTTGTTCGTTCCCAAAGAAAAGATGAAGAAGATGAAGTTATTTTAGGTATTAGTACAATTTCTTTGTTCTGCATATGATGACACAATATCATTGTCTTTCGAAAACAAACAAAATGTGAACAAGGAATTAACTGGTTCTCATTTAGGACAAGTCAGTCCAGAATGAGAAAAGAGTAGAAATTAATAAAAATGTGAATTAGCTGCGATAAACTGCTTGTAAAATAAACAATTTAATATTTTCCTTCAAAGTTTTATATGCAACAAGATGTACTTAAACATTTCATATTCTATCATTCGTTACAGTCCAAAATGTCAAATAAAAAATATTCGCATCAAGGAGCACGAATCCTATGTTCCAAAACGAGGAATAAACATACCTTTGATAGTTGAGCATAGTTACGCATTTAACCGTAATTTTGACTTCGGCGAATACGTTATAGCACAACTGCGCAAATCATAGCCCATAACCCAGCTGCGCGAATCAAGGTTTTCCCCTTTGTCTGTCCGGGGAATTTAACGATCTTAACGAATTTAACGACCATTCCGAAGAAGACCCTTCCCTTTCAAGAAGCTGAGGGGTTACTATTTAATTCTGCTTTTCGAAGCCAACAAGAAAAGAAAAATAGTGAAATAGAATTACATATCACAAGAACACGTAAAGAATATCTAATAAGCAGGCTAATCATTTGAATAACAGTAATAAATGCAAGTGCTAGCAAGAGAAAATAAAATGTATTAGTAAACACACATATTAGCATTGGAAACACGTTTCATTAATTACAGGCCTAGAGCAAATAGTGTTATAATAGTATTATAAATTAAATACTTATAAAGCATACGAATTTTATTTCTTATAATATTCTTCTTTTTCTTAATTTCTTATAATATTTTATTCCTTCTAAATGTATATAACTTAGCTTTATAATCTTTCAAACAAGTTCCACTTTCGAAGACCTTCCTTGTGAGAAATAATCATGGACAGGAAATAAAATTTTTGAATTAGTTTGGAAGGCTGACTGTCATATCTTGTTATTAAGAAACATTTTGTTGAGGATACTTTAATATCTCTTATAACATATAATTTTTGTAAAATCAAATATATCTAAAATGAATTATAATGCTTTGCCTTTTGCTTTATCTACAGTTTCTCTAATCAATTTTTGTAAAATCAAATATATCTAAAATGAATTATAATGCTTTGCCTTTTGCTTTATCTACAGTTTCTCTAATCAATTTTTGTAAAATCAAATATATCTAAAATGAATTATAATGCTTTGCCTTTTGCTTTATCTACAGTTTCTCTAATCAATTTTTGTAAAATCAAATATATCTAAATGAATTATAATGCTTTGCCTTTTGCTTTATCTACAGTTCTCTAATCAATTTTTGTAAAATCAAATATATCTAAAATGAATTATAATGCTTTGCCTTTTGCTTTATCTACAGTTTCTCTAATCAATTTTTCAACTTCAAGTGCTTCAATTCTTGTACCATCCGCATCAGAGCTTACTGCATCTCCTTCAGCATGTAAATGAGTAGCCTGAAAAAAGAATACGAGTATATATATATATATATATATATATATATATATTATCAAGCAAAGCAGTAATAACAATTTTGACATATATATATATTGTTATATGTTCATAAACTAAAACTAAATACTTAACAGCTAAATAAAGGGCTGACTGAATTTCCCTCCTGAAAATATGAAATTTCTCCCCAGTGGTGAATTTTCCCTGGTTGAGAGCCACTGCAATAACTTTTCGCATCGTTAGCTCGGGGTTGTGCAAAGCTGACCAAAGTGGGGTCAGGTTTTAGACCTTTCTGCGCCAGTGAGCCTTATATGCGTATTATATAACCTATTTCCATATCAAATTTCATTAAACATATGTCCTTCAGTTCTGGAGATAACTAACCAAATGTGACAGTTCTCTTGACTTTAAATGTAATTAAACGCAAAAGAATTAATTAAACGCAAAAGATATTAATCTATTTTTTCATTAATTAAAAACTATAACATTTAAACATTATAATGACGAAATATTAAAGTTAAAAAAATGCATGGCTATAAATAGATAAAGAAACTGCACATTTCTAAAGAGAAAAAAAAAAAAAAAAAAAAAAAAAAAAAAAAAAAAAAAACACATGCAAATCTGGGGTTTGATAACATATTCTGATGCAATGGGAGGAACATAATTTTATATCCAAAACTTATTACTATACGTATTATATGTTAATATTAAGAAGTACATATGCCTTTCATTATTATTTGACAAAATGAACAAAATCTGCATTAAAAGTTATGTTAAGAAAATAAATTTTAGATTATTATGACTATGCTTCATTTAAAAGAAATTTACACAAATTTTCATCAAATTATTCAAAATACTCGGGCGTAACATTCTATTACAAGTCGTATTTTAATTGTTAAATCAATCCTCGGTGAAGAATTTCCAACAGTTTGCCAGAATATGCGAAAATACATAAAGAGCTATGGCACTTTATATACTTTTTAAAAATTCTTAACTAATTTTATAAATTATACATACATGCTTTTCCCATAAATTACTTTGAACACCGTCGTTTTATTCATTCATAAACTGACCCAAAAGAAAATATGTCAAAGCTCACGAAAAGAAAGTGTATTGTAATCTATCTATCTATATATATCTAAAGAAGAAAGTTTATGTGCTTGTCCTCTAATAACTCAGTCACTACTACAGCTATCGTCACCAAACTTTCTACAATTCTTTTCTGAATCCTGGAAAAGGTCGACGTCCACTTTTTTCAAAAAGAAAAAAAAAAAAAAAGTAAGTAGATAAAATCGGAGATATTAATTAAAAACTCGGAAAAACGATCATTTTCGCCCTCATTTTTCCGAGTGGCAACAGTTTTGTAGGCTGAAGATTAAAATCTGCTTCGTTTCGAAAGTTGTTGCCACTGCTCGCTTTCAAATCCTAGAGTTTGCTAATAAAAAATTTCTAAGTTTTACGATGAACTAAAAATAGCATTGCCAAACATTAAATACATTATTCGCGATTCGAAAAATTCGTGGGAAGCCATTTCGACTATTCCCATCTTCGTACGACTTTAATCAGCCGAAATATTAATTAAAAACTCTGAAAGCGCTCATTTTCGCACTCATTTTTCCGAGTGGCAACAGTTTCGCGCATTGGAAATAAAAATGCTTTATTTCGAAAAGTCTACTGCTCGCTTTCAAACCGTAGAGTTTGTTTATCAAAAATTTATAAGTTTTACAAAATCTATACATATCAAAAAGAATGTCTGTTTGTGTGTGTTTGTTCGCGTTATTGATTTCTGATCAATTATGATACGCTTTTTGGCACATTTAATCAACTAAAATTGAATATAAGTGAAATATAGGATGGAACGTGAGCTTTTACGACCATTTGATTAGAAAGACTTAACTGTTTGTGTCTTTATATATAATGAGAGAGAATTAGCTTATTTTTCTATCGAAATTTTTTACGCGGGTTCTATATCGCATCAGACTGAGAAATGTATGACTATGAATCGTATTTTCCCCATCGTATTAGAGAAGGATTACAGCGGTATCGCTCTGTGTTGTTAGATGTATTAGTCTCAACTTAACATAACTGGCATCCGGTACTTCCGCTGGTAGAAGAAATAAAGGAAGTGAATGTTGTTTCTCAAAATGCAAGTTTTGGGTACATTCGAATTTAGATGGCAAAATTTTACAAACAGTTTTATCCAACATTCACTGTAGCCATGAAAAACATAGAACTTATTTTGTAAAAATTTCATCAAGGTAACTTTTTTTAGCATTTGTTTATACTAAAAGCTACACATATATCTGAAATTTTTTAAGCACTTGTTGAGCAAAGTATTGGGTGAAGATAGTTTAAACAAAACAAATCAAATGCATTTCGTATTCTGTAATCTACTCACATTTCGATCTAGTTGGTCTCTTTTCTTTTCTAACGTCTGAACACTGTATACCAAAGGACTGAAATCTAGTTCATTCGGATCCAAAAGCATCTGATCAACACCGAACTGTTTAAAAAATAATTCAGCATAAAATTTAAGCGTTCAAATAATGAAAACATATTATTAAAATACGTTCAATAACGAAACATTTACAGATGTTAAGCATTAAAAAAATCATTACATATTTGCAAGACAGTTACAAAATTTTTGCTTACCCTCAGTGCATCAGCAGTTTTGTTTACATTTTGCAAACGTCTGTTTGCAAAATAACTCAAGGAAACATCTTTCATTTCCTCCATTACAGGGTCAATTAGGTTCTCCAACAAATCAGTTATATCCAACAAGCCGTGGACGCAAGGATCACATTCTAAAGAGCATATGAAGAAATAAAGTATTAAAATAAAAGTGTAACAGAACTATTTAACCGTAACCGAACTATTTTATTGAACGCCATCTGGTGAAAAAATAGAGCAATCTAAGACAGTCGGCCTCCAGCCGCGATGATGTTAGGTTACCATGTATTAGATGTCTCCGTAATTCGAATGTGTATTCTGTTTCGTATATGTTTTATTTTTATGTATATTTTCTTTGTACTCGTTCCTGCGTGCTCTGTTAATAAATATTTTGAGCTAGCCGGCGTTTGTGCTTATTCAAAAATGGCTACATTACAAAAGGAGGATATCTAAAAATTTTCATCTCTTAGTATATTTTTGCAATTTTTTCAGGCATCAGTTATTTCTATGGATCAAATTTTCACGATTGCATGCTCCGTTAGTAATCGGAAGATCCGGAGTTCGAATCCTGGTGACAGCATATCTGATTCCTTCTTACACTTCTCGGCTTCCGTAAATTTTAACCGCGCATCTACCGAGCTTATGAAGGTTTAATTTTGACTAAATGCATAGTTATGCTCTGAAAATGTTTTATGGGAATTCTTGATTTTTAAAAATTAAAAAAAAAAAAAAAAAAGAAAAGAAAAAAAACTACTAAAATTGCTTATGTTATTCGTGCAATTTCATGTCAAAGGAACACTTTCATAATGTACTACTTTTATTCTGCTAGAACACTAAACATGAAAAGACACTTTATGAGATATAAAAATGGAAGATTTTATTTACATTCTCTGTTCATACTGAATGTTAAAGTACTTGAATTGCAAAAACATATTAAGTTAAATTTTAAATACATGTAGCAGAAGCTAAGCACGATAATTTTTTAATATTTTCCCTATATGAGAAATTAATTGAATATAACAAAAACGTAATAGAAACGTTTCTTTGAAAAAAGCAAGTATTCTATGTAAAATGTTACATTATTTTAGTACTCTAAATCGTAAAAAAAAAAAAAAAAAAAAAAAAAAAAAAAAAAAAAAAAAAAAAACCCTATATTCCGACTGAAAAATATTGAAATATTGTTGCCTTTTTTTTCTTCTAACACCAGTTGTTACGTTCGTACGGGGTTCGTGTGGATTTGTAGTGAATAACGACGACACTTGATGAAGTATCGAAACACGCTTTATTTACCAATATTCACCAGGACAGCTCCACAACACGTTTACAGTCGTCGAAGATCTACTAAAAAACGCGCTGACACAATCAGCGACACAGCCTCCACGATATCAGGCTATAACGGTAGAAACAGCTTCACTGCAAAGCACCAGAGTACAGCTCCCGACTCTGCTCGGTTGTTCTCGGAACTCCACGTACTCTCGAGATTCTCCACGTTACAACTCGCGATGCACTCGACGACACACAGAGCACAACTCCCGACTCTTCGGTCCAGTCGTTCCCGGAGCTTAACACACTCTCTCGATGATGCACTAACCGCGATACACTAAGAGACTCTTTCGACGCACTCAACGACTAACTCGGCACTCGCTGGACGGCTGTCAACTCGATCGTCTACGCACGGACTCACTCGCTGGACGGCTGTCAACTCGATCGTCTCCGCACGGACTAACTAGATGAGAGGCACTATCTCGCACTCCAGACGAGGCACTCTGACTCGCCCTCTCGACCAGGCACACTCTGACAGCGGACCAGCAGGGTTTATATAGCTTTCGGCTTGTTGTGTTCGAGAACATTCTGGGCTAAACCGGTAAGAATTCGTTCCAGAAGGTTCTCCATTTGTTCATGGTATATCGCCAATTTTGTCGCTAAATGGGCGATTTCTCGCCAAATTTGGGAACCCTGCCTTCTTTTACTATTTTATGGCAACTCTAAACCTGCTTTGCGGGAAAGCTATTTCACCGCGCCTGCACATTTCGTAACAATATGATAAAAAAATTTCGTTTTAATTTAAGTGTTTACTTACCTAAACAACCTTCATTCTTTACAAAGACCCATCGGTAAGGACAACTGTCACATTTGGGTCCAATAACTCCTGGTAAGCAGTGACATTGCCCATTGATAGGATTGCAACCAACACGAGCAGAATACTTTTCGTCACAGTTGCAGGCTAAAAACGTTTTACAAAGGTTTATTCATAAACAAAAATAACTATTAAAACATCAAAGACGGTATTAGAACATTAGAGAACAACTCTTTATACTACAACCACTCAAATAACAACAATTAAAACATCAGAGATATAAGCAGAATTTTCTTATTGAAAGTTCTAAAATTTCCGTATACAATTTAAGATAATATATGCGTTTATACAAGTAAAATATGACTTATTAATACTTAAAATCTATAATTACAAAAGCTAAGAAATCAAGTGTAAAATCAGTATTCTGCTATATGATTTTTTAAAGTAGTCTTTGAAAATAAGTCTAAAATTGGTGTGCAAAATCAAAAGATAACTTTTAAAAGTCTGCATTATTTGTGATTTATGAAGGGAACGTACTTGATTTTTTTTAAATAAGGTATTTCACCCGCCTTCTTAGCAAGCCTTCGTGGTGTAATTGTCAGCATGTTCGGCGCGTATTCAAGAGGTCCAAGGTCAAGTCCTGGCGAGGGCACTGCACTATTACTACAACAAGGGCACCGTAGAGATAATGAAGCAAGTGCATGAAAAGAATTATGTCAAAGAAAATGAAGATTAATGTAAAATGTAGAGGGGCGGCCAAACCGTCAGATTACTAGCAACGATTAGGACGACTTCCTAATCCTGTAGTGCCATTAACTTAGTTTGGCGTAACAGGTTAAATAAAGTGGCCATATATATCTCCTGCTTAAAAAGAAACTGATATCTCTAAAATTTTAAATGAATGTTCTTAAGGATTTAATGCGCTATTCATATACACATAATATTTGTATTGCGGAAATGTATACATAATCACAAAAGACACGAATCATGATACTTTCAGTATCTTTAATAGAAATCGTGTATTGTGTGTAATCAGGGTGAGCTAATACACATAGCTAAGTCTAAACTAAACTAAACTTAGCGGCGCAACAGCTCTAGTGGGGCAAGGCATGAAATCTGCCCGAAATCTGCTTTGGGGCTATCCGTGGGTTCGGCCCGAAATTCGTGGGTTCCGAGATGCGTGAGCATATGCCCTGAACAAGTGATCAGCTTGTTGCAGGACCCCCGGTGTTTAGTTCTCAAGCGAACCTGGTACTCATTTTATCGACCTGTTCAAGGAAAGAAAGGCTGAATCAACCTTGCCCAGCCCGGGGATCGAACCTCGGACCTGTGGTGTTGCTGCGCAACGCGCTATCCACACCGCCACCGGGCTTCCTAGCTGTGTTTATCCATGAAATTAAACAGATTGTGAATTTAGTCATATTGTGTTCCCTCAGTTTCCTCGCAGTCTAGGTTTTCAGATCTAACTCTCCTCTTTAGTTTCTTACATTATTAATCTCCTCTATTTTCAAATCACTCGTTTATATTGATGGTAAATTAATATTCAAATAATTATTAGCAAATATTTTTTTAATTTATTAGCAATTAATTTAATTGAATTTCGCTTTATGATTATTAAAACGAATTTGGATTCATTCTTAAGGCATGAAGGAATTAAAATTGATGCACAGAATTTTAAATAAAAACCCAACAGTTTTAAAAGAAAAGTTACTAAACAATGAAATTTTGTTCGTGAATTCATCGATATTGTAAGTTACTACATGTGTTTATACTTAGAAATACAGGTGTTGAATAGGTGATAAAAGATTTATGCCAATACATATAAATCAAATTCATTGTTAGTTCTCTAGTTTCGTGTCATTTCTTATTATATGCATTTTTAAAATTTTATCTCCTTTTGGGTAACATATTATTACTGAAAAATGCTTCTCTTTTCAGCATAAATGAGCATTATTAATATGGCATTTTAAATCTTTATTTATTTATTACATACAGTTATGTACACTGCGAAAAAAAGACAGTTCTATATCTCCCGTTCTACCGGGCCGATTGACGAAATTCAAATTGCATTTTCCATGTCTCGAAAGGGCGACTTAGGGTATATATTAGATTTTTGTATAGCATTGTTCTAACATAGGTATTTTGACACAAAATCGGGCTTTTTATGAAATAACATACCATTTTTTTTTCCATATTTCGATTCTCCGAGTGAAATTATGCCTTAATTTTAAATTTTGTAATTTGGTGCGAAATTTACGATGAAATTAAAAAATTTAATTTGGCGCTTTTTTTTTTTTTTTTTTTTTTTCAGTTTGCTTCAAGAATAATTGACTTCACGAACTTCTTAATATATGGAAACCTATTTTCCTTTCCCTTCCATTGTGGATGGCCGGAAAAAAGGCCACAGCGTTCCTAGCTTTTGACAATGTGCATGAGTGGAAAGTAAGTCACATGGTTTCTACTTCCAAATAATTTTAAAAAAGCGCCTGAACCACATTTGATGTTATTATCGCTTTCAACAAATATGCTAAATTTCAAAACGCGCCAATATATAAATTTACGTTTATCTTCGGAAATTTTCATAGAAAACTGTAATTTTTTTTAGGTATGCTTAGAAATACATCTACTTTAAAATGATGGCAAACAATTTTATAGATTATAATTCAAAATGTTTTTGAAAAATTTATAAAAATTATTTAAAAATACCAATTTTTAAAATAAACCATAAAAAATAAGTTAATTTCATTTGGAATGAACCTAAATTTCGAAATATCAAAGGAAGAATGAAATACGTTTCCTTTAAAAAAAAGATATTAATAAATATATATCAAATTCAATTTACACTGAGAAGCTAAAATTTTGAGAGATAATTTTTTAAAACCTACTCCTGCGATCTTTACAAAACTGAACAGTTTGGCATAATTTGAGTCCTAGAATCGAAATATGGAAAAAAATTGGCATGTCATTTCAGAAAAAGTCTGATTTTTTGTCAGAATACCTACATTAGAACAAAGGTATATATAAATCTAATACATATCCTAAGTAGCGCGTTCGAGATATGAAAAACGCAAGTTGAATTTCATCAATTGCCCCAGTAGAACGGGAGATCTAGAGCTCTCCCCCCTTTTTTTGTTCGCAGTGTACCATAAGCAACAATAAAAATGCATCCGTTTCTAATGACGGTTAAAGAAATATAATAACATTATTGTGACTATAAATTAAACTTCCACACAAATTAATTAATGTTTATTTTTATATATAACAAAGTTTAGTTTTTCATTTGGACTTTCAGTCTTTTTAATGTTAAACATCGATACTGCACAGTAAATAGTGTAACGCAAACATTGTTACTGGAAGATATTTTAGAAATTTATTGTGGAAAAAAAATAAACCATTTTCAAAGTTACATTTTTTAACACCGCCGTTTACTCATTGGAAACAAAACTCTTTTTTTTTTTCTTGGTGAATACTTTAATTTTGCATTAAAACTCTTAATGATTTTGACGGTGAGAAATTAAGACATTAACAGAAGCTAAAATTTTCATTTAAATTAAAAACACGTTTTCAACTGCGTAAATTAAAAGAACGAATACCTTAAAATACTTATTCAAATACAAAGCAGTTTTGAAAATGTCGCAAAATACTGGAAGTACGCTGCATTCTATTCGTGGTTGCTATGGTTGCATGAGGAGATAAAAGCCTAATGCGTGAGTACTCATTTGTAACTTAAATTTATAACTTGTTATTATTAACATCAATCTTAAGTGTACACCTTATAGTCTTTACATCTCGAGTATCATACATGAAACATCGATTCCGTGAACTGCACGGTCGCTGAGAAGTCGTACATAGGGGAGTTACTTTATGACCATCCTGTACATAACTGTACATTGAATTTTAAGTACTTTAAATAATAATCAAATAAATCGATTAACATATTTTATAACTGAGTATTAATATTCCATTATAATTTCTACGAACTGTTCTCCCATTCTTATTAAAATGAATACAAACAGAGATCTTCAAGAAAGTGATATATGAATTAAATGGTAGTGGATTGTTATAAAACGTGCATGTGAGTAAGTTATGTCTATATTATTTAGCAAATAAAGTATCTGCTTACAAATACATCCATCCACTGAATACTGCCAGTAGCCTGGTTCACAAACATCACAAGTTATACCCGCAGCACCAGGTTGACAATCACATTCACCAGTTTCTAAATCACATTGTTCAGCTTTTGAGGCAGGTCCACAATTGCACGGGCGACATCCACTGCAACCCGAAAAGCCCCAGTGATTTGGCTGTAAGCGAATCATGATATCAAAAATAGTATATCGAATGGAAAATAAATTCAGTCATTAATATAAAATAGATTTTTTTTTTCAAGCTTAAAAACATATTTTAAAGCCAAATACATTATACAAATTTTATAAATTAGTAACCTGAAATAATATATTTAATGTATAATAATAAAATTTAGTTTAATAATTATGTTAAATATTATCAAATAAATATGCAATTGAAAACGGATCTTAATAAGAGAATTTTATAACGAAACATAAATTGATAGTTGCCGTAAACATAGTTCATAATTATCATTGTAAATTCATAGTTAGCGTAGTTAGTATATTCATCACGTAAAAACACAGCATTTAAGTATTTCGCTCGCCTTCTTAGCATGATTAGGTCAGTGAAATGGTTAGCACACTAGGCGAGTATTCGAGAGGTCCGAGGTTCAAGCCCAGGCGAGGGCATTGCTCATTTTTCATGACTCCTGCTTCAAAAAAATCCTGATGAGTCTAACAGTGGCGCCCAAACTAAAGCAGGTGGTGGATGATGATTCTCCATCACCAGGATTTGGCGACTGGGTCCCCTAAGCCCCAGTGTTCCTTTAAAAGGGGGAGTATATAAAGTTTTTCTCCAGCCTTCGTATCAGCAAATTGTTCAGCGAAAAGTTCGGCTTTCTCGTCATCTGTGTAAGCAAAACCGCTCCCGTTACAGATGGGTTTGTTATGTGAGCTGGAGCTTAACAAATTTTTCACAAATTTCCAGACATTATTATTGTTGAGGTTAGATCTTCGATTTTGTGATTCCAAGCTGCAGTTTTGTGCTCTTGAATTTTTTGCTTCATGCGGCGGTTGAGGCCATTTGTTTCCTCAAACACCGTATTGAATTTTCATCAACCTCTGATAAGATGCTAAGAAGGAGCGGAGAAGGATGGCTGAAGAGTTACTGAATAAAAAAGAATTAGTTATATTCTTAAAATATATTTTGATATAATTGCCTTAAAAATGAAGTACTTGCCATAGCATGGCACGAGGTCCAATGGAATATGGTAAAAAAGTGACACCGGAAATAAGCGAACTTCTTGTTTCTTAAAAGCGCAGGGGGAGGGAATCCCACCTCAGTATTTCGCTAAGTAATCTTATTGCCAAGAAGGATTTCTGCAGACTTTTTTCGAGTGATAATTTGGTCATTAAAGCACTGACACCGATTTCCTAAGATGGCTGAGTATTCTTCCTTAGTAGTATTCATGTTTCACACTATTCTAGAAACAAAGGCCATATTAAGGAGCGATCGCCCAGCTGCTACAATTGATACAGCGCGAACTTTCAACAGGCATCATATGTCTAACTTGAGTAAAACATTATACTTTACTATACACATTTTAACACAGTTTTTCTTTAGACTGCTAATTCCTATTTCTCATTTGAAGCAGTCTTTATTGCTTAAATTTGTAAAATGTGTTGCATAATATAAGCTAGTAGAGTCTTTGTCTTTTGCAGAGCATTTACAGTAGACCCTACGTACAAGACTGCGTAGCGAAATCTCCCTATGAAAACAAAAATGTAAAATCACAATAAATTAGGATGGCTGAGCGATTGGCTCCTTAGTTATCTAAACTGCTAAATCGGCTGCACACAGCAAAGCCGAGCCTAGAATATAATCTGAAGAGGGTGGCTAATACCAAATATAGAGCTATTCCAAATACGCAGCATAAACTCGGAACTAACTCTGCTACTACTCCTACGAACTCTTAAAACGCAGCTTAAATACTGCTTTTTTAGAATTTAGCTTTAATTTTTTAGAATTTTACAAACTACGTCATTAAAATTTACTTTCTGGCAGGAAACTGAAATCAGGAGGGAAAGGAAAGTCAACTAAAAGTAATTGGTTAGAATACAATAAGGCTAATATTATGAAAGTCGTTGTCTGAGCTTTTTGTCAGCGCCGAAAACTGTCTGTTTCAACCCCACAGGCAGATAGCTCTAGGTTGCTTTGCCAGTATTAAACTATCCAATTCATTCCTATTTTATAAAGCTATTACTGCGTGTTGCCGTGTGTAACTACTGCAAAACCTTTCGTGGAAACCACCTCTTATACACAATTACCTGAGAAAGTAAGGTATATCTTAGAACATAAATCAAAAACAGGAATGACTATCACTTTTCTAACGTGACCATCTTCATGACCATTCAAACTGTCTGGAATTGTCTTAGGAACAAGAATAATGTTTTGTATATATCTTCAATACGACAGCTGTATAAACTACCATGTATAGTGAAACTCTCTAAGACGACCATCCTTAAACAGACCCTTGTATTTTGGTCTTCTGTAGAGCTAGTCGCTTTAGAAAATATAACAACTACCGATATTTAGTACAATTAAACTTCATTAAGACGGCCGCCATTGGTTCCAAATAATTTTGGCATTATGTAGAACTGGTTTTCTTGGTGAAAATGTTTATCCGTTACGTTCAGTACCCCATAATACGGAAACAATTAAATTTTTCTGTTTCACACTTTAGCTTCAGTTTGGCTTCAAAAGGTAAACTTAGCAGTAACCCTTCAACATTTTGAAAGGGAACAACCCTGTTAGATATTTTTTAAAGCTGCTCTGTCTGTCAAATGTCTTCTTCGGAAGGTGTGAAGATGGTTGTGATGTATGACGGTAAGGAAAATATTTTTTGCACATATGACTTTTTGAGGACAGAATATTGCTATTGCAATTTTTCGTCTTGTCAGTTAGACTACATCGACGATGTTAATACCCCACATTATTTTTTATCATTGTTTCCAAATCAAAACGCAGAAAATTTGGTAGATTATTAAATGACCATGGTAAATCATGTGAGGGTTATTTAAGAAGGTATGCTTAAGTTGAGAATTTTGCGTAGGAAACTTGCTCATATTAAGTCAAAATAACCATACAAAAGTCTTGTGAAGTCAGCTCTTTACTGTCGATAGAATCCGGACGGAAATACCAGTTCCAGCAGTCGTATCATCGACTGCTAGAACTGCGATCGCTCTAGCAGTTTAGCTGTTCGTTAGTGTAGTGCAGAAAGACTTACTTAAAGTACTTAGAGTCACAAAGCATTTGGCAAATTCAACCTGCACTTAGAATTTTCAGTAAAGGGGGCAAACAGTTTTCTTTCAAAAGCATTTTAATATTATAATTATTCTTTAAGCAGTACACTTTGCCTTCAAAAATACATTCTACTTTACAGCTTTGAATAAATTGTAGGCTTTTATGGCGCTACTTTCTGAAGTGAGATTTGTCGACTTGAGGTATTTAATAAAACTGTGTCTCAGTTACAATTGCGAACCATTAAAACTAATGTGATTCAAACTTACCGCACAGCGATCACAATACGGAGGTTCTACATTAGGCAAACAGATACATTCTCCATTCTCATGGTCGCAGGTTCTGTAGCCGCATTCATTACAATTGCATTCTAGAAAAAAAGTTTTCAGTGCATTGAAAAAGGAAATAACGACAAATGCTAAAGGTACAAAATTTAATGGCAGAAGCTTATCAATAAAATTTTTACTAAAGCTTTTAAGATAAAATACTTTTCATAAAGCATTTCTTTGGAAGATTTAACAGGAGTTTCTTCAGACAAATATTTCTTAACAGTAAATAAGAAATGTAGCTTCTCATTTTTACATTATAAATGTTTTCTTCAGAACTTTAGAAATATTTTTAAGAATATATATATAACATGAAGTTTTTGTATTTTGGATAATTCTAGATTTCCTGTTAGTCATTTTAATGTAACTCACTTTTACAGTCCTTTTTAGCGATAGCGTCTCCATAGAACCCTGGTGCACAGAGTTCACAGGCTGCACCATAGGTGTTGTTTAAGCATAAAATGCAGTCACCAGTTACAGAATCACAGCTCCCTGGTTTACTAGGATCAATGTTCCCGTGGCATTGACAAGGCTGACATGTACTCCCTGGTTTTTCAGGATTTCCAAAATAACCAATGTCACATCTAATCAATGAAAGATAAAATATGAGATTATATAAAAATGTTACACGTATGCGAGACATGAAATACCTCTCATATTATTCTACAATTTTGTGAGAAATACTATAATTATTTATGCATTTGGAATTATTGATGTATTTGCAATAACGTATAAATTACATATGGATATATAGTATCATTAGCAACATTGTTGCGGAATGCGAAAAATATGGGATGTACAGGGTGTACCATAAATGTTGCGACAAACTTCTAGGGGAGGTAGGGCACATCATAAGGATTAAGAATTGTATAGGAACCTATACCCGGAAATGTTAGGGGTAAGTGGTAGCAGAGGTAGAAGAAGGGAAAAGAAGCAAGAGTGATTAAGTTGAAACATTTATTGGACATGAATACCAATGGTGTACGACAGTTTGAATGTTACAACAGATGCTCGAAGTTTGCACCATCAGACGCCAAACATGCCTCACACTGACGGACCATTTGAATGCCGCGAATTATTTGATCTTCCTGGAGCAGGTTCTTCCCGATTTGCTTGACGATGTTCCACCAAATGTGAGGCGCAACATACGATTCCAACATGATGGGGGTCCCTGCTCATTTTGGACTGGATGTTCGTAGCCATTTGAATAAATCATTCTCACATCGATAGATTGGACGTGGTGAACCAGTTCCCTGCCCCCCCCCACGCTCACTGATTCATCCAGCCTTGATTTCTTTTTGTGGGAAGCCATCAAAAGTATCGTGAACCACGATCCTATTGTGTCTGAAATGGATCTCGTGACAAGATCCGCCTGCGCAGCTGCTACAATCAAAGAAACTCCCAGTGTGTTTGAATATGTCCGGCAATAAATGATCCGTCGGTGTCAGGCATGTTTGGCGTCTGATGCTACAAACTTCGAGCATCTGTTGTAACATTCAAGCTGTCGTACACCATTTGTAATCATGACCAAAAAATTTTTCAAATTAATCACTCTTGTTTCTTTTCCCATCTCTACCTCTGCTACCACTTACCCCTGACATTTCCGAGCACGGATATGCGATTCTTAATCCTTAGGATGTACCCTGCCTCCCCTCGAAGTCTGTCGTAACATTTAAGGTACACCCTGCATACAATACTAATTAATTATATTTTTCACGCTTTTAGTTCATAAATACTTATTAAATTTAGACCTCAAATATAAAAAGATCTGCAACCTCAATTAATTTGCCTTTGGACTTTAAGTTCCTTTTCTGTTAGAATTTATTAAAAATTCTAAAAAGCTGTTCTAGTTGTCTGAAATTCTGTCAAGTCTTGGTTTCAACTTCTAAAACTATATAACGAAATTTTTAATGCATTAGACATACAGACAAAATGTGACACTATAAATACATATATACCAAATTTCTTAAAGATATATGTAAGCTATTACTAAATTGCAATAACGTTATTTTTTTTAAATCGTAAAATACCATTGTTATTGGCCTTTTCCCCTCTTGTAAGACAAGCATTTTCTTATCTGCCTTTCTAGAATTTCATCAGATACCAATTAAGAAAACGCTAGATTAATTGTCATAAAACCGCTAAAATGAGCAAAATTGGTTAAAAATTAATATGATTTCGGTATTCACTCAGAAGTTTTAAAATAGGAAACTGTTTACAAGATAATAGTCTCAGTAACGTCACTAGAATTAAAGGGATACTGAAAAAAATATTTGTCAAAATAAAGCCATTGAGAACATGAAAATAATATGTAAACCATATGAATTAAAACAAAATTTATCCACCCATAAAAGTGATACAGCATAAAAATGTTTACGGATAGGATTTATTACATAATATTGATAAGTCACTCAAATTAGGGACATTTTCTGACCTAAATAATAATTGAATTTCACACAGCAAGCAGGAACTGTCAGTGAATTTTGAAGAAAAATTAGATTATCAGATAAATAAAAAAATCTTTTAGGAAAACAGGCTTAATTGCATAAAAGCTCATTTCTGAAAAACAATTTTTTAATCAAAATGAAAACAATTACACAAAATTTGCAATAATTTCCAAGAAAATTGTCTTAATACAAAATTATAATACTAACACTTCACACCGCAATCCATAATATCCAGGTTTACATTTGCAGCTGATTTCCAGTCCACTTGGAGAAATTTCACAACTTTCAGCAAAACTAGAAAATGAATTTTAGGACGTAAATTTACATGATGTAATAAATCGTAGAAATTTATTGGATTATCCGGAAAGTTTTGCGTCTTTTCAAATCGAAGAGCCTTTTCTTCTAATTATTTTGTTACTGCTGACAAGGGATGACTTTGATCAAAGCTAATGTTTAAATATGGTCTTTTCTGCTCACATTGTGTAATTCTGGCATGTACTGCAGCATAATTTTTGTTTCAGTGTAGTGCGAAGAATGGAGAACTTAGAAATTCATTTTCGTCATATTTTACTCTTTTAAATTAAAAAAAAAAGTGCTACGAAATATGAAATCGATAATAAAACAAATTTCAAATTCAAATTAGGGCTTCCACATGTCCATATTCTATTGAAGATTACGTTATTCAAATTTTGCTGATTCCAGGTACCGTTGTTTTATCACAGTGCGAGAAACATACATACATTTATGCAGATTCTTCATTATTTAATTTCTTTAAATATAATACAGGGCGATAATATTTGGTAGCAACGATTTGAAAAGTGAAACAACGCTTATCGTGAATCGAAGCAAAATGCCCAAACGAAATTAATAGTCCTTCTGGGCAAATTGCCCCTTTGTACAGTCATTCGAAGAAGACTGGGAATGTAAGCCGCTATGATGTATGGGTAACCTACACTTTAAAAAAAAAAAAGCTCTTATCATTTTCTTAAAGGTTACTATGCAATAAAGTTGCAAGGGAAAGGTCATGGGGTAAGCCGAAAGAACCTTCTTTAGTAACATCTGGAGGAAACGTTTGTATGATCAGAATAAAAATAAATTGTATATTATGAATTGTTGTCACCACATCAAGCAATAAATTCGGAAAAATACGGTTCAAAATGGCAGTTATAAAAGTAGAAACTGAAGCAAAGTGACCAGAACTGCTTAATTGCCGAGGCGTTGTTTTCCATTATTATAATATTTGACCCCACATTTCGATGAATGTGAGGTAGAATATGGCTGTATTATTTTGTGTCACGCCCCCCCATATTCACTAGAGCTTGCCCCCCTTCGATTTTATACTCTTCAGATCACTTCAGAATCGTCTGAACGGCCTGAAAGTCATTTCTTTGAAGACTGTTAAATAGCATCTCAGTAACCTGCAATAACTTTTTTATTGTAAATGTAATGACTTCTTAAAAAAAAAATGAATTTCTAGCTGCAAGATAGATGGAGAAAAGTCATAGCGTAGACACATTAGGGTGTTTTGTTTGTTTGTTTGTTTGTTTTTTTAAGCAGGAGAGATGAAAAATTAGCAACGCTTTCGCCGGGAATCGAACCACGGACCTCTGGAATACGCGCCCAGCGTGCAGACCACCACACCAAGAAGGCGGGATAAATACCTTATATACTCCCCCTTTTAAAGGGTGACGGGAGTTTTAGGGGACCCTAGTCGCCAAATCCTAGGTGTGGAGAATCATCATCCAACACCCTTTTAGTTCGGGAGCCACTATAGAGACATTAGTTTTTTTTTTTCGGGGGGGGGGGGAAGCAGGCAAGATGAAAAACTAGCAACGCCTTCGCCGGAAATCGAACCGCGTAAATTTGGAATACACCCCCAGCATGCAGACCGCCACACCACGAAGGCGTGCCAAGAAGGTGGGAGAAATACCTTATAATAGAACAAAATGGTGCTTATGTGATTCCATGAATTTGTTTCATGTTTTTGTACTTCTTCATTAGCATTTACTCGTATCATCAAAAAACCGCAGAACTTTCCGGATGACACAATATTTCATGAAACGTGCATTCTTTTTTTAAAATCTATGCATAATAAATTTGAATATTTACATAAAGTATGCTTTAGAAATAATTAAATGCTGGTATATTAATAGCAGATTTGATGCAGCATACAATTACATAAATTAAGAAAACATGAATTAAAGAAATAGGAAGCATTTTTATATCATTTTTATTACAATTTAGCTCCAATATCAGCTGTAAGTCATATTAGACACGAAAAAAAAAATTGACAAATATTTAATGAATTTAGCAAATAGTAAATCGAGAAAGGAAAATACTTACTTGTTTGTCTCAGTTGGTAATGGGCAAGCACAACGCAAGCAGTCATAAGGTGTTCCTTGGGTAGAATCGCCATGAAATCCCACATCACACTTTTCACAATGGTCGCCAATTGTGTTATGCTGGCATCCCTGAATAAGTCATTTGAAGGCAAAGATAAATCAACTAACTAAGTATAAAACTCAGTAGTATTAGTTTTATAATTTCAATTGATATGTTAAATAATCACATCAGATAGTACATATTACATTAAAAAAATTGCAATCAGCAATTTTAAAATTTAAACACTAATTTATGATGAAAATTGTGCTTACTATACACTTCCCGGTGTTAACATCGCATGTTTGCGCGTGGCCATGACACTGACAAGGAACACAGTACCCTAAATATGGACCTGTCTTTGAGCGATAATAACCTGGAGCACATTCCTAGTTATAAAAAAGTAAACAACAAATAAATAGGTAAATAATTAAAAATCATTAAATAATACATAAATAAAATATTTGACAGAGGTAATTTGCAAAGTAGCATGAAATATCTTTATTCCGTGGAAAAAAAATAGTATTTGATAAACCCTCTATTTCCAATTCTGTTATAAGAGGAAACTATGATGTTAAAAGAAATCCCAGATGCACCGAAAGTAACTTTCAGAGTTAATAACTTGGTCTTAGGGAACCAGACTCGGCCTGTAGACTGAAGCCATATAATGACAACAAAGTAACGTTTCTAGTATTATAGGTTTCACACTATTTTCACTCTTCCAAAACATTCAGACAGGCACATAGTTTCACCAAATCATATGCGGAGGCTCTCAGGTTATTCAAATACTCATTATAAACATATCTGCAGCAGGCTGTACAGAGCCTACATTGTATTAACTCTTTTGTGATTTACAGGGATCAGATGACTCCCTTTCTGATTCTCCAGTGTTTTCAGCAGTTGAATAGTTAAGTGAGTAGCAGATCCAGTAACCCCTGGTAACATCCACTCTCCTTTCAACACTGGAACAAAGGACCGAATGTCTAGATACAAGTCCATGCATCTGAACTTTTGATACAACTGAACTTCTAGATAAAGTCCATGCATCTGCACTTCTGGTACAACTGAACTTCTAGATAAAGTCCATGCATCTGAACTTCTGATACAACTAAACTTCTAGATACAAGTCCATGCATCTGAACTTCTGGTACAACTGAACTTCTAGATAAAGTCCATGCATCTGAACTTCTGATACAACTAAACTTCTAGATACAAGTCCATGCATCTGAACTTCTGATACAAATGAACTTCTAGATAAAGTCCATGCATCTGCACTTCTGGTACAACTGAACTTCTAGATACAAGTCGATGCATCTGAACTTCTGATATAACTGAACTTCTAGATACACGTCCATGCATCTGAACATTGATTTTTGGACTTTTTCATGTTGAAAGAAAATGTAGTAGAATATTTGAATTACAACGTAACGCAAAACTATCTACAGCATCCAATCTTGTTAAAGGTTACTCAGAGTAGTGTTTATGCAGAACAGTGAACCTTTTCAAGCCAACCATACTGCTAGGCAGTTGTAAATATATCGGGTGTTTCTAAATGAATATCGGGGTTTTAACGCTTTGTAGTATTTATTACGTAAAACTTAAAATAATAATTAATACATAAAATGAAACAGCAACGACAACAGTTATACCTGCAAGCTTACAAGTGTTCAATGTGAGCACCTTTCGTCACACAGCGCACGTCAAGTCGAAAACCCTTGGTCGTCCCGTACTCTTCCCTTTGCAAAGACAGCCCGTATTTTCAAACTGATGATACCATCTATAGATGTTATTATCACTTGGGGGATCCCATATGAATTTAATCAGGAACGCACGTTGCACAATAGCTACAGATTCGGTCTTTGCAAACTGCAGAACACAAAAAAGTTTCTGTTCACTAGAAGCCATTTTTGCTACTAGCGCTTTCTGACGCATGCGCGTACCAACAGACAGAACTGTTTGAGCTGCTCATTCATTTCATGTACTAATTATGATTTTAAGTTTTACGTAATAACTACTACAAAGAGTTAAAACCCCGAGATTCATTAGAAACACCCTGTATGATGAAAATTGTGCTTACTATACACTTCCCGGTGTTAACATCGTACCCTGTATATTATCATCTCAATTTAGAACCATGATCAATGTATAAAAATTACAGTTTGCCTAGTTACTACATGTTCATCTCTGCCGTTTTATGTTTTTGCCTAGTTACTACATGTTCATCTCTGTTTTTGCCTAGTTACTACATGTTCATCATGTTCATCTCTGCCGTTTTATGTTTTTGAATGGAGTGATTACTTATGTAAATAATTTTAAAACATAAGAAATCACATTAGAAATTTTCTACAGTTAAAACACGCTGAATTCTAGAAAAATAAGAATTTACTTATCTTTATCACGGTAATCTGCTCATACCATACTCATAAGAAAAATATATGGGTATAATGAGTAAATAAGGAAAATACTAATTTTACAACAATTAGTCATCAAAGCCCATATGATAGGTATTCGCAATTATACGAAAGCGATTAGAACCTTCCAGCTAATTACAGTTAAATCGCTATATCTGTGATTACTTTAAGCAAGTTTCATTGCACATAGAATAAAATAAAGTTCAAATAATAGTTTTAGATGCAGCTTTTAAATTATTGAAGATCTAAAATTCGGATTAAATTTCTTACTTCACAAGAATTTCCGATGTAGCTTGGTGGGCATTGACATAGCTCAACTCTTAAAGCTTGAGGAGCATCAGCTACAAAGTTTTCGTCGCCAGTATCCAATAAAACATGTGCCAACCTGCAACATCAGCAATTGAGTAATACCTGTGTGATATAAGCTAAAAATGCAGAATGAATATTAATTCACAAATTTCATATAAGTATGCACAGATTTCATCAGCCTTGGAACTTCTTTTAAGTATATTTTTAATCATTCCTTTGTTTTGAATGCATTTAAAAGAATTTTGGCAACAGATTTTTGATAAGACTCTAGGATCCACTTGCTTATCTTCTAAGTGACAACCGTACGTGTAGTAAATTCGTGTAGTACGTGCAGTAAAACGTCAAAACTAGTGGCAGCAAAGTAAATGCTGTTATACCACGTAAATAAGCAATAAATGCGAAAGTAGCTCACACTACATAGGTAACGGCAGTGGCCTAACTCTCTAACTTTTCTCCTAAAACTCGGTATTTAAACTTTCTCCTCAAGGTACAATTTGCATTTTCTCACGCGCGCTACCAAATTTAAATATTCTGACATTGACAATTAGAGGAATGAAGGCTTATAGGAAAGAACGTGAAATCAAATTAACTTGGTTATTTAAAATAAATATAAATTCTTACAAGACAGAAAGAAAGAAAGAAAGGATCCACTGACATTGCAATTAAGAGAGAGGAAAAATTAAAATAAAACAAATTAAATCATTATGTTGTAGGGTTTATATTTATTTTAACTAACATTTATTTTTAAGCTATCTTTCCTGTCAAGCCTTTACTTTCCCCTAGAATTGCCAATGCCAGAGTATGTAAATTGTAGTAGAACGCGCAGTCTATTCACATTTTAGCAGAAGTAAGTTGAGTTTAAATAGAAGGGAAACGAGATTGTATGTGTGTTTCTTGAATCACGAGCGTGAAGGTTGCTAGGTAGAAATTTAAGAACCGCGCGTTTCGGCCTGTGTGCCTATTTCGGCAGTTCGTTGAATCTTCAACTGCTTAATCAGTAAGCTTGCTGAATCTCAGCTGTATCTTAGAACGCGGTTCAGTTAGTTACGATTTTACAGCCTCGTAGGTAGTGATCTCGTTATTTATTCATCCTGTCATTTATTTTTAGTTTCACATTTCTGTTTTGTTAAACCGCCGGGTCGGCGTAGTTTGTGAGCGTCGAGGGAACGCAGCTGTTATTTCTAAAGTGGAATAAAAAGGGATTTAAACCCTTTTTACGATTTTGTGTAATTTACAGTTCATAGCAGTCACTACCACCGTTGCTGACAAGTTGGGGCCTCGCAACACTATAATGTTAAAAAGTTAAACAAAAATATTCAGTGGAAGTAATTTATTGGTGTTATCAGAAGGACAACTTCTAGCGGAGGGTTTATCCTTCCAGTAACACTCCCTCCCCCTTCATCCCAAAGCCAGGGCCGGATTTACGTATAAGCAACACAATCTATAGCTTAGGGCTCCCAGCTTCTTGCCTCCAAAAGTTAAAATATAGTATAAATAGCATTAAAATATATTATAACAGACTTATAAAGGGTTCCATATCTCAAATAACTTAGGGCCTTATCAAGTTATCTTAACGAGAATAAACTTAACACTAAAAAGTTAAGTTTATTCTCGTTAAGATGCTCTCGACTTACATTTTTTCAACTTGCAAGGTTTATCTTAATTTATCTAACAGTTAATTTTTAGTTAAAAAGTTACTTTCCTGTCCTCTCTGAATTTCAGTTTACAACTTCCGGCCAGAACGTATATTCAGAATCGCGGTAAAATGCAAATGAGGAGAAGAAGTATTTAACCGTGAAGTTCTTTTGACTTCGTTAGAGAGCCAGAGATTCCATGCAGCGCGCGTTCGCCTTTCAAGCTACTCTCTCTCTCTCTCTCTCTTAAGGGGAGTTGGAACCCCAAAATCTGCAAAAAATTGTGATTTTGGATTTTTGCATTTTCAAATTCTCTACACTTTTATCTTCCTAAAAATACCATTCTTTAATCTCTATGAAAAATTAGAACTGTAAAAAATATCTAGTTTAAATTTGTCATCTACTGCTTTGATCAATGAGGATTTTTACATAAAAACGCGTTTTTCGCCAAACGTGATTTTTTTATACTCGATGTACCTTTTCTCAGGAACTACTGCTCACAGGTATCTAAACTTTTTATGGCTTATTTATTAGGTTCCCTAATATTTACTAAAATGAGCTTTTTGTAATAAATGTAGAAAAAAAAATTTTTTAATTTTTTTTTGTGTGAGAAAAGTGCTAAATTTTACTATGCCTAACAAAATATTCTGTAGTTTACTCTAAAATTCAAAATGTTTCAAAAGCTCATTTCAGTATAATCAGATAGGTATACTTTAATTACAGAAAAAATTTCAAGCATGTATCTACAGCAGATTTTGAGAAAAGGTACATCGAAAACGGCCAATTTAACATTGTCGGTATAGGGGTTTCTGATACCCCTTAACCCTTTGCGGCACAGTGTGTCCGGTTTGGACACACCTAAAAATTTCTTTCTGTACGCACAGAAAAAATTGAATGAAAAAGGATTTATAGGTTACTCTGAACCTTCAATATTTACAGTAGATGGCAGCTCAATACAAACCAGTCCATATATTTTAGTCATGTTCAGCCTCATTTTTCAAAGAAATCTTCCAGATTCTTTTTAGGGTATAAAAGGAATTGCTTGAAAAGAAATTTCTATGTTATATTTTTGGCTGTATGCTAATCTCCTTATTCTATATTAGTTTTAAATTTTTACTTTGAAATCTTGCCTAAAATCAAACGGCGAGCCCTAGGTCTGCCCAGACCGGGCTCACCGATAATCTAGGACAACTGAGAGTTTGTATTCTTTGTTTTTCCGCATCTCATCGGTCAGTTCATTGACAACAATGTTCGGTTCAGCACTCTTTTCGAAGCTCTATTCAAGCAGTGTGCCCACTTTGGGCACACCCACAGAATTAAACGATAAGTGATAGCACTTATCGTTTAATTCACAAAATTTTACTTGTGTACTCCTCTACGCCTAATTAGACTGCCTACCTTTTTTCTTATCAAAACTTTAAAAGGTAGCGTGCCGGAAAGGCTTAAGCTATTATTACACTCGGCTGTACTTTAGGCCCTTGATAGCTTCGCCGTTAGTTAGCGTTAAGGAGACAACTCTGTTAGAATCTTGATAACTTCGGCTATATCTTTTTAGCTTAGTTAAGCTTTATTTCTTAGTTTCCTGAGTTCAAGCTTGAGTGGAGGCTTTATTGTAAACTCCAAGAAGGAGTCTACTGTGAACTTTATTTGGAATAATAATGGGTATTTAACCCTTCTCGAGTATCTGTTCTCTGTTTACTGAAATAAAGCGATTATTCGCTTACCTGTTCTTAAGGTTCCTTAACTTTAGCTGTAACTCAGATAAGAATCTTGCAAACTTATTTGTATAAAATGACAATACAGCATAAGCAACGGTATTTTATGTCAGATAATTAAGCATTTATATTATTATAACTAAATAAACATGCGCAATATTCTAAAATTAAAATTTATTTCACAACTACCCATTCACTTAAGGTATTTTCAGAACTTCGCGAAATAATTTAGGACTATAAGATGTTTGTTTAACTGATTTGTTAAAACTGACATGTTCTATTATAATCATGAAGGTTTTGAAAATGACAAAGCCGTAACATTTTATTTGGCCAAAAATTTTAATTTCCGCATTTTAAGAGGTATTTTTAGACAAGCCACTTCTGATTCTGATGAATTTCTCATGATACAGCTAAATGAATGTTTTTCCAATTTTGCTGTGAGTAATTCTGGATGCAGCTGAGTAATTTGTTTTAAGGCAGTTTTTGCTACACAGATATTCATCATGTGACTCGCTAATTGTGATTTGAATTTATTGCATAACAATGCATCTATTATACTGATTTTTAATATTAGCTTAAAAGGAAACTATTTATATGTCAGCTACGGAAATCCTCTAGTGGCCTACTTACTGGTAGTTCACTAGAGAAATCTTGGCGACCTTTGTTATGAGAAAAGTTTTCTATGCATATTTCAGGGATAAAGGAATAATACCACAATAACTGAGAAGACGAATGCGGATTTGATTCAATATTTAATTTCAAACTAAATTTTAATTAAAGTATCATTTTTTGATTAGGCTCTCTGCCTTTGAAGAAGATTGAGTTTTGATCAATTGCTGAGACACAAAAAGTATTAGCCTAGCAGAATGATTGTCTTTACGGAATGTTTTTCAATGTGATTGTTAGTTTTGATTCCATCATTTGAGAAGTGATTCCAGATATTTCTGCAAAGGAAAAATGTGGTTCAAGTTTAGAAAAAAATTATGCTTCCTTTGAAATATTTTTTCTTCTAGAATACGTTTGTCATTTTTTAGTTAATGTAAATAATTTTAGCTAATAAAAGACGTTTCTAACGCCATATATTACGTTTCATGGTACAGAATAATACTTTGCTCGATACCTAACTATAAATTCCTAATAGCACATTCTTTCTAAAACACACTGTAGACAGAAATACATAAAAAAAGGAAATGTTCTTATTATTTTAATGGCAACCGAATGGAAATTAGGTGATATATATATTTCTCCCATCTGGCACGTGGGGATGAAATTAGGAGGAAGTGGGGTAGCTGAGAAAAAGTTACAGTTTGTGTGTTATAAGAAAAGCTCTCATCAGTTAGTCTGCAGCTGTCTGTTGCCGTAGAAACGAGCCTTGACCCATTTTCCGTAGGGGTGTCTTAAAGACGAATGATACTCTTTTCCCCTCAGCCAACAGTCGCCAAAAACAAAATAACAATAAAGCAACCCTTGGTTCGGCCCTATTTGAAATATACTTGTCTTGTTACTATAGCGACCGCCACCCGTCAGACACTGTGGCGGGAGCTCTTCTCGTAAGACTATTAAACCATTTCCGTTTTGGGCCAAACAGAAAAAAAGAGGCATGAATGAATTAGGAATTAGGTCCCAATTCAGCATTGGGACATCAACAAAAAATTATTTAATTGCATTCCTATAGCAGAAGTATGCATTAATATACACACTTCATCAACAAAAGTTGCAACACTTATATCTTAATATTACCTGATCTCAACAGCAGGATGAAAATACGATCCACGAATCAAAAGATGATCCAGATTCTCTAAAAGCATCATCATTTGCTCTCGAGTTACATCTCGACCACTGATGTGATGAAATTCATGCTAAAAATCAAATTAATATGTAGTCATCATTTGTTTAATTATATCCGTTGAAAAGAAAATATTGATAAAATAAATACCTCGATAAGATTCACAGTTATTCTTAATGGAGCACCTCCAGCAGGCTGTTCAACATGATTATGCACAATTGTGATATTATTACCCTAAAAAGAACAAAAATAATGCCATATGCATATTGATATATGTTATTTATATGTAGTTATTTAAGCTTTAGGAAGTCAAATGCATATGATAAAATTAACGCATATATTTTTATTTCTGCTATCAGAAATATTCAAAAAGTAATATCCTAGCTTAAAACACATCTATTTATTTTTCATTCAGCTAATCGTAAAAGGTTTTATGTCAAAAGTAATCTTGACTTATTTATCGAAAAACAAACATTTCGGAAACGATGTCCCCCAGCACAAAATCATGCCTAGACTGAACGAAACAAACGAAGCTTAAAAATAAATATTATCAGCTTTTAAATATTCAATCATTAAGTATATTAAATATTTTGTGCTCAGAGCGAAAATTAAGACCCAATTTTTTTTCTTATTTTTATCCTTTGATCCTCGCTATTTGTTGAGAACCAATTTTTTTTTTTTTTTTTTTAATTTGGCATTACCAAAACATGAATACCTTCTTCATTAAAAACCCATCTGTAATCGAAAGTATGTCTACGATTAACGATTGCGAAATTAAAGACCGGGTAAGGAATTTTAAACCGAGTAAGGTGTGTGTGTGTGTATATATGTATATAGAATATTTCTGGAGCATAGAAGAGGAATCAGCTTGCAGTCGTTGTGGCCTATGATGACAGCGCACACATGAAGAAAATAAAACATGAACTTGACGAATTTCCAGTTTTTATTTCCACGCATATAAAATCATCTCAGTAGATACTCGTATTTATTCAATCATAATGAAATCCGAGACATTTCTATGATTCAATCAATAAAACATGATAGATTGCTATGTATATTGGTTCTTCAAATTACGACGCAGGCATTTTAGACGGAGAAGCAGAGCAGCGGGGATATTTTAGCAGTTGCCGAAGCTAGGAAAAGAATTACGTAATTAGCTGCTATAGGTATTTATTTACACCAGAGTAGGTGCGATTCTAGAGACAAGCTATGATTGGTTAATATTAGTTTTGGCTGCCCTTTTCAGTAACGTTACATAACGTAGAAAAATCTCGAATTTGGGAGAACAGATGAATTTAGAGGGAGAGCACCAAATTTAGAATGTTAATTTGTGGTCGCCAAATATTTTTTAAAGCAGCCATCGTATTTTGTTATATCTTATATTTATAAGATAAAAAATACGTAAATCAGTTTTATAATTTAACTCATTAATAGCCTCTTAATTCCTCATTTTTAATTTCAGTATTTCCTCTCTGTAATCTAAAAATTGCAATAACTTTCCCGAACTGCGGGATTTCTAGATCAATCTATGATACATAGCTAGCGTGATTCTAGATCAATCTATGATACATAGCTAGCGTGATTCTAGATCAATCTATGATACATAGCTAATTCTAGATCAATCTATGATACAATGATGCCGCCGCTAATTGGGACCTTGAACTCAAGATTTTGAGAGCCGAAACTTTTTTAATCTAAACCAAACCCTTCCTTTTGACGATCTTACATACTGATAAATGCGCACTTCGCTTCTACTTTCTGGGGCTGCTTGGACGCTCTTTCGCTATGCTTTTCTTGCGATCACAAATGTAAAAAATGTAATGTGCTGGAAATACGCATGATTGAAGTGTCAAGCAGATTGTGACCACAAATGTCAATTTAAATAAAAATGGAATTTAATGCCCTCGGACTGGCAAGTTTCCTCTTCAGTATGCCATTTACGTTCTACGCCATCAACATTTGTTACGTCTTTTTCTATTTTTTTTCATCACACCCTCACCCGCCCAGCCACATATATAATACAGAAGTATTATTACAAAGTATAATTACAAAACAATTTTTTTAAAAACAAAATATAAATTCCTCTTCCGTTATGCTCTTTTTTCTCTAAATTTCATTAATTTTTTTAATTGAGGTACTGCTTGTTTAAAAGTTTGGGTTTTTACATTTATAAAATTCTTTGTAGCACTTATAGGATTATTTGAAATTTATTAATTATAAATTTCAAAATTTCTGGTCTTTGTGAAACATTAGTTCTAAATTTCTTACTTTCTCTCTCTCTCTCTATATATATATATATCTACATACACGTTTGGTGTTGCCAATTGCGATAAAAAAGGGAAGTGCATAACTAAATGTTATAGCAGCCCCATTACAAAATTTGAATGTTCTACGGCAAATCGTTTTTGAGTCATGCGACATACTTACATACATAAATATGTACGTACTTACTTACATATGTCACAAAAAATACCTTTCGGATCCATTTTATAATCCTTTTTAGAAAAAAAAAAAAAAAAAAAAAAAAAAAAAAAGACTCTAATACTCTGGTCACACGTACAAACGTCACACAAAAAAATCTTCGAAATGAATTCGGTATCGGTCAAAATGGATTTTTTCCGCTGAAATATAATACCTAAAATTTTTTGCAATTGCAATACTTCCTTTGCTTTACATAAGGAAGTAAACAAGACTAAGAATGTTATGTGCATGCATTCGCAACTAATTTGGAAACACAGACAGTAAAAAAACATGAGATTTCGGTAAATGCTTTTAAACTTATTATTCATTGGAATGATGGGAAGTCCCCGAGAAAAATTTTGGGCATGCTGATCGTCAGAAAATCTTTAGTTCAGATCAGTTAATAAAAATAATGGCCAGCAGCATATCATGCTTTAATGCTCAAATTGTCTAATTATATTCCAGATGTTCCAATAATTTCGACTCTTTATTTGTCTCTATGAATAGAAGATGAGAAATATTTCATTTTAAAATTCTTATGATTTAATCAAATCGAAGGTAAATTAGTCTATGTTATAAAAAAGTGTAAGTTACAAAATATTTTTTAATTTTTTAAAATAAATTACTGAAAGTTATATACGCCTGGTATTTTTCTGTGTAGCCGTACATTTGAGAATTTCAGAAAATCTTTCACAGAATAAAAATTTAAGTAAATTATTTTTAATGGCAAATAGTTGACCTTTAAAGCATTTATTTTCATATATGACACTTATTATTTAAAAATTATGTAAAATTATTTTCGGATATTGGTTGTGACCAACGAAATATTATCAGCTAAATATGTCTAACTTAATTAGCTTTATATGTCAGAATATAACAATAAAAATGAACATTAAAATAATCCTAAAAACAAAAATTTTTAAGATCACTTACCATAAGAATGACATCTGCTCCAACAAAGCTATTTACAACGGCATCATCATCAGTGGATGTAACGATAGTATACTGTAAATTTCCACCGTAGGAGGATAGCTGAAAAAAAAATATTAGTTTTCAAAATTCTTTGACAGCATAATACAAATTAATTTGATAAAATGAAAATGCAATTTAATGTACACATTTTTAGATAAAACAGTATGATAAGTTGTTCTACATAAATAGCAGTCAAGGTATCAAACCGATGACCAACTTAAATATTACAGGCACTGTAGAGTTGTGCTTGACATCTCCAGTAGTGCTTTTCTACTCGGTTCTGTTATTCATTATCATTTAGATTCCATTTTGAAAGATGCTCTCAAAGGAAAATTAAAATATTCAGCAGATATGGTTGAAAAGTTGAAGAACAGTTTTTATGTCGATAACTGTATAAGCAGCATCAAAAATGATCAACAATTACATTACTTCATACAGATGGCTACAGACTGAAAGGAAACTCGAATTACGTGGATGGGATACACTGATACAGCAGAGAAGTCCTTAAACACTACTAATGTGTTAAGAATGCAATGGGAATGTAATAACAATACACTAAGCTTGGATATTATTTATGTTATTAATTAATTGCCCAAAAAGGTTGTAAGGTTTATCTTAAGGTTTTAACAGTGATCTTTAGTTGAAACTACTTTCCTTTATATCTCTCCTAATTTCAGCTTACAATTTCCTACTAGAATCTGTTTTTAGAATCGCGGTTAATGTAAATGAGTAAGAGCGGTATTTAAGTCAAAGTTCCACTGACTTCGTTAGAGAGCCATAGATTCTGACTAGCGCTCGTTTGCCTTTTGGCTACACTCTCTCTAAGCTATTGCTAAGCTCGGCCGTATTTCAAGCCCTTAAGAGCTTCGCCAGATATTTGATATTTAGGGACCAACTACCTAGAATTTTGATAGCCTCGGCTGTATCTTTTTAGTTAAGCATTACTTAACCCTCTAAGCGGCCAGGGTTTTTGTTAAGAAAACACAAATTTCCCAAAACTACTATGAGAACAATTTTTTTTCTATTTTAATGTAAAACCATATCCTGGTATTTTCATACCTGGAATTGTTTTCTCTTCATATATTGTCTTAATTTCTTTGACATATTTTAATATGCACGTATATATACGTTCTTACAAACATCACAAAAAATATTCTAGAGGCCGCTTAGAGGGTTTTAAGTGTTATTTCTTATTATTTGAGTTTAAGCCCAAATGGAGGCGTTGTCGTACGCTCTTGAGAAAGGAGCCGACTCTTTATTTCTCATTTTGAGAAATAAAGGGCAATTACACCTTCTTGAGTTTACTTCTCTCTTCCTGAACTAAAGCGATTATTCGCTTACAAGTTCACGAGGTTTCTATACACTTAGCTGTTAGAGAAAAGTTTGGAACCCCACAAGGTAACTGAGAGGACAATTTTAGCAATTGCTCATAAAATATTCCTTTTCTGGGAATATTATCTCCTATTACCTTGCTTCCTAAACTCATGCTTCATAGTCTGTGGAAATCTACATTCTCTTGGGATCAAGAAGTTAATTCTGTAACCAAATCTGAATTTTATAAGTGGATAAATGATTTGAAATATTTGAAAGGTTTGAAAGTACCTAGGTGATTGCATTGTGAGTTTGAAATAATATCACTTCATTTCTTTTGCGATGCAAGTAAATTGGCATATTCAACTGCAGCTTTCATTCGTGCTGAAAACGGAGACTCTGTGAAAGTTAATTTGCTGCAAACTAAAACAAGAGTTGCTCCCACTGCGAAGAAAGAGATTGCCCGATTAGAACTGCTGGACGCTACTATTTGTGCTCGTCTATCTTTGTCCATTTTAAAAGAGTTTAAAGTGCAGAACGTTTGTTTTTGGACTGATTCTTCAACTGTACTGCCCTGGATGCAAAGAGATATAGCATGGGATGTGTTTGTTCACATCAGAGTTATGGCAATAAGACAACTTACTCCAAAGGATGGCTGGAAGCACATCCCAGGAACAATGAACTCTGCCGAGTGGAGGTTTGTTCTGCCCGCTATTTAGTCGCGTGCTTTTGGTGGGAGGGGCCAAAATGATTATATTCACCGCCAGAAAACTGGCCAAGCAACAACTTCATTGTAAACGAAGAAGAAGTAGCCAAGGAGAAGAGAAAAAAAAAAAAAAAGAAAATTTTATCATCTTTGCATCTCATTACACCAGTTCCTTTGGCCTAATAAATACTCTTCGGTTCTCAACTTACCACCGAACTATTGGAATGATGGCTTGGATTTGTCGATTCATTCACCGGCTTAATGAAGCTGAAAAAGAGCTCATTCGTTTGATATGAACTGAATCTTTTGCTGGAGTTGAAGATAAGCGTTTACTATCGTTAAATCCATTTCTAGATCAAGAAATCATTAGGATGAAAACAGCAGTGTATCAAAGAGATGATAAGTCAGAGTTTAGAACTCCTGCCTTTCTACCCAATGACTATCCTCTTATCAAAACAATAGTAATAGAAAAATATCAAATTAAAGGAAACGTCAGAGTTTCTCACGTCTTAAATCCTCTACAAGAAAGATTCTGATTACTATCTGGACGAAGAGCTGTTTCATCCATCTTGAGATCTTGCATTATTTGTAAAAGATATTCCAGTAAAAGGGTCAATCCTCTAGCCCCACCATTGCCCAGTGATGGCGTTCAAGATGCCTCTGCGTTCCAGATTACCGGCATTGATTTTGAAGGACCTTTTGGTAATTAGAGATAAAAGAAAGGCATGGATTTGCTTGTTTACATACGTAGTGTATCGTTGCATTTACGAAGAACTTGTAAAATCTCTCTACAGAAACTTTTCTTCAAGCCCTTCATTGCTTTGTTTCTCGGTGAGGTAGACCCACTATAATTTATTCTGATAACGGTACCAATTTCGTAGGTGCATTTAATGCTTTTGCCTCAGTAGACTTCAAAGAAATCTCCAGAAGAGGAACTGAAGACCACCTTACTTAGAAATTTATACCTCCCGGTGCTCCCTGGTATGGAGATTGGTGGAAGCGTCTGATTGTATTAATTAAGAAAAATCATCGGTAAAGCTTCTTTAGATTACGAAGAAATGTACACTGTTTTGTGTAAATTGTGAAGCCACACCCAATGATAGACCTTGAACAGTTATATCAGCTGATTCAAATCCCACTGTTATAACACCAGCCACATTCTTATTCTTCCATTATATTACGAGAATACATTATATTAAGAGAATTACAGAACGATTTAGTGCCTTTTATAAAGCAAGAAATCAATTCAAACTTCTTCAGCCGTAGATTACGGTACACTCAGAATGCACGGGAGGCTTTTAGAAAGAGATTCCGCCAGTATCGTATCCGCCAAGAGTACTTAAGGATCCTGAAAATTTCAAAAGGAAAATCTGTCAGAAAAGAATAATTTTGGCCTTTAGAAAAAATCCTTGAATTATATCCAGGAGTCGATGGCATAAGTCGATATGCAAAAATTAAAACTCAGAGTGGGGAATTAATGTGCAGTACTACCCATTACGACTGTCATCTGCAGAGAGACTTAATCTAGATAGTGATCCAACACACCAATTCAATACGCCTGCTAAAGTGAAAGCACCTCAACACAGAAACATACCCGTTTCAAATGATGTAGTATCTCGTATTACAAGATATAGAAGGACTGTCAAGAAAACCCAGAGATTAGACTTATGATTACGAATGTTGCAATATTCAGTTCCTTATTTCTCATTACCAGGTGAGAGGATGTAAGGAAAAATTATTACGAGCTCCATGAAATATGATGTCACTGTTCAAAACGAGAAGTACGAGTAATTTTAGAGACTTTTAATGATTAGTTTTTTTGTGTGTGGGGGGGGGGCAACGTTATTTGTATTCCATGAATTTGTTTCGAGTTGTAGCTTTCGTTTTGGTTTCAGTTGTAAACACTAGTAAATTTGAATTTAAATGAAAGATCTGGAATCTTCTTTTTAGAGTCTGACATATGCCTCAGTTCCGGGCATGCAGAAAATATTTGTAATTAGAGTCTGCTATATTATTTCCTTTTTTTTTCCCTTGGAACAGATAGGTTTTGCGTTATATTTGCTGTATATGTAAAACTAAATCATAATTCTGTAATTCAACAATCTTGCAAGCGGACACTTTAAAACTGCTTGTACCTTTATCAAATATCAAATTTCTCCGTGGCGCTCTTTTCCCATCATGCTTGTTTTTACTCTTTCTGCAAGTGTGTATATGGGTTTAGGTTAGCAAAAAATCTCTGGTTCCATTTTTTCCGTTACTGTGTTATTCTAAAAAGTCTATATTATCTTTCATTTTACTTCCCATTAAAACAAGTTGGTTATTATAATCAGAGAAGAAAGCTGTAAATCAGAAAAATATGCTTGATATTCCATTTGGTGGGACGTATTAAATACACTGAAGGACATTTTTTAACTTGGAGTTTCGTAGAAACATGCTTTCTTGAATCAAGAGCAGAAAAAACAAGAATTAATTATTATGTTCATATCGTACAGCCTTACCTTCTCTGGAAGTATAAACTAACTTGGGACTTTGGCAGGTGTAAGCGAATTTTCGTTATGGTTAGGAAATTATAACAAGACCTTTTAATATAACTCGGTAAATTAACAGAAGGCACTGAAGGCTCACAAAATCAACAAGCATTTATGGTGTAACTCAAAAATAATGATTCAAAATTTAAAACTAAGGTAAGTCGTAAATTAGCCAAAAGCTATACAGAAAGAATACGCGCAAACTGGCTCAAACCTAATACCGGCGTGGCAAGCCTAATGGCGGGAATAACGCAATGCCGCAGATAGACTGCTACCAAGAGATTCAACTAGTAACGTGGCCTTCATTAGATGGCACATGCTCTGGTTAAAAAACCTAAAAAGCTTCCTTTAAATATTATCATCTTCTACCGCATTTGAATATGCGCGAACTAAAATTAGCATTCTGGCAGGAAAACGGAAAGCGGAAATGACAGAAAAGCTACTGGGCATAAAATAACTGGTTGGTTAAAAATAAATAAATCCTTGCAGAGTAAAATAACTGGTTAGTTAAAAATAAATAAATCCTCACAGTGTAAAATAACTGGTTACTTAAAAAATAAATACATCCTTACAGTGTAAAATAACTGGTTAGTTAAAAATAAATAAATCCTTGCAGAGTAAAATAACTGGTTAGTTAAAAACAAATAAATCCTCACAGCGTAAAATAACTGGTTAGTTAAAAATAAATAAATCCTTGCAGTGTAAAATAACTGGTTAGTTAAAAATAAATAAATCCTCACAGTGTAAAATAACTGGTTAGTTAAAAATAAATAAATCCTCACAGTGTAAAATAAATGGTTAGTTAAAATAAATAAATCCTTGCAGTGTAAAATAACTGGTTAGTTAAAAATAAATAAATCCTCACAGTGTAAAATAACTGGTTAGTTAAAAATAAATAAATCCTCACAGTGTAAAATAAATGGTTAGTTAAAAATAAATAAATCCTCACAGTTTAAAATAAATGGTTAGTTAAAAATAAATAAATTCTAAGTGTAAAATCATATTAATTGAAAAGGCAAAATCCTTGTTAGTTTACTTTAAGTCTTGTATTCACAAATTCTTTTATTTTTTTTGAAAGATGTAAATATCTTGCTGTAGCTCTCAGAAAACCTATTTGTGGTTCTCGAATATTTTTAACTTTTTTAAGATGCGGCTCCTGCAGACATCAAGTTTAGCTATCCCTAGAAAAGTTTACCCTCGCAGTTCAACTAGTTGGGGTTCACTGAGAACATGTTGTCGTTAGTTATCATTCCTCAGTGTATCATCTGAGTTCTTGCATTAGTTATCATTTAATTATGTGCTAGCTAAAGAGCATTTTATATTTTAATTCATGGTTTAGCTCTGTTTTCATCTTAAATAAATATACTAGCAGTATTACTATATCATTGAAAAGATGGATATGACATGGAATCAAGTTTATTAAGTTAAAATAAAACAATTAGTTGAAATTTTCAGCGGAAAAAAAAATGTTATCACCTTTTGTATTCGTCACCCAAGCTGCTGACTCCAGAATCTGAGAAGAATAGGATTAAAATTAGCAAATGTGTTCCTCTAAATGAAACATTTTTCACGCCTTTTTCCCAGCGCGAGTTTCTTTAACAAATATAGATTCGCAGGGTCTCGGACTTTTCGCCGTCGCCATTTCACAGTGGTCATTTCGCCGTCGGGGACGTTTCGCAGTCAAGATATATTTTCTTTACATGACTGTATTATATCTTGCCGTATTATGCTCGTATTAAATTTATTTAGTTTAATCATTCTGTTTACCTTTTGTATACTGAATAAAGGTTGCTTGTAATATATATATATATATATATATATATATAGTTGTTTACAAATATGAGGCATAAAGAAATTAGACATAGTTAATTGGAAAATTATGTCAGTAACAAAGACAACTGGGGCTGAACCCCTGATATAACAGAAGTTATATTATCGATTTTAAAATTATGCGGGCACAATATTTACAAGATTCGTCACAATTTCTTGAAATTTTAATCAGCTAGTTCAGAGAAATCACTTATACAACAAGAAATTCACATTTTTATGAAATCTGAATGGGAAACTGAATTACTTTGGAATTTTGTCAACACATTACTCTCTTAAAATTAATATGTCATGTGTAACGATGTATTTGTATAAAATTTTACACAAAAACATCCTACACATTATCTTATATAAAATATTTATTAAATTAAATTATTAAACTAAACAGAATTATTAAACTAAATCAACTTAATATAATACGGTTAGGTTATTTAATTACGGCAAAGCCTCGAGGGTTATCTGCCTAAGGGGAGGGATGCCTTCGTGGAAAACTTTCTAAGGGAAACTGGTCCGTATACACGTTACACATGGGGAAAACCACGAAAACCCCATGCAGTCGGCCTGTTCGCGGGATTCGAACCTCGGACCGAACTACCAGTCTTTAGCGACTTTACTGCTCGGTCGCTGGTGGGCTAATATAATACGGCAAGATATAATATAGTCGAGTAATGGAAAGTATGTCTTGATGGAAACTTCCCGATGATGGTGAAAGGGCGAAACGGCCACGGCGATTAGCCCTATTACCAGATTCGCATTTGTTTAAAGTGAGTCTGAAAGTTCAGATCCGGATTTGAAAAATGATAAATGTTTTTCTTTTTCAAATAACTCATTTTTTATGTACGTATTTTTATGTATATGCATTAAGCCATCCTATCCTCGGCATAAGATTGCAGTTAACGAAAACAATGAAATTTTAGTTACTAGAAATTAATCAAAATTCATTCAACACTTTTCTTTAGCTTTGAATTCAATCAAATATAACATCACAGAGCAGAAACAATAAACGGCATCTGTAAATTACCTCTTCCACAATAGGTTTACATCAAACGCTAAATTTTATTCATAAAATTACCTTATTTCCTAAGTATGAAGAAGGAGCCGAAAAATAAAACAGGGCACCACTTTCATCAGGCCATTCGTCAGGTAGCAATGCTTGAATACCATCAGCACTTTCGACAAGAGTGACTGGAATATTTACAACTGCCATATCCTTTGCAACGTCTATGACGGTTTCAACCCAGTTTGACATGTCAAGTATCTGTGAAAACATTAAAAATTAAATAAGATACCTTATGAAGTAAGTTTTATATAGGTAGTTGATTCCTAATTACGAAATCAACAACTTTTTTTTTTTTCAGAAATTTCTTGTAACTGCGTGAAATCATGCTCATGAAGCTTTATCAGGCTCATGAAAAATCCATGAAGTACTCAATAAATGATTAAACATTTGTTCATGGACACTGCGAAAAAAAAACCTGATGTGTACACCACATGACTTCCTTGTACGGAATATTAAATTATACGCACTTTTTCTTGCATTTCGTTTAAACTAATTGAACTGAATTAAATCTACTTCGCCGACAGCGCATAAACCACAACAGAATAAATGTATTCTTTAAAATTTACTCTGTTTGTTTACCATAGCGACACTCTGGCGCTAGGTTCACTTAACAGTATTATATTTCGTTCATATTATAACTCAGAATGCACAAAACTTATATCATTTAAAGAATTATCTAATCGTTGCCACATGTTCTATTCAAATATTATAATAAAGCTAGAACGATGTATAAAAAAATTAAGCAAACAAAACAAAAAAGAAACAGTTTTTCACAGACGATTGAGTATTTCTCATTCAATTAATTCAGATCTCACTTCGCGACAATGCAAAAATACATAAAAACTCAAAATATCTGTATTAAAAATTACGAAGTAAATCTTAAACACTTATTTCCTCGAAAAAATTTCCAGAAAGGATTAAGCATGATTTAATTGGCAATAATAAATGAAGGCGTTATCTTTGTTGTTGCGAAGCTAAGTTTCTCTAGATTGGCAACAAATCCACTAGTCTGCTGTTTGAAATGTAAACAATCAATGGTCGCCATAAAGAAAAGGCTTAGCGGCACTTAACACTTAAACAACTTTTAAATTGTTGATAATTCTAAAAATATTGCATACAGATTTACTAAAGGCATAAAAACCTTAACCGGAAGATAAGAACAATATAATTCAATCATTTTTAAAGCAAAAAATGTACAATTTACAAACATATAAGAGAAAAAAAAGCAGTTTTACAATTTTTTTGGAGGAAAAGAGTCTTTTATTCTGTCCTTATGTACAGATATCACGCAAAAAATCTTTAAATTGCATTCGAAAGCGGTCAAAGTGGATATTTTCCTTGAAATATGCTGCCTGAAACTTTTCGCGATAACAATACTTCGTACAATACCTTTTTACTTCGTACAAGGAAGTAAAAAATGGGACAGTTCTATATTTCCCGTTTTACCGGGCCGGGCCGATTGACGAAATTCAAACTGTGTTTTCGTGTCTCGAAAACGCGACTTAGGATATGCATTAGATTTATATATAGCATTGTTCTAATATAGGTATTTTGACATTAAATCGGAATTTTTCTGATATGACATGCTAATTGTTTTCCATATTTCAATTACTACTCAAATTACGTCAAACTGCCAAGTTTTGTAAAAATCGCACGAGTAATTTTTAAAAAATTAGCTCTCAAAATTTTAGCTCCTCCATGTTAATTGAATCTGGTATATATTTATTAATCTCTCTTTTTTTATTAAACTTATTTGATTTTTCCTTTCACATTTCGAAATTTAGTTTCATTCCAAATAAAATTCGCCCATATTTTATGATTTATTTTTAAAATTTGTATTTTTAAATAATTCTTATAAATTTTTCGAAAAACATTTTGAACTGTAACCAATAAAAGTTTTACCGTCATCTTAAAGTAGATGTATTTCCAAGTATACCTGCAAAAAATTAGAGTTTTTTATTCAAAATTTGTGAAGGTATATGTGAATTTATACATTGGCGCGTTTTGAAATTTGGCATATTTGTTCAAAGCGATAAAACATCAAATGTGGTTTGACACATTGCTGAAATTATTTGCAATAGGAACAATGTCACTTTTTTTCCACTCGTGCACAATGTAAAAAAAGGAAAGGTACCTTTTCTTCCACTCCAGCAAATGGCAGGGAAAGGAATATTGGTGCCATAAATTAAGAAGTTCGCCAAGTGAATTATTCTTGGCGCAAACTGAAAAAAAGTCCGCCAGGATAAATTTTTCAATTCCTCCTTAAATTTCGCACCAAATTTTACAAAATTTAATATTTAGGCGTAATTTGAGTCGTAGAATCGAAATATGGAAAAAAATTGCCATGTCATTTTAGAAAAAGTCCGATTTTCTGTCAAAATACCTATATAGGAACAATGATATATATAAATCTAATATATATCCTAAGTCGCGCTTTCGAAACATGAAAAACGCAATTTCGTTAATCGGCTCACTAGAACGGGTGATAGAGAGTTGTCCTTGCCCCCCCCCGCAGTGTACATGGATTTTACAATTCAATTTATAATAAATAAGTAAAATATGAAGATTTGGAAATTATTTGTAATCACTACATTAATATAGATCTTAAACATTCTACGAACATTTTCTGAAATTATCATTTTCGCATATGTTCCACTTTCGTTTTAAAACCGCAGCTAGTCTTTACAAATGTAAAATCTTTAATTTAATTGCAAAATTTAAAAGCCATGTGCAAAAAAAGTGTGAGCGGATTAACTTACAAAAAAAATTTTAAGGGTAAACTTTATTTCAAAGTTCACTGTAGTCTGAAATTTTCTGATAGCAAGGCCTTTTTCCCTCAAAAAAATGCCCTTGAAAAATTGGATATACCTTGCAACTTGAGTAAATGTGGTACGCTGCATATGAATGTTTTTGTAAGTTCATAACTTTTATTTTTTAGATTTGTGCATATGATATGCAACGGATTTGATTTGAGACCGTAAAAGTTTGACATTAATTATCTGTATTCCGAAAATACTGTACTTTTTCTACGTTTTCTATCTGGAAAGAATATGAATATTTTTGCATGTGTGCGAGTTCGTAATAGATTAAATGCACGCGTGCGATAAAAGTTAATAAAATTTATTCTTATTACAAGAAAAATATAAGAAAAACGCTGGATTTTTCCTCAAAGATATTCGTACAGTATCGCAATATCACGCAATATAATCAGTAGCAGTAGTTTAAGCTACTAAAACATCAACTAAACGCAAACCGCAGAAAAAGCTTATCCGATCTCATCGCGAATTCTCTGCAGTCAACAACAACAGTTATCTAAGCAACTGAACTGAGATATTTCTCTCCGGCTTTTTAAAGCTTTTTAATCAGTCACGAGAAGCTTCTGTTAATTTCCGTTTACTCGAGATTTCTGGAAAATAAATGAGTAGAATTAAGAGATATCTATTAAATATTAAATGTTGCGTGCTCCTGTATTTTTACTTTTCCGGTGTAGCTTTCTCTTAAAATATGTTCGTGCTGCATTGCACGGGGATTTAAAGCAATTATAATGATAATTCTACTAAAAACAGCTAACTAAATAAGAAATCTGTAACAATATTAAAAGAATTATCTTGAAAAAATAGTAATAATAATAATAATAATAATGAAATCTGAAAGCTTTCAGATTTTACATTATGCCCAAAGGAGCCTTTTTTTCAACGTTTTGTGTGCTGCCTTTAGTTATTAAATATCCTATTCTTCGCAATCAAACAATAAAATTCAATTCAACATCAATATCGCAAAATAATTTTAAAATGAGCATATCTTTAGGATTTCCGATACACAGTCTCGCGCGCTGGAGATAAACATGTTTCTTTTTCCGTGCAGTTTTACTATTGCTCGCTTTGAAATCGTTCAGTTTGTTTATCAAAAATTCGTTACAGTGTTACAAAATTTTGTTTATCAAAAATTCGTTAAAGTGTTACAAAATATGAAATCGATAATAAAACAAATTCCAAATTTGGGCTTCCAAATGACCATATTTGGTAGAAGATTACGCTATTAGAAATTTGATGACGACGTCTTTTTATCACAATCGCAAACATACATACATTTATGCAGATTCTTCACTATTTAATTTCTTTAAATATAACACAGGGCTCTAATATTTGGTGGCAAAAATTTGAAAAGTGAACCCACATTTGTAGAGAACCAACGGAAAATGCTAGAACGAAATTAATAGCCTTCTGCGCTAACGCCCTTTGGGCTAATAATTCTGATGTAATCATATTCATATATCTCATTAATTAACTGTTCATTAGAAGATATTGCAATTCTAATTATATATATATGTTACCGTGAAAGACCGAAATTGGAGAATGTCGACTTTCACCGGAGAATATCAACATTCACCAAATACGTCGGTGAAAGACCGAATATTTCACTACATTCTTGTATATTCGGACCCTCACCGGTGTATGTCGACAATCACAGATATGCTCTGGTGAAAGTCGAAAAGAGAGGTCATAAAGTGCCATAATAGTTTAAGTTGTTGCAATAAATAAGATTTGAATCACATAATTTTAGTAAGTTTTTTTATTACTGTTATTTTATTTTCTCATTTAGAACGTACTGTATAATTAAGTAAGTTTTTAACTTCTATTATTTTCCTTTCTCATTTTGAATGTACTGTGTGTTTTAGGTTCTCATGTTCTTAAGTTCTTATTTCAAGTTTCAAGTGCGTTTATTCCCGACTGAATTACGGAGAAGAAAATATAATATTTTTATATGTTCAACATTCACCATTAGTACATGGTGAATGTCGACATTGACCGGTGTAAGTCAGAAATAAGAGTATTTGGAAAACATTTCGGATATACACCAAGAGACTATGTGAATGTTGACATTCACCAGTGAAAGTCGACATTCTCCAGATTTCCGTCTTTCACCGTAACATATATATATATTTCTCATACCATCAGTAAATAAGTAATCATACCTGTGTGAGTTTGGAGCTATTTCACGTTTCCAGTTTTCAGTTACAGGCAATTACAGCTTTGACGCGATTCTTTCACAGCAAATAGATTAAAACAATAACATACATAACTGACTCTATATTTTGGCAAAATTATCTCTTTATGACACATCAATTCCAATATATTAGACAAAAGTAATTTATTTTGACTCTTGTAATACCATAAACCATTTTGTAGTTAGTAAATAGAAACCTTTTATTGTTTGCCATTATATTTAAAAATTAACTTGATGATTATGAAACATACCTGAACTAAAGATAAATAACCACTTTGGCAACGATCCGTGGTTCCGAAGCAAAAGCATTTTGTGCACCCCGCAGGATTAACTTCTTCTAAATAGAAAGTTCCTGGTTTACATTGGTCACATGAATCTCCATATACATTTTCCTATTGGAGAAGGGGAAAGAAAAAGAAAATTTCTACACTATTCTCCAAAATTCGATGAGGATTTCTATAAGTTTAATTTCATGAAAAGCATTACCTTGCAAAAGCATCTAGCAGAATCTTTTTCACAGATATCTTCTGTGCTACCTCGTAGATCACAGTTACACAGTTGGCAGTGTGGAAATGCCCAGTAACCTGCTTTGCAGCTGTCACATGTTCTTCCAACAATATTGGACTTGCATCTAAACGGCAGAAAAAAAAGGAAAAAAAAAATTCCCACACTAAAAATCAATAAGTTTTTTGATTAATAGTTATTTTTTTAAAGTTTTTTTTAAATCTTTCCTTGTTATTTGCTTCGTTACTTGCGAAGAAAAAATTTTATTGAACTTCTACTGTACGAATCATATCAATAAACTAGGTTTTATTTAAATGATGAAATTTGAAAAGATCATGTGACTGCATAAAAATCACGAATAACATATTTAAAAATTAAAATATTAATATAGATCAGGGGTCTCCAAACTACAGCATCTGGCCCGTGAGCACTACTAATCCAGACCTCCAGGGGTTTCTTTAAAATAATTTAATAAAATTTAAAGTAACAAATAACATACACATTAACTATTTTATATAACATCCAGTCTAGAAATGCGTTGCCTATCATGCACGTTCTTTATTAACATATAAACATTATGCAACCGTTTCTAAATTTACTACGAGTGAAATACTGTGACACTCTATATAAAAAATCTCACTTGGACACACATGACTTTCTCATACGTCCTATTAAAATACACTAAATAAAAGTCCTATTAATATTCCCTCAGATTTCATTAAAGATATATTTCTCATTCAATTAATTCAGTTCTCACTCGCGGCAAAGCATAAATACATGAAAACTCAAAACGTCTTCAAACAAAACAAAAGTTTAAAATGAATCGTTTTAGAAGAAAGAACGTCATTTTAGAACTTCGTTTTAGAACAAATATTTATTCTGAAAGATTTTATTATAACTCACTTTATGCAGAATTTCGGAAGAATATTATTTTTAAATTTAGGAAACGATATTTTAACTCATCGCCAAAACCATCCCTCACTTTCCTTTTATATACAATATTAGCTTCATCCATGCAAATATCTGAGATCCTAAATATTTTTCGATTATTTCTTTTAAAAATTATTTTTTTAAAGTCTAAAAATGTTTTGCTTTCCTATATTTTCGGAGAGGCCAATGTCCAATCAGTCCCTCTGTAATCCCTTTGGGGAGGGATGTAATAAAGATTGATGATTTTGCAGAAACAGGAACGTTTTTCACAACCGCAGAAACAGGAAGAAACCAAATGAAGACTCTGTTTGTTGGAAATTGTTAACATTTTTACATGGCATTCATAGTAATGATAATGGGAATGAATACTTATTATGAAAAGCATTTATGTATATTTTATAAATAACAAATTTGTTAGCATAATCGAATTAAAACAGTGCATAACTGAAGTAAGACAACTCTGGATGAAAAAAACTAACCCTTTCATTCAAAAAAAAGTTAGATAATAAAAGACTTTTCAAAAGAAAAAAAAAAAGAGTAACTCAAAAATTAATTTCAGCCTCCTATTTTTTTATCTTTCCAGAAATAAAACGTAAATTCACCTGCATTGACCACTTTGCAAATCACATTGAAGAAAGCCATTAGCAACACCCAAGGGATTACAGTTGCACTCCTGAAACACACAAATAAGCATTTTAGAAAATGTCTTTATATATAGAACTTTACATATGATTGCGTCTAAATAAACTTTAAAATTCTTACTTCACAGCCTATGATAGGATCAAAACCATATGTATATGGAACGCAAACATCACATCGATCCCCAGTTACCCTAGGAGGGCAAATACACTGACCAGTCACAGGTTGACAATATGCTGTAGATGGACAGTCACATGGTTTACAGTTTGGAAAACCAAAGAAGCCAGTACGACACTGTGAACAAGTTCTACCGATGACATTAGGTTTGCACTGGCACTGGCCACCAAATTCTTCACATTCATAGCTTAGGGATCCATCAGTATCACACTGGCATGGCAGAGCTCCATTGTTGTACTCAGACGTCAGAGAAAATGCAGCTTCCCGGCAAAAGCCTGAAGAAAACATACAAAAATATATCAAGATAAAGTACAAAAACAAAATTAGCCATTTAAAGTTGAATTATGATAAATTTCTTTTTGTGGTAACCAATAACTACTTCATGTAAAATGACTTGATACAAACAATCTCTCTAACTCACGTGAAGTTCTGTAAATGTAGTTATTTAGAGAAAAGATTATTGGTGATGGCGATAATTTAGCATAATGAATTCATCTTATTCCAGGTTCTGAGGCTGTGACAAAACTGCTGAAGTAGAAATGCAGTCAAGAGGTTTACTAAATATCAGTATACTCTTTAATGAAATTACTAATTAACTAATAATATAAGTAATGAATAATATTAAAGAATACAAAGCTTTAAAAAAACGTTTTATTTTGAACTCACGTTTTCTGAAATGCAGCAAATGAATAAAATTGTACAATATGGAAAACATGTCTCTTGTGTAAAACAAAATACATTGTATAAAAATAAGGAAATAAAATCGCAAGATTATTTTTGTGGAAAACAGTAAAATACATTAAGTTACATTCCTAAGTCTTACCATAATATCATAATTATTTCCATGGAAATAATCATGATATTATGGTAAGATTTAGGAATGTAACTCCTTGATCGTTTAATGCAAACAAATATTTTAGACCGACCAACAGCAATATTAAATATTTTGATGGTCATTTTATTAAAACCCCTTCGCGCCGAGTATCATGTATACGTGCCAGCAACGAACGCACTTATCTACCGGCCGACACGCAGGCGTGCCAGAGCATTGTTGCGTTTTCTACCGAATGTCACGTATTTGTGCCAGTACCTTGGAACGTTTTTCAAACTATAATTTCTGCCACAAGATTGCACTGTATGTCCATATGGTTTCAGATACATGTACATTAGACCTTCTACTTGACATGAGAGAAGCATGACTCACATACACGTGTTTTCGATTATATAAACAAACGGGGAACTAAATGTTTCCGAATGGCGTGATTTATGACATCTCTTTAAATCGCACTTTCTTCGCACGTGGTAGTTGTTTATTGTAAGTAGAAGTTTTATATGCGCTAAAGCGTTGAGTATTTTGGTTTACAGTTCAGTTTTTAGAAAATAATTAGATCTTGTTAGACGTGAATTCTTTCTGTTTTTACCGTTTCAATGTCGAAGCGTCGAAAATGTTTAACAGAGCATGAAATAGCAGAAATGATGCAAAATATTTCAGATATTGATTCTGAAATTCTGATATTCTGATATTGATTCTGAAAGATTAACTGAAAGACATTTTCCAAAACTTTGTTCCGAAGAGACTGATAAGAGAAAATGATACGACGATGCTTCGTTTGTTCTCATTCCCGGAAAAATCCTCCTAAACGGCAAATGAGTTATTACGAGTTCAAGGAATGTAACGTAGGACTGTGTGTAGATCCCTGTTTTAAAATTTTTCATACGAAAAGAGAATTTTAAGTAATATATTTAGTTTTCAGATGTATAATGTTATACATCTGAAAACTAAATATATAATAGTCATAAAATGGTGAGTAATTAAAATAAAATGTGTAAAATATGCATTTAAACAAGAAATAAGGTAAATAAAGTATATATATAAAAATATCTATAAAGCATAAGCCGTTTAAATACTCTATAGAGCATTATTAAACAATGCGTTGATACTTCGAAAATTTCATGGATTTAGGCTTAGTAGCAAAAAAGCCCCCGGCCCTGGAGAGACGCTCGCGGAAGACACTGCCGGCTTCCGCGATAAGCGCGCGTTTTCGCTACCCGACTCGAAGGGGTTAATAGTCTTGAATGGTTTCAGTGTACTTGTGTACTACAGTGTATCATGGAAAGGTTTCAGTGTACTTTACCTGTGCAGTGTGCTCTTCATCATTGTTAAGACTGTCTTTAGCAATTCTGAATAACTGAATAAAGCAAAGAAAAATAAAAAAAATAAATAAATAAATAAATAAAAGAGGCACTCTGGCTGTACGGCAAGTGCTAAAAAACAGTTTCTATGCAAATAATAAGCATATTATGGAAACATTACAGCTGCAAACAATTATATTGCAAGTGTTTCATGTGAATTTTATATTTCTTCAAAGATATTACGTGGTAAAGCATGAAGATTCAGAAAAAAAAATTTCAAGAAGAGACCTAAATCTTTTATTTTCAATGACAGATCTATCACGTTAAGTTATCATATGTAATATGTTAAAGATAAGTAAATTTATAACATATCAGCTGCGATTACCTTAAGACTCTAGAAAAACATTCCTATTACAATGGAGACTAACCTGAGATATCTGAGTCCAAATGAAAACTGTTTTGCCCACACTGAGTAATAAATTTTCCAGCTTGGTCTTGCCTGAGAGGATTTAGTACACTTTCATCGAATTGTTTTGCAGGAATTATTAATACATAGTCCTGAAAAACAAAACATTTTTTGGACATTAAACAAGTAGAACATAAATGAAAATTTTAATGCTGAAATTAAATTTAATACGGTAAATAATGGGGTGTACACTGGAGAATGTTATTAAAATTGATTTAAACAATTTTTTTTAAATATTATATTTAAATTGTAATATTTTGAAAGGATAGTTTAGAACATTACATTTGTTTCCTGTAAACTTAACCGTTTACTTTTTAGCTGCAAACTTACTTGCATTGCTAACAGATATGCAACAAGCACTACACTTATTCTTTTCCGTCCCCCACCTCTCTCTCTAATACCAAAATTAAACTCAATAATCTTAGTGGCGTAACAGCCCTAATGGGCCAAGCCCTGCAGTGTCCGAAACCTGCTTTCTTGACCGTGGGTCCCGGGGTGCGTAAGCATATGCCCTGAACAAATGGTCAGCTTGTCGCAGGACCCCCAGTGTTTAGTCCCCAAGCGAATTTGGTATCGACCCAAGTGATGGAAATCAAGGGATAAAAGGCTGAGTCTACCTTGCCCAGCCCGGGAATCGAACCCCGGACCTGTGGTGCTGCTGCGCGATGTGCTAACCACTCTCTTTTTTAATACTATTTCTAAAAATTAATGCAATTACATTTATTGTTCTTAAAAATGTATTTAAATCACGCTTTGTTATTGTTACTGAGGAGTTACAAGCACTACCTAATTTAGTGCTTATATCAATGAATTATCAAAATGCTTAGAGATAATCATTGGTTTAGGATGTGCTCGTTCTCTTTAAAGCTGATTTGATAATTTGGACATAGGACATCCACAAGAAACGTCACATATTGGTAGAAAAGCTTAATACAATACAACACTTACTCACCTTTTTGGTTGGGGTGATAAAAAATGAAATAGAAGCTAATAAAGAGAAAACTGTCTATCAGCCTTTCATTTTGAATAGACTACCATCGGACACGCCTTCATGTAAACACTCTAAGACAGAGGAGTCTGAGGATACCAAATACACAAGCAGTAACTTTGATTTAAAAGAAAATCTAACACAGCTTAAACATGTTGATGATGAGAGGAAGAGAGCAAAGGCGATAACAGTCTTAGGGAAATTGCCTGAAATAATTTGAGGATGTACTGGAGAAAGTCTTGATAAAATCAGTCTTAGTATTTTTGAATTCAATGTATAACTTGCACATAAAATAAATCTTAGTATACTGCTTTGAGGCCTTGATGATCAGTAATGATAAAGATTCCAACCTAGACTTTACAGCTGTGTGAATGGAACCTCGAGAACAACTGGTAAGCGAATAATCGCTTTAGCTCAAGATGCAAAAACGTAAACTCAAGAAGGGTTAATTACCCTTTATTGATCAAAATAAAGGTTAACAGATGGCCCTTTCTCGGGACGTACAACAAAACCTCCACTTGGGCTTGAACTCAAGAGTACTATAGAAAATCAAACTTAACTAATGCTTACCTAAAACGATATAGCCGAAGTTATCAAAATTCTATAGGAGTTGTCCCCTAAATATTAACTAACTGGCGAAGCTATCAAGGGCCCGAAATATGGCCGAGTGTAGTAATACTAGCTTAGAGAGTGTGTAGCCGAATGGCAAACGCGCGCTAGTTAGAATCTCTGGTTCTCTAACGAAGTCAGTGGACCTTCGACGTAAGTACTGCTCTTCCTTCATTTGCATTTAACCGCGATTCTAAAAACACACTCTGGCCGGTAATTTGTAAGCTGAAATTAGAAGGGATAGGAAAGTAGCTTTAACTAAAGATAACTGTCAAAAACTTAGGATAAACCTTACAAGTGTCATATTGTAATTGCAAGTTCCTGTTGTTGTTTTAAATGACTATACACCTGTAACTTAATCAGGAATGGCCGAAATCTGTTGATCATTATCCGCGTCATCATCGAGAACGTTTGAATGACCTCTGTGGTGCACAAAGGACGACTAAACTACCACAGAGACGACTAAACCACATCCATAGAACACACTGGGTGTATCCTCAGAAGAACTGTGTAAGGTATTTATTTACCTTCTGATGAGGAATCAAATGATGTATGAAGACGAAATGTCATCAGATGTCAGCAAGAGAAAAGTCTAGTTTTCCGATCCATTCGGTACAGATATTAGGAAATAATCCCAATGTGAACTTATTCCCCCATTTACTCAGCGAAATGTTCATAAATTAGTAGTAGAATAAAACAGCTACAGAAACCAGCGATATTTCTTTTATTTTGTACTTATCACCTCCTCAAATTCATTACACCACGTATTTATTGCTAGATGTTCATAAATTAGTAGTAGAATAACGCTGCTAAAGAAACTAGAGATATTTCTTTTATTTTGTAGCTTTCACCTCCTCAAATTCATCCCACCATACCTAGATGTTCATAAATTAGTAATAGAATAACACAGCTAAATAAACTAGCGATATTTCTTTCATTTTGTACCTTTCACCTTCTCAAATTCCTCACACCATACATTTATTGCTAAATATTCATAAATTAGTATTAGAATAACACAGCTAAAAAAACTAGCGACATTTCTTTTATTTTGTACCTTTCACCTCCTCAAATTCATCACACCACATATTTATCGCTAGATGTTCATAAATTAATATTAAAATAACACAGCTAAAGAAACTCCTACTGAAATTCTTCACACCATACATTTATTGCAGGATGTTCATTAATTGGTATTAGAATAAAACAGCTAAAGAAACTAACGATATTTCTTTTATTTTGCACCTTTCACCTCCTCAAATTCATCACACCATACATTTATTACCGGACTCTTACAAATTAAATAACACATCTTGTGTCCATAAGGCACAGAAAAATGTCGACTAGGTGGGATAAACCATTGTTTCTCAATCATTTTACTATATTTTTTGTTAAATATTTTTTAAAAGAAATTATCTTCTATAATCTATGATTATTGAGAAAAACAAAACTAGGAAGTTAATTTGAATTTAGTAACGAAATTTATTACGGTGCATTTTAGAAGAGTACAGTAAAAAGTGAAAAAGTTAATTTATTAAAAATTATGCTCAATAAAAATACACTTTCAGTAATTTTTTTACGGAAATAAACACTGCCTTACCATCCAGACTGTTTTATTGGACGGTTGCTTAATTGTTATATAAAAATTTTCCAGGATTTGAAATGCTGTTGCATCAGAGTCTTTTGCATGGATTACAGTTCGGCATCCTGACACACTAGGGCAAAAAGGCAATGGAAGGACCGCATCGTGAAATTCTCCATTCTGAATCATAACACTCGCTTCAAATTTAGGATGATCCGGCTAAAAGGGGAAAAAGCGTGGGTAAATAAACTGCAAACAGTTTCAGCTTTTTACTTTACTGCATAAAAATAAATAAAAAATTACCTGATAGTAATGCACGATGACGACGTATAAACCAGGAGATGGAACAGAACCTTGAAGATCAACAACATTATCATGCTCTTGAAGACTAACTAATCCAATCTCTGCATCAATAATGCCGTCAGGTAAATGTGAAGCTTTGTTATATTCGTGGTAACCAGATTCGAATTCCAGCTTTATCGACTCAGGTACGGGTAAAAACACAGATTCAGTGCATGTTCCATCTCTTCGAACGCACAGAGATTTTGGTACAATGTAATCCATATGCCAAAGATTTGCTGGGACCAGAGCTACATTATCTATAGCTAAATCCGCTTCTTCGTTAATTTCTATTGTTGCACTAACATAATTTGAATCCAAATTAAACACAGCAACTTCTCCGTATTGATCGATTACAACTTGACGGCAAAGAAATGAATATCCGCATTCGTAAAAGATAGCCATTCCTTTTTCCATTTGGTTGGCAGATGATACTTCAACTGTGGCTGTTGTGCCTTGAACGCTTTCTGGCGTATGGTATGTAATTATCATAATGTGAGGCCCCGGACGAGAGATTCTGAAATCCAGATGCAAAGTATCCTCTTCTTTATCAAGTAAAGCCATGCGTCCAGTCTGAAGTTCCTATAAAATGAATTAGGTTATTAAAAATTAAATTTCATTTCATGCAGAGGCATAACTAAAAATGCACTAGAGGGGAAAGTTAGATAAAACTGAGAATCCCAAATATTGTTGTATATCTCCCATCTCAAATAAAGTATTACTTTCCAACAATGTTTATTAAAAAATTTACTACTAATTACTAGATTTCTTGAGAACTTTTTACATATATGGTAATCTTATGACATTTGTCTGGGGATTTCCTACTGCAAAAGTCTCATTTAATGCTATGTAATGCAACAGCTGAGCTACTCAAATACGCTCCTGGGATCGAACCCTGAGCATTCAGCGGTCTTAATCTCTCGGCCACTGGTGGGGCCAATTAATTGACTAGTTGCTGGACTACTTTACAGCATAAGGCACGAGAAAAATTTCTGCAAATCTTGTATCTCTGTTGTTGTTATTTTGTCCATATTACATGGAACAATAGCTACCAGAGCCTACTCCAAAGAGAAGTTGGACTTCTATTTGCACCCCCCAATTTTGAGGATGAGCTCTCCGGGGAGTACCCGGGGGTCTCAAACCCCTCCCACCTTCCTCCCACCAATCCACACGAGAGGACTTTCGGCTCGCCGCATATTTAGAGTGCCGCCATGCCGCACCAACACTATACATTTACAAACATCCGTGTCTCCTCCGGGATTCGAGGCCTGGCCCTTCAGTATCGTAGTAAGCTGCCCTAACTACTATACCGTCTGGGCGACTCTTGTATCTCTTATACATGATAGAAGTCTCTGGTGTCTCATTCTCTTTTACCTGTACATGTCCCCCTTCATACTCAAACACAGTAAGCCCTTTACTGGCTTCCTGGCTAAAAAATACCAGTTACAAAACCTTGCTTAGTCCCTATGATTTATTCTAGACCACTGGCTAGACTTGTGTCTGGACTGCTCTGAACTGCAGAGTAAATAAACAGTCTTCACGGTATAAAGACTAGCGTCATCGTTCATTCGATGGTGATTCAGGCTTGACAGGCACCATATGGTACTGTCTTGTCGGTGACCAAAGCTGTGGGAACGTTACAAGATGGATGGTGCTGACCGTCTGGGAGGAAATGATTCCTCTCGGGTCTGTGTAGAGGGACGTATGATCTCCAGTTTAAAGCATACTGTCCTAGAAAATGAGTACCGCGAGAGGGAGTGGTACCCCCGCTCGTGGGAATTTAAACGTAGTTTTCACTGCAACTGAGCAAAAGCAGTCGGTGTTGGGATCCGCCCTGTGGATCTCTTCGTGATGGTCGCCCGGTCCCCTCACTGACGATTAAATCTGTGAGGGAAGTTTTCCCTCTGCAGCGACCGGGAGGGGTGGCGCCCTACCAGAACGGTCCTGAGGTTGCGGTTTTATTAAACCTTGAAAGGAAGTCTCATTCTCCCAGGCCAGGGGCTGTCTCCTTGTTGTTCAAGTCCCTATGATTTGGGGGCAATTACAAAGTTAAAACTTGTGCTTCAGGAGCACAGCTTTGAATTTTACTATTACGGATATTTCTACTCATTTAATAATTCCAATAATTTAATCAATCAAACTCTTGTTCAGCTTCCTAAACTAAAAATGTTTAAATTCTATAGCGGTTATAGAGCAAGGCTGAAATTTTCGACTCATATCAAAGTAGCGGTACGTAAAAATGGTTTACTGACAAAGTTCAATTATTTGATGACCTATTTTTAGAAGTCAGTGCTTTATCTTTTCTCTTAAGTGTTTCCTTCATAGATAAGAATGACTCATTCATTGTATTATTTGAGAAATAAAGTTTAACCATCAATTAATCTCATGAATGTACTGCTAACCATACCATCAGGGGAAAAAAGTTGTCAAAATACTGAGACAGCAATGTTGGAATTTATATAATTGTGTTGAAAGGATTTAATTATTTGCATGAAAATTATACAGTGAATGCAAAGTTCAAAATTTAAAAAAAAAATCAGAAGCACTAATACTTGCAGCTTGCAGTTACAGTAATTTGGCTACTACAACTGCCAGCTACAGTAATCAAATTACTCTAACTGCCGGATTTTCTAATATGCCTGCTATTCAACAGAATATGAGGCACTTAACTGCATTCCACAAAATTACTTCCATGCTTGATTTTAGGAATTGGAATGTTGTTTAAATCACTGCAAAGTCACAAAATGGGTATCTTGAAGGCGAGAGATTCACTTATATATTGTTCCATGCACATATTTCTAAGGTGCATTTCAGTAATTAAATTGTGACACTTTGCACATGCATAGTGTAGCATATACATGAAGATAGTCAACAGAAATACTAGATAGTCAACAGAAATACTGCTAAAGACGTATTGCCTATTAAGAATAATCATATACCGCATATCATAAATAGTCTGCATTCACATTACTGTCCTTGGAAAAAACTGAAAAATTTCAAATTTTCAAGTTACTTTACATAACGCATTTAGTAGTCTATGCTAAACAGAAAAAATAACAGTAACATTCCTGAAAGCAGAAATTTTTACTTTGCTGTGACGTCAAACAGAATTAAAATAGTTCAATTTAATTAGAAAATTTACGAATTTTAATAAAATTGTTGAAAACCCGAATAGTTATGCACACTGACAACTAAACGATTGTTTGTAATCAACTGCATGGGAGGGGGAAACCGGCCAATCTTGCAGCTATTGGTTCAGTTTATAAGGGCATTCAAATGAAAAAGTACGAAACTACACTATGGGTATAATTGAAGTCTTTATTCACAAGTAATCATCACAGGCATGAGCACAACTATCCCACTGTTTACGAGCCGAAGTATTTCCTGTTCCCAGTATTCCTATGACTGTGACAGGAGCCAGACTTCCATTGCGTTCTTCAGTTCGTCGTCCGAGTTGCAGCGCTTAACTTTGAGATATGTTTTTAGCGGATCAAACACATAGAAATCGCAAGGCAACATATACCTGCAGATGCTTAAGCTGCTCCCACTTGAAATGGGCCATTACACTTTCTGTGGCCTTGGAGACGTGTGGACACGTGTTATCCGTGGAGCAGAATCACTCCCACGTGAGCAGGATAGATCGTTTGCTCTAGATGGACTTTCGTAGATTACGGTCTGTCTCACAGTATACGTGATGGTTAATGTCTTTTCTGTGCTCGGGGAATTCGATGAGTATTGGACCTCGGACGTCGAAAAAGACGGTAGCCGCACCTTGCCTCTAAGACGCAGCTTTATTTTTTTAGGGGATTGACGTGCTTTCTCTGGCTCTGGCCCGCTTTGTCTCTAGCTCGAAGTGATAGCACCAGCTGTCGTCACCAGTGACGATCCGCTTTAGAAAATTGGGGTCTTCATGATATCGGAAAATGTGTTGAAGTGCTAGCCTCACACGCAGTTCCTTTTGCAGTTCGTTGACTCTTCGAACCTTTGCGCGCACAGCTTCGTACCCAACTGTCGTCACATGCCACAGGTTCCAATGCTGGGCCCACCATCACTGTCAACATTCGCATTGTGACACGCCAATCATTTTTCACGAGGTTGTTCACCTTGTCAATGACTTCAGTCGTGATTACCGTGTTTGCCTGGCCTGGCCTGGGATTATCACTCAAACACTCCCGGCGTTCACGAAAACAAGTACTTAACTTTCTCACCGAATTGTTGGACACTGTCTTCCCCGTACACGGCCATTATCGGGTGAAGAATATCGGCTGGTTTAACTCCTTCCACTATCAGAAAACTGATCTCGCTGCTTCTCAATTGTTGATTTTTACAACGTGAAAGCCACGATCTCCTCACACGCACTGGCCGCATCAATAGAACAGAACACATAACTGCCTACTTATCTCCTGCCTCGCGCATGCGCACAACCATGCAGGGCACTACATTCGCATCCCTAGATGTCCCACTACGTTGTCCCAAAACGGCATATTCGAATATCAACCGGTTTGATTGTCACGATGTTTCGTACCTTTTCATCTGAACTTTAGAAGAGACTGAGACTGCTACTTTTATTCCAGTCAACAAGGCTATGTACAGGGGTTGGACAAAAATATGGAAACACCTTTAAAAAAACATGTTTCTTTGCTTAATATGGTGTAGGAAACCCGCTGGCATCCAAAACAGCTTGCAGTCTTCTCGGAATGGATAAATACAGTTCCTGTATGTATTACATGGGAATATTATACCATTCTTCCTGCAAAACGGTGGCAGTTCATAACGTGTTGGCGGTGGATAACGAGAACCACTTTCCGTTCCAATAACCACAAGGTTCGATAAATTCAGATCTGGTGACTATGGTGCCAGGGGAGATGGGACAACTCACCCTCATGCTCAAAACCCGTCCTGGACAATGGAGCTGTTAACAGGGGCTTTGTCGTCTTGGAGACACATCACCATCGGGAACAAAAGTTTGTACCATGGATGAACTGATCGGCCAAAAGGTTCACATAAGTTTGGCAGTCGTGTGCCTGACACAGTTATCATGGGGCTAGCAGAGAACCCACGATATGGCTGCCCAAACCATAACAGAACCCCCGCATGTTTCACTCTTGGCAACAAGCAGTCTGTATTATAGGCTTGAGATGGCGTTCTCCATACGTAAACTCGGCCAGAAGTGGGAAACATTGAAAGAAGACTCGTCAGACCATCTACTCGCTTCCATGCTCTTAGTCCAGGCTTTATGACTTAAACACCACCTTCCTGTTCGGGCATTAGCATCACTGATAGTGGCTTCTCAATTGCAGCACGGCCAGCAATTCCCTGTTTATGAAGCTTCCTTCTAATTGTTTGGTACTCACAGGTTCGGTAACACACATTCATTTCAGCAGAACTTTTGCAGCTGTGGTTCTTCTTATTTTTCGTCACATTGCCTTATGATCCCTGTCACGATCACTCAGGAACACAACTTTCGTCCCGCGCTGGATTTAGCAGATGATGTTTTTCCGCTTTTCAATATGCGGAATAATCTTCGATACAAACTTCTTGAAACACTAAACACCTCGGCCACCTTGTTACGGAAGCACCTACCTTACGTGCTCCAACAATTTGCCCACGTTCGAAGTCTGTTACTCTGACATAATCAATGACAACCTCAAAACAGTACTCCGACAACAATGAACTGTTTGCACATTTACGAAGTTGTAAGGTGGCGTCAGTAGTCAAAACGCCAGCGCCACCTACATATTTCATTAAAATCAATCTTTCTTTTCAAACATGCATTTCACAAGGTGTTTCCATATTTTTGTCCATCCACTGTACTTTCTCTCGCCTGTAAACTCTTAAAACGAATGTACTTGCAAATTTACCATATCTCTAGATTAAATGAAGTCAGTTAATGATGCTAGAATAGAAAAATAAATTAGAATGAGTGATATTAACATAAGATGAGACATTTTGAAGATTTATTTTTACACTTTTTTTCCACATATGGAATTTAAAATGCTAAAATATCACTGAAATGCTAAGAAAACTGGGTACCTACATTTATGAAATACTCGTAAATCTGGACAAATAGGATTTTTCTTGTATAAATTAAAAATGAAACGGTTTCGCACTTAGGTAATCGATGTATTTTCGTTTTATTCAATTGAAAGAAACGTCTGACCATTTTTTTTTTAAACCAGCAGCTATTCAGACAGATGTGATGCTTATAACAATAAATGAAGTGTATGTATATTGAGAAAAATTATCTTAAAACGCTATATAAAATAAGCTACTCACAGCTAAGACTTGGCTATCCTCATAAACGTTCGCTTGTCTCCTTTCATCCTTATCTCCATCGTGGACATATCCAGCTTCACCTCTCACAATTTCAGAATCAGGAGGCAAAGGAGGATATCTGAAATTTCGGCACATTTCATTTTCTCCATTGTTTATAATACATGGTTCAGAAATGTCTTCCTGAAGAAGGGTAGCTTCATAATATGCCTGAGGCAGAAGAACCATATAATCCTGCAAATAATTACATTTGGTCTTTTTAAATATTGTTTCTTAATATTTATGCACATGCATAAAATGAATAATAATAATTTACAAAAATAACAAACACACTTAATACTATAAGAAGTTTAGCTGAACGCTTTCAAAATTTCAGTCATTACTCGTAAGCATGAAGAAGAATTATTAACAAATTCCATTAGCAACATCATCTTTAACATTGTGCTGCCACATTTTACAGATGAAAGTACGAAAAGAAACTACATAAAATTAAAGTTTCCGGTGAGAATCTTTACGCATATTTCAAGGATGTTTCTTAAATACATAGAGTGTTTCCAAAGTTCTAGGAACTGAACTCTGGTTCAATTTCCAAAGTTCTGACTGACATTGAATTATTTAAAAGCACGATGAAGAATTATTAGAGAAACAAATTTCATTAGCAACATCATCTTTAACATCGTCCTGCCACATTTTAAATATGAAAATACGAAAAGAGACTACATAAAATTAAAGTTTCTGGTGAAAATCCTTACACATACCAAGGATGTTTCTTAAATACGTAGGGTGTTTAGAAAGTTCTAGGAATTGAACCCTGGTTCAATTTCCAAAGTTCTGGCTGACATTGAACATTAAAATACTACTCTGGTTCTATTTCTAGAACTTACAGGCAAAGCAATCGGTCAGAGATAAGTCTTAACATATTTATGCAGCTACCTCGTACAATATTGTTTACTCCGATTTTGTTGTCTGGCTGACCCAGTTGTATTTTTATAGTACTGTTTTAGCAACTAAGAAGATGAGAAGCGCATTTATTTTCTTTTTCTGGAAAGAGGATGTTGAACTTCAGAAATTGTTCAACGTCAGCGACGAGTATTCTGTTCCCACATTTAAAAAAAAACCATTACAGGGTACTCGATTTGAGAGCTTAACCCTGTCATGAATAGGTTGGATTTAGGAAACACCGAAAAGTTCTCTAAAGCATGGCTTAAAAAATTGGTTTTTCGTTCGGATACGCATATTCAATTAAATGAGGATTATGTTTAAAAATGTCATTGTGATACTGATCAAAAAAAAAAAAAAAAAAAAAAAAACAAAAAAAAAAAAAAAAAAAAACAATTATACCGAATTCTAGACGTTGAACCATCCTTGTGTTTAAATTATATTTTTCAAAAAAAATTAAATTGCAAGACAGCTTCATACTTACATAATAATGTCATAATGAAAACATTAAAGAATATCTATCGATAGAGACTCATATATCAAATAACTCTTTATGATAAACGTTTTTCACGAAAGTTTATAAAGGGACTCTCAGAATCTGTGATAGAGGATTTAAAACTTAAATGAACGCAGCTTCTCTACTCTACACTGAACATGTCATAAAACAAAATTAAGAAATATCTATCGATAGAAATCATTATAAATAACTCTTTATGATACGCTTTTTACGAAATTTATAACGGGCTATCGAATCGTGATAGAGGATTTAAAAAAAAATTTAAATGACGGAGCATGCTTCTCATATCTACACTGAATACGTCATAAACAAAACATAAAAAATTATTATCAGCTAGAGAATCATTATAAAAATAATCTTTAGATAACGCTTTTTTTCCCGAAATTTCTAAAGGGTATCAGAATCTGTGACAGAGGATTTTTAAAAAAAGTTAAATGAAGAGCATGCTTCTCATACTCTACACTAAATAATGTCATAAACAAAACATTAAGAAATATCTATCAGATAGAGAATCATATATCAAATAACTCTTTATGATAACGCTTTTTTCACGAAATTTTTAAAGGGCTATCAGAATCTGTGACTAGAGGATTTAAAAAAATTAAATGAAGAGCATGTTTCTCATACTCTACACTAAATAATGTCATAAAGAAAACATTAAGAAATATCTATCAGATAGAGAATCATATATCAAATAACTCTTTATGATAACGCTTTTTTCACGAAATTTATAAAGGGCTATCAGAATCAGTGACTAGAGGATTAAGGAATACCAACAATAGGATTTATGGCAAACGCTTTTTTTCTATTAGAAATCAATTACTGAATACTAAAAATTAAATAATTAACAATATTGTGCAAAAAGTATGAGCATATTTATGTCAATGAAACCTCTTAATGCATGCTTAAGACTATTTAATTATCGCACACAGTAGTTAACTTGATGTGTGTCCTTCAATCATTTCCACACAAAAGAAATCCAAATTCATGTTTAATATTTCCTGCTTTTGACTAATATCTTAGAGAAAGTATGCGGAATTACTGCATTAATTCTTTGAAGGATGGTGGTTACCTACAGTAACCTTTTTTTCCTACTGAATGTCTTACTCACTCGTGTGAGTGGTTTTCAAGACTGGCCTTTTCTGAAGTTCACTTGTAGCTCACTAAATGGCAATCAAGAAACATAAGCCAATCAAGAAACATAAGCTAGTAGTTGATGCAGCAATTCGTCTTCAAGAAAATAAGCATCACCCATCGAACACAACATCACGACAATGTGCACGCTGCAGCACCAAGAAAAAGCCTGTAAGAACAGTGTGGGAATGCAACACATGCAAAGTTGCACTCTGCTTGAAAACGATAAACTATTTCCATGAGTACCATAGAGACTGATTTGTAGGGATGTGTTCTGTGGACGGTCGTCACTGACACTAATCACAAGAAGTGTTCATTTTTTTCCCACGCGTCTTGGGCAAAATATGTATAATTGTCGCAAATAATTTCATTGCATCACCTGATATAGTAAATAAAACAAGAGTTTTGCTAAAAACGTTAATTGCCTTTCCTGCCCCTCAAACAGTTAAAATAGTACTACTATTTTAACTGTTTGGAAGAACTCAACAGTTACAACTCAACAGTTTGGAAGAACTCAACAGAACAACCCTAAGGAACTCAACTGATACGTTAACAATGTTAAACAGGTGATGTTGACGAACCTATTGCAGCTTAAATAATTAGCATTTTTTTCGTTCTTATGCCTTTCTATTTATAATTTTTGAGGTCCACTCTGTCATGTTGAAAAACAAGTGAAACAATATTTAAGAAAGAAAATTTTATAAGTTCATTTAAACTTACTAAAAACAACGGCTTTTCAATTCTAATAGATACTGTCCAACGGCCTGGGTTTAAAACGAATGGTGATGCAACTTGTCCTTGTTTACCAGAAACTTTCATAAATTTTGGTCTATTAGTTGCTTCAAAGACCATGTCACTGCTTTGCTGAATATCTGAAAAAAAAATATTTTACATTTTAGGTAGATTTAACTCATATTCATGGAAGGTAGAACTATAATGCACAATCTGTTTTGTTTTCCAGTCTTTTTAATAACTACTATTTGTGTTGTCAAGGTATTACTATGTATCTAAAATATGTCAGCATCGATGTATTTTTATATAGATAAAAGCTGCAGAAACATTGAGATATGCAAATGCTATTTAATATATCTTTCAAAAATATATACTGTAAGCAAGATGACCAAAACTGATTACACGATATTCAATTGCTTCATCATAAAAAATTCTTTAAAATTCTGATTGAGTCACATTAAAAAATTTATGACAATTCTGATAAACCTCGGCTCAAATTAGCTAATATAATTTTTTATTTCTTAAACTTTACTATAATTTTTAAATGAGCTAAATAGCTTCAGAAAGCTGAAGAAGAGAAATAATTACACTATAGAAACTGGAATGTGTCAAACTTCAAGCTTTTTTTTCTATTTGTTTGCCAGCTCTCTTCCATGCTCTGTTCCTCTGAAAACCAGCTCTGAAACTGCGAAGCTTGATGCTGATTGTAGGTTAGCCCTAGAGTTGAGTGCGGTATAGTCCAAAGTTCGAGATCCGGACCCGGCGAGACTTCAGCGATTCCGGATTCGAGATTTTTCTGGACATTAGATCATCAAGACGCAAGAGAAACACGCCGACGTGGATAATAAAACAGGCAAATCGACAACCTTGTATTCGGCGTAGATTTGCCTTTTTTTTATTAGATTATCAGTTTAAAATTAGTAAGATGACATGTAAAAATTATAAAATCTAAAATATGAAATAATGATTCATAAAATAATGAAGCATTTATGACTTTAAGGGAGTCAAAATTTATCAAAAAAAGTAATATTGTTACGAAATGTACAGGCGTGGTAAGATAGCTTCCCCGCAAAGCAGTTTTATGGTTGCCATAAAATGCCAAGGGCAGGCAAAGTTGCCACATTTGGCGAGAAATCGCCCATTTGGCAACATTTGGCGATAAACTTGTCGGTATACCATGGACGGTTGGAGAACCTTCTGGAACGAATTCTTACCGGTTTAGCTCAGAATGTTTTCGAACACAGGCCGAAAGCTATATAAAACCCTGCTGGTCCGCTGTCAGTCACTGTGTGCTGCATCGAGAGGGCGAATGTGTGTGCCTTGTCTAGAGTGCGAGTTAGTATCGAGTTGGTGTCTCGTCTAGCGAGTCAATCCCTGCGGAGTCGATCGAGTTGACAGGTGCCGAGTGCACCGAAAGGAGTTTAGTGTATTGCGGTTATGCAATCGTGAGAGCGTGTTTGAGCTCCGGGAACGACTAAGCAGAGGGGGAGTTTACTCCGGAGGCGAGTCGGGTGCTTTGCAGGAAGCTGTCTCCATCGTTATTGCCTGACAGTGCTGTGCCGCTGATTGTTCCAGCGTGTTTATAGTAGATCTTCGACGACTGTAAAAAGTGTTTTGGGAGCTGCCCTGATTAATATTGGCTAAATAAAGTGTGTTACTTCATTAAGTGTCGTCGTTATTCACTCCAAATATACAAACCCCGTACGGACGTGTGTCAGAAGAAAGAAAAACGTAATAATATTTATTTATTTGCTTCGTTTTTTGTGTTAATACTTTCTTTTTAATTCTTATAGATGGACATGATTTCTTCACTTATGATTGGGGTATAAAACATTTGCTACGTCATTTCTACTTATTACCACTTCTCCACACTTCTTCACAAATTCCATTAATTGGAAATTTTCTCTTTTTGGTTGCGATATCTAAAACCTTCAAATTTACGGCTTTCATCATTAAGCTTTAACTACCATCCGTTGTACCTTATTCGCGATGTTTCACAAGATTGGCGACTAAAGACATGTTGTTCCGCTGAATTTTCTCTCGCACGCTAACGGAGTTAAGTCCGAATAAATGTTAGTTCAATTATTTATTATACCCACTTCTATTTTCCGGGCATGCTTAAGGCTTGTAATCATCGCCAAGTGTAATGTCAACATAAAAGGTTACCATGCTCTTTGGTGTTTACTAATATTTAAAAAAAATGTTTAGACATCGTTGCATGAATCATTTCTCAAGCTGCCGAGTGTTGACATTACGCAATTATGAACGCAAGAAAAATAAATAATGATTCGCCAGGTTGAAGTAGGATATGAATTATTTAGTAGATGTAAAACCAACAACGTTTCGATGTTGAATGTTTCGGTTTGAGACGTATGCCGAGCAAATTGTTGATCATACAGATTTATGTTAACGGATGGTTGTTTCTTCTATCTTTCTAGTATTTAATTTTGTGCCAAAGTGAAATATTAATCGGTGATGTTTTATTATGAAAAAATATCAGATGCGCGCAAGCGTAAAGCAATCAAAAATTTCTAAGAGGAAAAAAAAAAAAAAAAAAAAGAGATTGCTGGTTATCCCCGATGGTTCGGATTTTAGATCATTCCGGATATCGGACGCTCGGTTTTCTGAATTGTACTATATCAACAATGAAATTAAAGAAAAAACTTCTGTGTCTATGTTTGTAAAATTTCCTAGAACCCCCAAAATTGTACAAGCATTTATCTTATCTTTGAAAATTCTTTACCTTTGATGTTTAGAACACTTCCCAATACTAAATTTTGAAACTACTCTTCCAACTTCGAAAGTGGGAATCATCAATAAAATACTTTCACATGGTTTCAGCTTTATTCTCAATAACAAAAGAATAATAAATTATTTATTTGCATTCATTATTTATATATTTACAATTGAAGATATTTAGTAAATTCATTTCTTTATATACCATGTTATCCATAAACATAAAAATTTACAATTTAGAACAAATACCTAAAAGTAAATAATAAATATAAAAGAGGCGTAAATAAAAACTAAAACAATTAAAAAAGTGAAAAATAAAATAAGTAATGACCTAAAAACCAATCATAAAAATGAATCTAGATAAGTAATAAATAGCAATCCACTTATCAATAACTTTATAATGATAAATTCACATCTTAAGAAATTTTAACATATTTACCACCAAACGTATCAGGTGTAAAAGTTATTGTTCCGAAAACATTCTCCCCTCCGAAGTTCAAGTAATGAAAGTAAACTTCATACAGGCTTGGTTTTTCCACAAATAAATCCAGAAGAACTTCTTTCTAAAAGAGTAAATGAAGTTTCTTAGAAACAGGGTAATGAATTTTACATACCCTTTAAATCTGCGATTAATTTAACATAAAAAATTTATGAAATAACTTTTATGAAATAGTATTCAGTCAAAGATTCAGATATTTTTGCAATATAGTGGAACCTCGAGATACCAGCTTAATTCTTTCCAGCACTGAGTTCGTATAGCGAATTTCTCGTATCTAGAAACAAACTTCCCTATTGAAAATAATGGAAATCCAGTTAACCATGTCCGCCCCCCCCCCAAAAAAAAAAATATCAGCATGAAAATAAAATTTTCTAATAAATAACACTCGTGAATAATATAAACGTAGTTTACCTTTGTGATAGCTTCCGACACCGACCTTTTAAATGCTTCTCGTTAATCCACACCCACAACAGCTTCTCAACATCTTCTAGGAGTTTTGGACGCTGCTTGGAAGTAATGATAACTCCTTTGGCTACATCAAGTTTCTTAATTTCTTTCTGCTTCTTCAGAATAGTGCAAATTGTCATGTCTAAAGGCTGTAAGTCTTCGCCAATTCCGCCACGCTTGCTTATCTATGATTTCTTTCTTAATTTCAACGGCCATGGCTTTCTTATTTTTCTTCGCAGCATTATCTGAGGCAACCATCTTCTTGGGAGGCATCGTGAAATAACTATTTTCACGTTAAACATAATAAACAATTGACTCACAAGCGCAAGAATACCGAGTGATCTGACGATGGGATTCCCCGAGTCGAGCCGGATCGGGAAATGGAGCCAAGCATACCGACAGCTTGCCTCATTGCTCGTTACTTGAAACAATGCTCGTATTTAGAGACAAATGTTTCGCTCATACGTACCTCTTATCTCGAATTTTTCGTATATAGAGATGCTCGTATCTCGAGATTCCACTGTATAATATCATATGCTAATAATTTTTATTTTCATTACAGTTTAAAGATAATATTAAACATATCTAATAAACACAACAGATCAGTATATTACTATTGTTAATAATGGTTTCATACCAAGGTAAAACCTTTTAATAAACTAGAAATCAAGCTGATTAATATTCATGTTTTACGCTATGGAGAAGTAGAATTCCTTAACTGAATCCTATTTAATTAATATTAAAGGCCCTGTAAACAGAAGACATTTTATGATATAATATGCATAGAAATTTCAGTTTTTAGGTAATAAAAGAAATGAGTAATATATACTGCAGGTTAAAACTAGTTATATCAAATTAAACAATAAAATTAAAAGGAATATGAGTACTTTTCGCCCACATTCTGCTACATTTGGCATTCAGCTATCCTTAAGTTTATTTATTCGCAAGAGGATTGCGCGCAAAGACTATAGTATTCCACCTACTGTTGAATTAGCACTGATGAATTACATAGCTTCTAAGCTGAGCAAGGAGACTCATAAAATCATGGATTCCCATGAACACCAGAACTGTTTTAAAGTCTAACAGTTTTCCAAGAGGAAATAAGAAAAATAGAGTTTCTAAAGGCGTGCTTCAGGGAAGCTGCAACGCCTTCAGGTATTTTTTAATGACCACCCCACAATTCTAGGGGAAAATGATTTTCTAACGACCACATAGCAATTCTCGGGAAAACTGAGCGTGACCCATCACCATGAAGCGTTCGTGACCCTGTGCTCCATTTCATGGTAGTCAAAACTGAAAACATCTAGATGCAGAGGTCTCGAAGTTGGAGCTCAAGTTGGAGCTTGAGGTCCCAATCACATTAGTATGTTTCGGCTACACGAGACTTGTCATCGAAAGGGACAATTCTCAGAAGCCGCAAATTTCCAAGAAACCCACGTAGATAGGTTACCGTTTTCACTTACTACAAAGAACGCCAAATAGTAATACTTGAACTCCAAACTATAATCGATCACATTGGAATCACATGATCCTTCAGGCAGAACTTTTGCCTGATTGGTTGTCTCTACCAGGGACAGAGCTTTAGCTGAGACAGTTTCAGTGAGGATTGAAAAAAAACCCGCGTAGCCGCAGCATCGTTTCCGTAGCTAGGCGAGACTTCGCTTCAGAATCTCGTTTCTCAGAAAAGTCCCGTCTAACAGCGTCTGTAGCCATATGTGATAACCTCTTGAGAATTCTCGAGGAAATTTTCTGAGGCCTATCAGCATCATATCCGCAAACAATCAGGGTGTTCTGCCAATCGAGAGCTCTCTGAAAACTTCGGGCAAATGACAATTCAGAAGTCTTCCCGACACGACCAGAAAATCTTGAACAAAAACAACGAACGCAGCTCCAGAGAGAAAGAGCTCGTTAGTATAGTAAAAAAGAGAGAAAGCTTCTCTTTTACATTTCCAACTCTGCCAAAAGCATTTTGTTTTCCTGTTCGCTCTGTCAAGAGCATGCTTATCTGTCTGCGGAGAGATCCAGTAACCGGTTCCATTCCGCTATCTGATTTGAGAGCATCTTGCTTGAAAAGGTCAGTTGCGGCTAGAAGAGGCAACAAGGCTGTTTGCCTTACAACAGAATTTCTCCATTTAGCAGCCGACTAACGAACCTCTTAACAAACTCCGTTGTCAAGCCATCATGGCTTCTTTCTTTAGCGAATGCTCTTTCTAATTTATTTCAATTTTATTAACGAAGATGTGGAGGTGACTGCGTTTACTTGCAAAGGTACTACGTAATCAAAATGCCTTAGTCCTTCATCCGACTAACGAACAGGAACTTTCGGAGAATTTGTACATGACCCGTTTCTCTAAATCATTTTCTCCCCTTCTTCGACAAGAACTAATGAACATCTTATAAGGTATTTCTCCCGCCTTCTTAGCAAGCCTTCGTAATGTAGTGGTCAGCACGCTCGACGAGAATTCGAATGGTCCATGGTTCGTTACATCCATGAGTCCCGGCGAGGGCATTGCTCATTTTTCATACCTCCTGCTTTGAAAATACCTAATGTCTCTACAACCTTATCTTGAATTCATTTGCATATAGCCTAGAATTTTAAATAACTCAAGTAGGCTGCCTCTTTGTCAACTCGTCACAAGTGCAAAAATGTCAAAGCAGTAATAGATAAAATTCTGACCCACATTTAGCGGATCTTCAAAAGCAGAAATTTGATGATGTATTTGGCATTTTCAGGGGTAAGTTTGATTCTCTACTCAAAAGCTCACTTCCCTCCAGTAATAATAATATTAAAAGTAGAGATACATCTGAAAGGAAAGCTATCATTAATGAAAAAAGTTATAATAAGACTTTTCTAGGGACACTTTCAGATTTATAACACCAACTAAGATAGCAAAATTTATTAAATGTAAACAAATTGGTCAAGAGATAAAGCTAAAGGACAAATTCTTTAGTCTAGAAAATGTCAGACAGCTCTAGTCTTATACGTCAGATGAGTGCAAATGAACAGGAGACCGGAGACCACTGGGTGAGCAGCTGTGCCGCCACAAAGACTTTCAGCTTTATTGCTCACTCAGAGAGACAATGTTTATTTAAATTTTATAACTATGAAATTTGGATATATACATTAAATCATTATACATAAATATACACATTAAATAGAGTTATGAGAATGATATATATATATATACAAAATTAATTAATTATAATTTGAAAGCTCTGTAACAGCTGCGGAGACGAAAAATCTTGAATCTTGGATATACTTTATGATCTAAATTATCTCAGTTTTCTATGAGATATTTGATTAAGTTACGCAGCTTATTATGAAGAAAGTTACTTTTAAGAAGTTGTTTCAACCAGATTTGTGCGTTGACAGCCGTAAAGGGGCTAAAATGGAGATCTTTGGTTATTGAGCATTCGAGCATATAATGATCTATTGCTCCTATTGAGCCACAGATGGAGTTGTCAGTATGATGGAAGCCAAAAGGATGAAGATGTGAAATAAAAGGTCCATGTGAGGTAAGGAAATATGCTATTGCACTACTTGAAGTTATTAAATTCCTTGACGGTTTTTGTAAGAATAAGTATGTTCGTCTGCCTGTAATGTCTGTTGACCACTTTGCATTCCAGTGTTACGAAATGTACAGGCGCGGTGAGATAGCTTCCCCGCAAAGAAGGTTTAGAATTGCCATAAAATGGCAAGGAAAGACAGGGTTGCCACATTTGGCGACATTTGGCGAAAATATTGGCGAATACCATGGACGGATGGAGAACCTTCTGGAACGAATTCTTACCGGTTTAGCCCAGAATGTTCTCGAAGCCGAAAGCTATATAAACCCTGCTGGTCCACAATTAGTGTGTGCCTCGTCTAGCGAGCTGATAGTCAGTCATTGAGCGAGTGTCTGGAAGTCTAGCGCCGATTTGGTCGTTGAGTACATCGAAGAGTCTTTTAGTGTATCGTGGTTAGTGCATCGTCGAGAGAGTGTGTTAAGCTCCGGGAACAACTGAACCGAAGGGTCGGAAGCTGTGTTCTGTGTGTCGTCGAGTGCATCGCGAGTTGTAGCGTGGAGAGTCTCGAGAGTACGTGGAGTTCTGAGAACGACCGAGCAGAGTCAGGAGCTGTACTCTGGTGCTTTGCAGTAAAGCTGTCTCCACCGTTATTGCATGACAGTGCGAAGGCTGTGTCACTGATTGTTCCAGCGTGTTCATAGTAGATCTTCGACGACTGTAAAAGTGTTTTGGAGCTGTCCTGATTAATATTGATAAAATAAAGTGTGTTTCGATACTTCATCAAGTGTTGTCGTTATTCACTCCAAATCCACACGAACCTCGTACGAAAGTGAAGAAAGAAAATAACATAACAACTGGTCAGGGGCGTAGCTAGGGTTTTCAGCACCCGGGGACAACTGAAGATTTTGCGCCCCTCTCTGTGTGCCACGAATGGAAAACACTTCATTCTAAAATTTCGTACCATCAATTTAGCGCCCCCTGGATGTTGCGCCCGAGGACAGATGTCCCCTTTTGCCCCACCCTAGCTACGCCACTGCAACTGGTGTCAGGAAAGAAAAACGCAACAGTAAGTTCGTCTGCCTGTAACGTCTGTTGACCAATTTGCATTCCATTGTGTTATTAAATCTTTTTCCAATCTTGATTTTAATAAAATAGGATTTGGAAGTGGAAAAATATTGGAATAATAAGTATTGCTTTCTGTCTCTCTTGCTAATGTATCTGCTAATTTCGTTCCTATATATTCCTTTGTGAGTTCTTGTCCAGTGGAGTTTTGGTTTGTATTCTTTATGAAAATCAGCAAGTATGAGTTGTATGTCTTGAACCAAAAATGATTTATTTTTAGCTGTTATTGCTTGTATGCTTGAGGCACTGTCAAATATTATGCAAATGTAAATACAAATGCAAATGAACAGTAGCAGTAGCAGTTATCACCCCTGCATACACACAACTTGTAAAACAACTTTCTACCACATAATAGCTACACTTTTTCGCCTCAGCCGAAGATGTCCTAAAATTTTTCTGCAATAAGAATGCACCATAAGACTTGAATTTTACTATTCCAAATAAAACAGCAACACTTTAAATCACCAAGTCAGTGATAAATATAAAAGCCCTATAAGAATTCATTAATTAAGGGGACATCGTAGCCCCAGTATAGTCTGCAATTCATGCGGTTCTATTGATACAAGATCCAGTATAGTATACAAACTTCTACAGTTAATTAAACATAAAATTAACGCTTCTAGTGGTCGCATTTCAAATAGCAAACTGTAGTACCCAAACAACCAAATTGAAAGTGCTTGTGAACTTTTTGACCTATTATTATGAATTAGAAAGTATTTTTATAGGAACCAGGAAGGGAAGTTTTAAAGGTCCTAGTCCTCAGAAAATAGTTTGTTACAGCGTCGCTAAGTGGACAGATGCACAACCAAATTGACAGATTTAATACTTTGTATGTAGTTACTGTTACTGACAGCAAGCAGCATTACTTAAAGTTTTTCGCAATCTGACAGTAATCAGGTTCGTCATGTATTATACATGTAGACACATTTCTAGTTCAACAATAATCATGTTGAAAAAGATCAAAGCACGAGATATATCCCAGTTAATTATGCTACATCTGCTTTATCTACGCAGTAAAATAATTATGCTGATAAAAATAACTCTAACAGTAGAGGACTGCTTCGTTCAATTTTAAACTGTCACAAATTACTTAAAACTGCAGAAAGGTAAACTGCAGAAAATTAAAAATTGCGATAATAAAATTAATAGGCTCATTTTTGAACATGCAGATAATTTTCATATTATTAAAAGTACACAATAATCAGCTTGTCATGTTGATGATCAATACTAGTCTCATCAACGGCAAATGAAATTAATGAAGAGTCGCAGAATATTTTACTGTTACTGCGATTCAGTTTTATAACATTTGTGTCTTCACCTGGAATTTCGATTTTCATCAGAAACAAAATACTGTCGAAATACGATTCAGATGGGCTCTTGTTAAAATTAAGTACTGAACATACTACCGGTGATGATTTAAGCATAATTCAAATAAAATTAATAGTTATATTTTTGTGAAAAGTATAATTAATTTATGATATAAAATTCCAAGATCTATTAACGAATTCGCAACGGTGCTGCTGCTGGGGTCGAAAATTTTCATTTTAACAAGTTTTTTTATTTTTCTGAGAGACTCACTAGTTAGACATCATTGTCATAATAAATAATGAACTCAGACTTACTTGTATGTCAGAGAAAACAGCATATCCACGCCACGAAAAGCCTGGAAAAATATTTTCTTCATATCCATAACGAACCTGAGTTCCTACTGGAGTTCTACCGTCTTCAATCTCAAATTGGTGCTGAAAAAGTGTTGGGAAATAGTGAGTTTGGAGAGGTTTGTCACATTTTCTCCCACTGATCCTAGGTCGGCATGCACACTGTCCAGTTTGCTTATCACAAATGTTATTCACAGATCCTCCAATATCGCAACCGCAATCTGAAATTTTTATAATTCACATTAAGAAACAGGAAGGTAAAATATAAGGATGAGAAGCTTTTTAATTATATTAAAAAAGCATTTCATACATATTGCAGTAATTCTGGGCATAATCCATTAATTTATGCCCAAAACTTAAACTCTTCGAATGTTGTAAAAAACTGCTGCAATAAAATTGTTTTACAAAGCAGATGATATTAGAAAAATAGTTCATAAATGGTAATATACCTTTACATCCAAATAAGTTATCATTATCTAATTCGTGGTATCCTTCTTTGCATTCCGAACATTGTCGTGAACCTACATTTGGTTTGCAATTGCACTGACCCTGTGTCTTTCCACAGACAGCTATTCCACCAACAGTGCCACCCAAAAAGCAATTGCAATCTAAAAAAAAGAAACAAACAAAAAAAAAAAAAAAAAAAGAAAGAAAAAAAAAAAAGAAAAAAAAAGAAAAAAAAGTAAAATATTTAATAAATACAACTACAGTATGAAAACATTCATCAAGTTGTTTTGCTTTAAGTTCTCGTAAATAAGTGTTTTATTTATAAACGCACAGAAATACATATCAAATATTAATGGGTACATACGGAAAATCCCGTCGACCACAAGAGATGACGCCAATAGCGCCAAAAAAAAAAAACATTTACTAAGTACAAGAAAAAACGTTCTATTCTTATTTTTCTTTCAAATTTATTATATTATCATTTATTTATATTTAATTTTCATTAAAAATTTCCATTATTTTGTACTAAGGAGATATACTGTAAAAGCAATTATTTTCGCTATGTTTTAATTTTCGCGAGAAAATATGTGTCTCGTAAAATACTACACACACACAACACTTTTTTTTTTTTTTTTTTTTTTTTTTTTTTTTTAGGGTCGGTAAGATTTTATAACTTTGAAAATATTCAACAGCACGCTCTTCTGTAGTAGGCAGGTCCCAAAGTTTAACCTTTTTTTTTTCGCTAATGCATGATAGAGGGGGGAAAAAAGAGTTTTACTGAAGAATAATACCTAAACATGTAATCAAGGTTACATCAAACCCAGTGTGCTTGAAGAAGACTTGGCGAAAAATCGCGTAGCTTGGCGTCTTTTCTTTAATAGGCAAAAATGGTCGACGGGAATTTCCGTAAGTAACTAATTGTTACATTACCATTGTTAACATTAGTTTAATGCTAGTGAAATTAGTTTATACCTAATGTTAGTGAAACAAGCATTTTCCGTTAAAGAAAAATTAATGCGAAATATGAAAATATAATTATAATTTATTTTCTTTACTTATTAATGATGAATTTTCATTGCAACAGTACGTGCTTTGAATAAATAAATCAATTACATTTTTAGGACAAATAATGCTTTGTGCATAATTTTCTAGAATATGGTCATGCGTTACCGGTAGCATATTTCATAAGTGCACATCAGCGTAGCCACTGAGGGAGGGGCGTCCAAAAATGGACCAATGAGCTTCTACTGCTCTTGTGACGCTAATTCTTCATGCACGTGAGCGTATGTTATGTTTTAATTTGTATTTGTTTCGTAGTTATAAATAATACAATAGTACAAAATCTCTGAGTGCTTTCGTTTTTATGAGTATAATTAATCGCTGGCATTTCCCTTTCGCGATTTTTATCATGCATTAATATTTGGATTGACGTTCACGGCATATTATCGCTCTCGAGAAAATGACTCAAGTTACAATTAGCCTCGAATATTATGGATTTACTAACACCTGCTGATTAAGAGAATTCAAGTGTATAGTTTTGTTTTAATTGAGCTGAGAAAGGCTGGAAGTTTTACAATGAATCTAGTGTTTTCTTGTTTCAATGCTTGCATTCTTTTTGTTTGTATATATTTCAAATTCTTTCAGCCAGGTAGCGAAATCTTCACAATTGCTTATATTTGATCTAACTTCGCAATGAAAATTTTCAAAAGAAATCGACGATGCTTTAATTATTTTGTACAGAAAATTGCGTGGCAGAATATTTTCAACCATCTTGTTTAAATCTTAAAGCACGCGAGATCATGACAGAAAAATTACTGGATGCCCATTGGTCCATCCTAGAAGCCACTCCCTCGGTGGCTACGCAGATGTGCATTTATGAAATATGCTTACCGGTATCTACGACGAACGTAAAGTAAGCTACCGCTCTAAGTAACAGCCAGTAGAGTAAATTGACCTCAAGGATAACAATCAAAGCTTAGAACTTTTAAATATTCATTATTTTATGTCATATGCTCAATTGGCTCCCACAAAACTAAAAATTTAAATATTTTCGGGTAAATTTATTGAAAATAATCCCAGTGATTATGAACTACTTTAAAATAATTTAAATATCCTAATTTCATGTTATGAATAGCATTCAGGTTTAGGCAAGTTTTTATTATTATTAATTAGCATTCAGGCAAGTTTTTATAATTATTAATTATCAGATATACACTACGATAAGTAGCATGCTAAAGTTGCGTAATGTGTGATGATCGTGTTCATATTGTGGGTTTCAACCCTTTTATCTAACAACTAAATGTGGAGGAACCTAGTGGACAGCTAAGCAAGTAATCGCTCTAGTTCAGTAACAGAAACGTAAACTCGAGAAGGGTTAATTACCCTTTATTGCTCAAAATGAGAATGAACAGTTGGCCCCTTTCTCGGGATGTACAGGAAAGCCTCCAATTGGGTTTCAACGCAAAATAACAAGAAATAAGTACTTAATTAATACCTAACTAAAGACATATAGCCTAAGATCTCAAATTCTAAGAAGTTGCCCCCTAAATATCGAATTAGCTAGCGAAGCTATAACCAGCTCGTAATACGGCCAATCGTAGTACAGCTTTGAGAAAACGTGGCCAAAAAGCAAACGCGCGCTAGTCAGAAACTCTGAGCCTCTCTCTGGAAGTTCTAAGTACTGGGTCATTGCTTGTCTGAGTGGTGTACGACCTAAGTCTTTACCACTTTATTTCTGTCCTAAAAAGGAAAAAAAAAAAAAACCGTAAGTAATAAAAAAAAACTGGCATAAAAACCAGTGCAAAATGGCGTCCATTCTTGGGCAATGCCAAAAATAACGGACGATGAGCCATGCTAGGCCCGAACTCATGAAGACAGGATCTGTAAGACTTGACTTTACCCGCTCAGCTATGGATCGTTGCGTAACACCAAAACCAATTAGCGCGCCTCGAATTAAGCGTCTTGAACAAAAGTTCTACAGATCTGAAAGCGATGAGAAACTCTGGAAGTCAATTAAAGTTCGATTTAAATATTACTCTTACTCATTTGCATTAAACGCAATTCTAAAAACACATTCTGGCAGGAAATTGTAAGCTGAAATTAGGAGAGATAGGAAAGGAGCTTTAACTTAAAATAACTGTTAAAAACTTAGGATAAACCCTACAAGATTCCTAAAGACTGAGGAATATTGTGGAAAGGCAAGGGGGGCAGGAATGCTAAGTAAATATTACCTTGCTGATCTAGAATCTAGAAACAAAGTTTATGAAAGTATAAAAAAATTTGAAAAGACCTGTAAAACATATATATACAATATCAATTATGCGAAACATTTTTAGCGTGTAACACATGGCTATTTGTTACAAATGAGATAGTTTTTCGCAAAAATTATATTTTAAAGAAAAATAAAAAAATATTTTGATTACCTTCACAACCCAAAGGATTACTTATTTTCAGATTCCAGTACAATGGTTTACACTCATTGCAAATTCGTCCACTTACGCGCTCTTTACATTCACAGAGTTTACCACTTGTAAGACTACCACATCCGAGGAAAGTTGGTAGAACGCCTGCTGGATTACAGTTGCATTCTAAAGCAAAAGGAAAAAAAAAATCCATAAATACTTATAGATCAATTATTTTGCTATGATATTATGTATATGATAGAATAGTTTAAAAAATTATCCATAAAAAGCATGAAAATTTTCTGAAAGTCAAAATTAAACCGTGAGTTCTCTGATTAAACAGAATTTGAACTTCAGTTAGCACTCATCCCCAGCAAGACCTTCAAATTATTTAAACTAATACTGCTTTAAACTTGCTCAACCTAATCAATAATCTAAGCACCATTTCTTCTGAATTCGCCTTTGCTCCAATAAAGTACAGTTATTAATTATTACTTAAACAAGTAATATAAAAAAATTTTAAAGTCAATTCCTACTTCCAATTAAAAAACTGTATTAACATCAAGTGTCATCCATTACAGATTTAAAAAAGTGTGAGTGAACTTGAGTGAATGAATAAAAAGTATTTTATTAAGGATTGAAAATTTGAACAAGATATAGGGAGAGTGTGATCTAATAGTAAGAATTTAATAAAAATTTTAACTCACAACCTCGATTAATTTTAAATGGTTTAAAGCCTAATTCAAAATTGATATATAGCTTACAAGTTTGTCTAAATGATACACATATAAACGTAAATGAAAATTATTGAAATCCCTAATTCAATTCTTAAATTGAAAAGCAAAGATCAGAGACACGTAAGTAAGAAGCATAATAAAAAATTTTAACTTCGATCAATTTACCTCCAGAATGTGAAAGGTCAGAACGCCACGTTTGGTAATTTAATGTTATGCTCAAATGACAAGTAAAAGAGGTGGAAAAGCAACTAAACGCTAATGTATTGCGTGATTATATATATATATATAACTCTGAATTTAAAAAATACATGCGATCAGTTTAATTTCATATTAATGTATTGCGTGATTATATATATATATATAACTCTGAATTTAAAAAATACATGCGATCAGTTTAATTTCATATTAATATAGCAGCACTCTTACATTCCGGTAACATTAATACCTAGAAATTGGCTTACAACAGAAAATGGAAAAACACAGATATTGACCCATAACGGTAATCTGTTATGTCAGAGTATTAAACATATGGCAGACTTTTCGCAACATTTCACATGCATACTGTTCTGATATAAACAGCATCCTTAAACGTTTGCCACAACTGCTAAAAAATTAAGCATTTCTGGCTTTTATTTTCAGCAACAAATTTTTTCTTTCAGAAAAATCTTCTTTTTTAAATCATACGCAGATGTAAACAAACTCCGCATTAAAAAGATCACTTTTCCTTGCTATCTTATTAGTAAACTTCCCATATCGGATCCAGCCCATAGTTAAATTTTACTTTATTATCATATACAGTATGGTTAGATAAAAATGATCTTACTCTGACAGAAAAAAAATTAATAGGTCACTGAAAATAATTGTACGCAACTAAAATTAGAGACAATGCTTGAGATATTCCAACTTTAATTTCAAAACAGTTAGGAAATGGAAATTTAAAAACCTAGCAAAAAATTCCAATGAAATAACTACAGTAATTTCTTACCAATTTTTTAGAGTCGTTGCCCTTAAGAAAACTAACAGAACCACTTGCAAAATGGGAAGAAAAGCAAGACTGAAATGGAAACAGCGCTTGAAAGCTTTTGGCGCCGAATTTTCGTTTAAATTTAAATTTCGCATTAAGGAACATGGGGCATATGTTAGAAAAAAGGAAACACAGAAGTCCTCTGTTGTCCAGCACTGTTGGTCCGAAAATCACATTTTCAATTTTTCGGCAGCCAAAATTATTTAAAAAAAACATCTTCCATTGGTTAACTACATTTTCTACAGGCGTTTCACATTCAAAAAATCTTTCTGTTCTAGTTAACAACCCTAATTCCAATTCATCTTTGCCCTTCAGCTTTTAAGGAAATTATGTTTTAGTTTTCGTTTCATCAATAGATGGCGCCAGTAGCTTAACTCCTGTCTTGCCATTCTTATCTTATCTTATTTAATCACTATATCTTATCTCATCTAATCACTATATCTTATCTCGTTCATTTGCGCTTTGACAGCTGAGCATGATGGTTCGGTAAAACCATCGAAACTAGTCCTGTAAAATTTTACAAATAATAACGCTGATTTTTGTTGTTTGACTTCTAAATTAATAAACGTTCCTTTATCTATCATTTTAGTAACTCCACCTTTTCTCAGCATACATAACGATTTATGCTTGCGCTTATTAGTACTAGCACAATCTTCTGCACTTATGGGTATTTTATTTGATATACTGAAGAGTAACAAATATAGCTGAATATAATAAATTAACAGGACAGCAAAGCCAACGCATGTGCCTGCGTGTAAACAGATTTTGAATCTTGAGAAAGCATCAGCCCTGATGAGAAGATCCACACATTAATGGAGGCAGATTCAAAATGTGCCGGATTATGGGAGTAATCTGGCAAGAGACATAGGGTTATAAAGATGTATAACTAATTGAGATAATAATAAAAACTAATACTTAATAACTAATACTAAAAACTACGTAAAAATAGAAGAAATCTATGAATAATACAATAAAATAAAAATTCTTCAAATACTAAAGAATAATTCTTTTAAATAATGCATTGTTAATGTTACTAACAATTAAAAAAATGCGCAATATTTTCTCTGTAATTCAAAATTAAACATCTCCTTGAATGTTTGTTATAATATCCTATGTAAATATACGTACTTACCTTAATTTCTCGGCTTAATAAGCATGAGAATTACGTTTTTATAAGCAATAAAAGTTATGTTCAAATGTAGCAGTTACCTTCACAGTAGGGGTAATTGTAGAATCCTTCTTTGCAGGTATCGCATTTTATACCAGCGAAGTTATTTTTACAAACACAGTGACCTTCATTATTGCATGAAACTCCAATAGATCCAGTAGCTTCACAGTCACAAGCTGCAAAATATAAAATTACATAAGCAAAAGCATTTTAATTTTTTTTTTTTTTTTTTTTTTTTTTTTTTACATAGAAAGGAAAGAAGTGCTTACAGTAGCAATCGGGAAAATTATAATAGCCTGGAGAACACTGATCACATTTTAGCCCAGCATAATTTATTAAGCACTGGCATCTCCCACTGATGTCACATACTGATCCGGAAGATCCAGCTTCATGACATTTGCATTCTGTTAAAAAGTACAAAATTAAATGTGAATGCTAGAAATAAACTACATTTAATTACATAATGCAGGAAATAAACTATGTTAATATACGATAATTCAAAACATATAGTTCAATGATTTAAAATGCATATATTTTTTAAACATATAGCATAAAATATATCGTTTGAAATATACATTCTAAAGTTATTCATCTCATTCAATGATATTTTATAAAGCAAATACTAATTATGATATCTTACCTGTAGCAATAAATTTACACACACTCCATGTATGACTATTACTAAAGCTAAGAAAATGAGAATTCGTCCTTTTATATTACATAAAAAATTGTAATAAGCAAAGCGTCAAATAGTAGACTGCATCATATTTATGCTTGTTTTTTTGGTCGCATTGTATATATTTACATGATACTGCATATACTGTATATCTTATATACTTTACTTCGTATATGCTTTATCTTTCATTTCTTGTGTGCTATGTATTTTAAAGCATCAAATATGTATCGCATCATGTTTCGTTTTCTTATAGTATCCAATGGCAGATTGTGAACAGCTGCAGAAAAAAACATGAACAAAGAATATAGAATACAGCAACACAATATAAAAAAAGGCTGCAACAGAGTCCATTAATCTAACATATCTCTTGCCTCCCAGTAACGCTCAGCGAGAAAAGTCTTGCGCAGAGCAGGACAATGGGGTAGATGTACGGCATCCATCACCTCACCAAAGCTGAACAGAGTGCACATCGGAGAAAGAACAATTTTGAATCTATGGAGATGATATCGTAGGCAGTCATGTCCGGTGGTAAGGCGGAATTCAGCGACCGCTCTACGCCTTGGGCCATTACACAAATTATGAAAAGCATTCTTCCAAAACTCAATGAGAAACACGACGACAGAGATTTTTCTGAGCACGTACTTTGAAAGATCTTTTAATAACATCCCTACCAGTATGGAAAGCCATAGGACCAGAAATATTCTGCGTGATTAAAGCACCCTTTTTTTGCCAGGAAATCGGCTTTCTCGTTATCCCACAGTGGGCAGGAACCCACTGGAGAACTTAGTTTTTTCAAGGGATGTCAGGGTTTTTAGGCAATCCAATACGTCCTGTGATATGGCATTTTTATAGTGTGTGTATATCGTGCATCATATATTATCCATCTGCTCTTGTATACCTAACTGTATTACGTTACTAATTTAATTGCACCATGTTATTATTATTAACTGCACTGTATTATTATTATCTGTATCGTATTTATACTGTCTTTGTCTTTTGCTCTTGTTTAATAGTACCGTTTATACACATGCTAGTAACTGATCTCATAATTTGTAACCTACGTCCAAAGCTTGTAACGGTTCTCAGATCTCCCTTTAGCGAAATCTAAGTTCATTTATGGATGGTTATCTGTTTGCCAAGGCACATTTGCCCGCTCCTGAGTTCATTCTCTTGCCAATTCTGAACCACTTTTGAGTTTATTCTCTTGCAAAGTCAATTCTGAGTACATTCTCTTGCCAAGTCAATTCTGACCCACTTCTGAGTTCATTCTCTGGCCAAGTCAATTCTGACCCACTTCTGAGTTCATTCTCTGGCCAAGCCAATTCTGACCCACTTCTGAGTTCATTCTCTAGCCAAGTCAATTCTGACCCACTCCTGAGTTCATTCTCTTGCCAAGTCAATTCTGAACCACTCCTGAGTTCATTCGCTTGCCAAGTCAATTTTGACCCACTCCATTATGCATAGCCTGAAGGTGTAGAGACATTAAGTTATTTGGAAGCAGGAGAAGTGAAAAATGAGCAATGCTCTCGCCGTGTCTCGAACCACGTACCTCTCGAATACACGTCGAGCGTGCTGACCGCTACACAACGAAGGCATGCTAAGAAGGCGAAAGAAATACCTTACATACTCCCCCTTTTTTGAAGGGCGACTGGGGTTTAGGGGACTCAATCGCCAAGGCCTGGTGATGAAGAATCATCATTCACCACCTTTTAGTTCGGGCGCCACTGTAGAGACATTAGGTTATTTCGAAGCAGGAGACGTGAAAATGAGCAATGGTCTCGCTGGGACTCGAACCACGGACCTCTCGAATACGCGCTGAGCGTGCTGACTACTACACCACGAAGGTATGCTAAGAAGGCTTTTGGCTATTTTAACAGAATCTGATACGCTCCTGAAAAATTTTAAATGATGATATCTCGGATAATTTTGATCACATAGGGATATCAAGTCATAGTCAAATTGAGGGGAGTGTGTGGGGGGATTTTGATCCCCCCACACACTCCCCTCAATTTGACTATGAGAAATATTTTTTCCTTTGAGCCTTTTTCTCCTGTGAACTTCAAAGATTTGAGTATTCGTATAATTTTATTCTGAAGACGTGTTTAACTTATTTCATAAACTGAAATCGTAAGTCTAACTAAGTATTAACGAGATACTTAGTAGAGTAGTCTTTATGAAACAACCTATATTATGGAACACAAAGATTAGAAGCTTACATTTTATTGAATATAATGGCTGCTTTTTTTGGTAATGAACACTACCGATGTATCAGTATCTGTATCTAGGAAGAACGGTCTAGAAAGCGAATAGAAACTGAATTAAAATCATTTCTCTGATTTTGAATGCTCAGTATATATATTTATACACTCCTAGAATGCTAGCTTTTGGTGTTTAATTGCCAATGATTGAGTATACGCATCTAGCTCCTACTAAAATGTGCGGATAAATAGAAATGGAAGTTGATAATGGACAAGTTGATAGTGGATTATTTGATAATAGAAACTCTTAAATGTTTGTTTTACAATATTAAAGAAATGGTCGTGATTAGACAAAATGAATGACTACTACTCAACAGAATCCTTCTCCATGCGTATATAAAAATAGATGACTGACCTAAACTAATAATTTTGCTACTTTCATTGTGTAAAGAAAAAATAGAATTTAATGCAAAATTAATAATAAATATTTTATATAATACACATTTACCTTCACAAAGTGGATACCCAAAAAATCCAGGAGCACATCTGTCACAACTAGGACCTCCATAACCAGGTTTACACAAACATACACCAGTCGCACTGTCACATATTTCTTCTAGGCAGCCAGTAGGATCACAAGCACAGTCTAAATATTGTAAAAATATAAAACTAAAGGTTTATGAGAAATCGGCAAAAATTAAAGAGCTGTAAAATTAATTGCCGAATAAATTATTCAAAATGAAACTTTGACGGAATGACAAAATATTCCATTGGATGCTTTTCAATAACAATTTGCAACAATTTTAATACCATTTTCAAATTAACTTTTAAAATTAAACCTATAAAAGAGTTTATGTTGCTTAGTGTATAGGGAAAATTTCTGTGCCAACATGATTAAAAAATGATTATGCTTAACGTTTTCCAAAATTTATGGAGGAATCGTATATTGTTGCAATTTTATTACATGATTACATAGAATTTTCCCCTCCAATTTCATTAAATATGGCATTTGATAGTTATTTTATTTATGACAGCATAAACTTATTATTAATAGTTCAATGTACTTCTGTTTGTGAAAATTATAACACCATGAAACAGTCATGCGAATAAACTGAAAAAAAATTATAGTTATTGCAATGGAATGAATGATATGCAAAATGATTAGAATTTTGAGTGATAGTTAGATGAGTAGTTTCCGTTGAACTATCGTGGGTAAAAGTTTACAACTGGGTGCCCGTTTATTTTTTTGACGCCAAGATAGGCGCCAGAAAGGCACAATTTCAAGATGGCCACTTCATAAAACCAAAATAAGAAGTCAAAGAATTGCACAAACTCCATGTCCATGTGCACATCTATTTTCACTTATAAAAAATCAGACAATTGCACAAACTAGGCACTGCGCACTGCCTTAACTTTGTTCAATGTACACATCGATCTATTTTCACAAAAAAAATCAGGAAGCTAAAACAAAGTTAAAATTATCATGGTAACCAGAAATGGGGTTTCATCGCCCAAACTGAACAAAATTTGTCGCTAATCGAAGGGGCACACAATTCTACACTAGATCCCTATCGTGTTAGCCGTATAAATAGAGGACCGTAGCTGAACATCAAAAGTACTGCTGCATTATCTTCCAGGGATAAACATTTCATAAGTCGTTGACAAAGGGTCCATTATGAGTAAGTTACGCAATCTGAACGGGGGCGAATGATCGGCCTGCGAGAAGGAGGACCTTCTTATCGTGAATTCGCACTTGGTATGGAGCACAACGGCCTCGTTCGTGATGTGTGTGTGGAAGCATTGGGCTCAAGAGAACAGCACATGTCGCAGACTTGGCAATGGACTACGAAATGTCAAGTCAGAACGAAATGACAGACACTTCATTAGCATAGCAGTAATGTGAAGCTTCATTTCCACAACTGGCACGATGTTGAAGTATTGGTGCAAGTTTTGCATCGTCAGCTTCAACAGTTCGCCGACGTCTGCTGCGCCCTGGATTGCATGCATGTGTTCTTTTGTGCAAGATACTCGTGATGCAATATCATCGAATACCTGAGGTTACAATAGGCCTCTAAACATTGCCATTGGCATGCCGATTGGCAACAGATCTTTTCCAATGTACCCCGCTTCAGTCTCGAGTGCAACAATGATCGAGTACGCGTTACACGTTCTAGGGATTAAATGCATCTTTTACAGTGCGATATCCAACATCAAACTGGATAATGACCAAATGCGACAATAGGCAATGGGCGATCTCATCTTCTAATAACTGTAGGCACTCTTCGCCGGCAATCACTATATCAAGGAGGCTGAGGAGCCCTAAATCGTACCTTTCATTCAAAAGAAAAACGCACTGTCGCATGTTTGTAGAAAAGTTAACGAATTCTACTCAGCATGTAAGGTAGCGTTTTGTTCTTGACCTACCCATTTACTAGACAAGTTGCTCATTGAACATGTCTGAGATTTTACTGACCGACAACTCGTTTGTAAGACTGGAGAATACGGATCAACTTTAGACTTGAACAGAAGTAATATGTGCCTGTTCTGTTCAAGTATGTAAGACTTGAACAGGAGTAATATTGAACAGAGAAGTGCCATTCCTCATGTAAACACTGAACCTATTTGATTCAATGCCACGACGACTGCGCATTCTAACTGCAGCGCATAGCGGCTTCACAGAATACTTATCTTTAGTATTTAATAATCTGGTATTGTTCTGTAAATTTAATCGCTTGCTTTGTATCACGATAGGTCATATGTGGAATAAATTTCCTTCAGTTCTGATGATTCCTTCACGGTGATACAATTTATGAGTTAGCATGTGAAACTGAAGAGTTTATTTGAAATTTATGAGTGAGCATATGAAATATTTTACTACCGCTTGAAAAACATGATGGTTTTTTTATATAACTTTTTAGCCTATTTATATTAAGTGACCATTTTCAGCATTTTTCTTTCAATATTTCTTCTTGATTTAAATTTTGCCTGATTTACAAAGTCATATACCGATTTAGTTTTTATTGTAATATTTTGAATATTTTGCGATTTCTATGAAAAGAAACTACAACAAAATATTAATAAATTTATGAATGAAACTGGCAGACATTTTGCTTAATGGAATTAGTTAATTAATCATAGCTAATTAACAAACTCATTATGTTTCCTAATTTAATATTCCATATCAACATCATTAAGCAATTACATTTATTTAAAAATAATACATTTGCTTTACAAATGTGCGGCCCGTGAATGGCCGAGTGGTTAATGCTGTTTTACATATGTAGTTTACCTTGAGTTAGATTCCCTAACAAACGGGCTGACAGTATCAGGTTTTCGTAGTTTTCCCCTAAAAATCATATAACACTGAATAGAAATATGTTTTCCTTAGAAAGTTCTACTTGAAAAGCAACCTTTTCTGCAGGCTGACAGCGCTCTCGCATTTTACTATATTCCATCAACAACCAACTATTAAAAATGTGCACTCTAAAAAGAAATGCATGCAACTGTGACTGGCCGCCGTAAAGTGATGGTTTGTGCCTGAGCTGTGCTTACGTAACTTTTTCACCTGAGGCAAAGAAGTAAATATACGACCCTATACACACTGCAAAGTATCACAAAATGCAAGTTAACTATAGATGTACGCTTTTAAATTTCTTAATTTCTGAATAAATGATTCAAGCGCAAGTAAAAACAATCACAAAGAGCCAGACATATCAAGTATTTTCGCTATTCTCCAATTTATCACAGATGATCTTCGAAAACAGGAGTAAAAATGGATATTTTCTTCCAAAGAAACATCATGTAAAATCCAAGCACTCCAGTACCAAAAATCGGTGTCCGCCGATAACATCGCGGCAAAAACATCGCGGACGAAAACGTCGCGGAGAAAACAACGCAAGGCGAAAACGTCGTGCTACAAAACATCGTGGGAGAACACATCGCAAAGAAAAAACATCGCAGTTCTAAAACATCGTGGTACAAAACATCGTCGTCGAAAATAAAGCGGTTCAAAAACTTCGCAGTTTTAAAAACATCGTCGTCGAAAATATCGTGGTAAAAAATAAAGTATCTACAAATCATCGCATGCGATAACATCGCAGACATGCTTTTTTCAGGCTTTAATAACTGTAAATGGATATTCCCATAATGATTGTGAGCGCAAGATGTAAGAAGGATAATTTTTACTTTCATATTTTTATTAAATATTAATTTTGCTGAGAAATAAGAAGAAGAAACTTAAGCATAGAAAATTAATGCAACTTATAGCACTTAATTAGAATTTTAAATCGACATAGTTAACTACCAAGACCATTAATAAATATTTTTATAAAGATTTACAGGTAATTTTTCATAAAAAGTATATCTATTAAGGCATTTAATTTAGTTATAAAAAAAAAATGTAACGTAAAAATTATCTTCCTTACATCACTACTCGCAATCTTAGGGGAATATCCATTTTAAGTTATTAAGCCTGAAAAAGCATCATATTGCGATTTATCGTCATGCGTGATTTGTACTTTATTTTTACCACGATATTTTCGACGACGATTTTTTAAACTGCGAAATTTTGAACCGCTATTTTCGACGCGATGTTTTGTACCACGATGTTTTAGAACTGCGATGTTTTCTCCCACGATGTTTCGTAGCACGACGTTTTCGCCTTGCGTTGTTTTCTCCGCGACGTTTTCGTCCGCGATGTTTTTCCCGCGATGTTTTCAGCTGTAACCCCAAAAATCACTTGAAATATTAAAAAAAATTGAATTTTAAATGTCAATATTTAATAACACCCGCGTAATTATATTCCTGTAAAACGTTTCTGAGAGTTACAAACACTTCTAAAAATTACATCTTAGAAAAACGCCACCGAGCATAGTTGAGTAGCATCTGAGTTGTATTAAGAGAGCAATGCTGTAATCGATGACAACAACTGCTTTCTAAATCACAGATTTTACAGTAATCGAAAAGCTCTTCTTTTATACCACCAGCACCATAAACATAGCATTAAGAAGCCTGTAAACTTTAGTCGTAACGAACTAGTTTGCTTTTACGAAAGTTGTGCTGTCCTGGTATTTTATAAAAGGCCTGCTTGCTATAAGATCGTAAAAATTAGTTTATTTGGGAGGCAAAACATTCGCAGCAACAATGATCCACACATTCCTCCGAATCGAACTTCAAATGCAAGAGCAACAGTGAAAGCGTTCAGTGCATCCGAACCCACAGCATAAAATAATATTATTACTGCAAGTACTGCTTTCAGAATTCCAGACTTGAAAGACTCAACGCTCGGCGTAAGTTGCTAATTATTACTAAGATGTTTCTAGAGACATCCCGACGTTTTTTAAGCATTTTTAGAGTACCCAGTCTAATCTAAATCTTCTAAAACAAAAAATATGTAAACGTAATTAGTAGATGAAATAACTACCTAATACTTATTAGACTGAAAATACCTGTATAAGGGAAGAAGAAAACAAACGTGAGATATGTGTGAGTAAAAATAAATGTAAACAATTCAGTGATTATATTTTTAAATATGAGAAGAAAACTTACAGTCACAGTTTGGATAACCGTAATAACCAACACGGCATTTTTCACACTGGCGTCCTCCATAATTTCCCCGACAGGCACACTGTCCGTCTTCCTGGTCACATTCATTTCTCACAGATGTGGAAGGGTTACAGTTGCATGCTGTAAAATAAATGTTAATTGTGATAATAGAAGTCTCGATATTTTTTTTTTAATTCCAAAAAAGAGGAGACAGAACGTGTGGATAAAACAGATGTTTAATATAAAAGAGATAAAAGTCGATAAAAAAGGAGTAAAAACAAGTAATATAAAATATTTTTTGAATCAATTCCTATTTAGGTCAACACAGAAAAATTTATAAATACAAAAAAAATTTAATAAAAATTAAAAAGTCTCACTATTAAAAAAAAAATTTAATATGGAGAAATGTATTGACGGTCATTCCTACAAGTTTAAAAAAGGCATTGAACTGAGTGATGAATATAAAGTTTTATACGACTGAAATTCTTAATAAAATAATTAAATAAAAAATTAAGCCATTTACTTGGGTCACAAAGAAAAACTTACCTGAAAAAAAATTCATATTAATAAAATTTTAATTCTTAACTTTTAAATAAAAATTTAAAACATTTTTAATATGTAAAAATGTCTGTATTAACATCAAGTGTCATCCACTAGAAGTTTAAAAAAATGCATTTAAACTTGATTGGATGAATAAAAAATATTTCACTAACGATTGAAAATTTAACCAAGAGATAGAGAGAATGTGGAAGTAATAGTAGGAATTTAAAAAGAAAATTAACTTACGTAAACAATCTGGGAAGCCATAATATCCATCGGCGCATCTGTCACAATTCTTACCACTAAAATTTGGTTTGCATGGACATTGTCCACCACCGACTTCACAAACACTGCCATAAATGCCACTTGGGTGGCAATCACATGGCTTACAGGCTGGATAGCCATAAAAACCAACATTGCAAGAATCGCAATATGGAGGGAGAAATTCTGGTCGACATTCACACTGCCCACTTCCATCAGCACAATTACCAGTAGAGAAAGCTGGATCACACTGGCAAGCTGAAAAATTAAAACAAGCAGAATGAGAATACTGCAGTAAAATATTCCAATGATAAAATATTGAAATATCGAAACAATGTAAAATTTTCCTGTCGCACTTACGTTGACACACATCTGTATCATTGAGAAGTTTCCCATATGGTCGATAAAACGTGGGTTTACATTTATTACAGTTTATGCCTTCAGTATTATGGCGACAATTTTGGCACACACCACCGCCTTCATAATGCCCATGGATATCCAAACTTAAGCGCTTCTCATTTATTTCCTCATCATATATACACTCATCAGAATGACCAAAGCAGTTGCAAGCTGAAAGAAAACAGCGATATTTCAGGAAAATAAGCAATATGAAAGAAAGATTGAATTTCTACGAATGAAGTAAAATAATATTACGTTCACAAACAAATGGGTTGTCTATTAAAGCATGTCTC